GGTGGCCATTTGCAGCTGCAAGCAACAAGGGCGTTGCGCCATTGTTGTCTGTTTGATCTTTGGCTGCACCAATGCTGACAAGAAATCGTACAATTTCGAGGTGGCCATTACCAGCTGAAATCCACAACGGCGTTGCACCCGTGCTAGCTGCTTGATCTTTGGCTGCACCTTTGGCCACCAGAAACTGAACAATGTCGAGATGGCCATTTTGAGCTGCAAAGAACAGGGGCGTTGCACCACCGTTATCTGCTTGATCTTTGGCTGCACCAACTTCGACCAGAAACTGCACAATGTCGAGGTGGCCGCTGTAAGCTGCAATGAACAAGGGCGTTGCACCTATGTTTGCTGCTTGATCTTTGGCTGCACCAACTTCGACCAGAAACTGCACAATGTCGAGATGGCCTTTTTGAGCTGCAAGGAACAGAGGCGTTGCACCATCGTTATCTGCATGATCTTTGGCTGCACCAACTTCGACCAGAAACTGCACAATGTCGAGGTGGGCTTTGCAAGCTGCAATGAACAAGGGCGTTGCACCCGTGTTTGATGCTTGATCTTTGTCTGCACCAACTTCGACCAGAAACTGCACAATGTCGAGGTGGCCTTTGTCAGCTGCAATGAACAAGGGCGTTGCACCATTGTTGGCTGCTTGATCTTTGGCTGCACCAACTTCGACCAGAAACTGCACAATGTCGAGATGGCCTTTTTGAGCTGCAAGGAACAGAGGCGTTTTACCATTGTCATCTGCTTGATCTTTGGCTGCACCAACTTTGATCAGAAACTGCACAATGTCGAGGTAGCCATTGTAAGCTGCAAGGAACAGGGGCGTTGCACCACCGTTATCCGCTGGATCTTTGGCTGCGCCACTTTCGACTAAGAAGCGCACAGTGTTTAGGTGCCCGTTGCCAGCCGCTGTAAACAATGGTGTCCATCCTCGGGCAAACTCAGTCTCATCTATCTTTGCTCCTGCCTCCAGTAGCAGTCCCATAAGTTGAACATGTCCTTGCCCTGCAGCGTAATGAAAGGGTGTCTTGCCATCTGTGCTTGCCTCATTGGGATTTCGTGGCTGCTGCAGCAACTGTTCAAGAGCAACCAAGTTGTTGTCCCTAGATGCCGTGATCATTTTCTGTGTTTCTTCATCATCAGTTGGCCAGAATTCCAAGACCACAAGCTGGATCTTCAGTGGAGCTGGATCTGCAATTTCATCATCCTGGATCTCATGCGAACCATCTTCAACAAACAATCGTTGCTGGAATCTGGAAATGCCAACCTTGGCTGCCAAGGCTTTCTTCACTGCCTTGCCTGTTTTGCCTTGCAGATCATCATCAAGGACTGTGAGAGTCTCGCCCGATGTGAGGAAACACACCTCCATCGCTGCAAGCCCCAAGGTGAAGTGCAGAACAAACAATTCTCTTTGTCTCATGTGTTTCTTCTCTCTCTCTCTCTCTATCTGGATATATTCATACACCTCTGCGTGTGTGTAAATATATTATGCATATATAGATGCATACATGTATCGCATGATGGACAGTTTGGATAAACACGGACAAATACTGTCAAACCAAACCTGCTAAAACAGTTCATATGTATGCCAATCCTTTACAAGTTTTACAAAAACAATCAATGCTACACACTCGATAATGCTTTTTCAGAATGTCCAGTCTGGACAATCTTCTGCAGCAGCAAATGTCGCAGGGGTTCATGCCACGAATAAAAACATGGTTTTCAGCATGGCTAGGTCTAGGAGTCTAGGTGATACCGATTCAGGATTTGGAAATCGAACATGAAGCATCTTGATACACGATCATCCAGGGACGCGCACGATCCAGGGTGGAACTCACCAAACATCAACATTTCCTGTAGATCGTCCTCGTGGGTCCAAGTGGATGAAGGCAATCTTTTGTTGATCACTGCCCCATCAACAACTTCATTGTTGACTATTGCAACCGTGTAACCCTCTGGCTTTTGGGTAAACTGCGGTAAACTCTGATTTTTTCTAGTGAAAACCTGTTCAATCATCATCATCATCATCATCATCAATAATGATAGTAATAGATGATAGTGGATATTAACCCTAATAATCATAGTAGTACTATTATCGATAAATATCAGCACCATCACCTTTAAAAAAAGAAACAACACACATCATTTACCATCTGGTTATTTAACAGTTCGCCATGGAAAATCACCATGCTATTAACAGCTAAACCATCTATTTCGATTAGGGCCATCGAAAAACCATGGCATGGAGTAGTCATAGCCAGACCACCACACTCAGCTTCAGGGGCCGGCAGCCCGTGGCGCACAGTGGGCGGTGGGGCCGCGACGGCGGACGACGGCTTTTGCCAGCGGCGCGCCGCTGGCACCGGGCCCACCTTGGTGCGCCCACGGCAGCGCCGTCATGCGGCCACGCAGGCGGCCCAGGCTGCGGGGCCGGCCCAGCTGCCTGCAGAAATATGGAGTCGGTAGGGTTTATCATATGTAGCTACAAGGTGGTGCCCCATAGTTAGCTAAGTTGGTTTATAACTCCCATAACTATGGTTTATGGTAGATATAACTATAGTTCATGGGGTTTATAAACCAACTTATAACTGGGGGGCACCATCCTGTATGATATATAGTAGCAATAGTTAATTGTAAACTATTCTTGGAATATTTTAATATAGCCCATTTCAGAATATATAGCAATAGTAATGAAAATCTTAGCAATATAGAATTGCATTTAGTTATAATTAGTAGTATCAACAATAAACTTATTATATGTGTATGTATATATATGAGCAATAGTTAGTAGTTGCAACTGTTAATTGTAAATTATAGCAATTGATAGGTATTTAATAGCAATTTACCGTTTATAGTAATGTAGATGATTAATTTATATATATATACATAATAGTTCATAGTAGCAATAGTATGTAGTAATTAATAGTAATTAATTAACAGCAAGTTATAGTAAATGATAGTAGTATACTTATATATATAGTGATAGCAGTTAATCAAATGTACTATAGCAAATCATGTACAAATAGGGAGTTTTCCAGCGAGCCATGTTCGATTACCAGAGGGGGTTCATGGTTGTAATCACTGGCTATGGACAATTAATCAAATCCCCACAATATTTTACACCCCCTGTTGCATGGTCCAAATATGTGTAAATCCAGTACGTCCACCATGGTTCTGGGGGTGTTTAATTTTGGGGAGATTGGACTAATAGTGATAACAATTACCCTCTGGTAAACTAACATAACTATGGAAAATCACCATTTTCAATGGGAAAATCCACTATAAATGGTAATGTTCAATAGCTACGTTAAATTACCAGAGGGTAGTAGTTGTTAACAGTAGAAACTATATCCACACTAGTAATATATGGGCTTTATTCTATGGGAATCAAGGGGAACTAGTCACTATAGCAAATAGGTTTTTTCATAGTCATGTGCGTTAGTTACTATTTCATCATCATTTCAAATATATTTCAAATATGCACTAGGATATTTATAGTTGATATAGTTGTACAATTATCTACCATGGTAGCAAATTGGCTGGGATTTCAAGAACCTGGAGAGATGGAATCAGCGGCAATCAGAGCCGAAGAAAATTTAACCGGCAATCAGGCAATGAGTTCCTTTGATGTTCCAAAGCTGTTAACATAATCATATGGAATCATGAGTTTGTCTAAAAATAGAGTAGCCAGAAAAAATCCACTTGTTGATCATCACTTTTTCCTATGAAAATGACACTTTTGGGAGGTATACCACCATTTTCAGACGAAACATGAGCCATTTTTGATAACGAAGTCATAATATATCGCAGCATCCTGGAGTAGCGGCTACACGTGCGAAGGTGTAGTCGTAGGCTGGAAAAACCTCACTGCCATTGGGATGGCTTGGAAGTACCGCTGAAAGGAGCATCTTTGATCCCTTCAGATGTTTCTGAATCTCACTGGCTCGAAGCAAGAATCCAGCGGTATGAGGGAATAGACCCCAAGTTCCGGGGCCGCAGGGCCATAAATTTTCCAGGTCTGACCTGACCAGAGGGGCCCCATGACATGTTTGAGAGGACTTTTTTGATATATGCACTCCATCACTCCATCAACACCTCGAAAACTTCCTTGACCCCGAGCCCTTCTGACCTCAGTTTCCGAGCTTTTCACGTTCTGCGTTTTTGGGTTTTTCATGGCACAGCATCCTCTTGGATTTCGTGCCAAAGTTGGTGTCATGGGGGCCCATCCAGCGATGAAATCTTCCCATCCAACAGTGTCAAGGGTTTTAAACTACCAGATCCATTGATTAGTCATGATGATCCATATTTTGCTATTGCCATTTAGGAATATATATATATTATATTATATATGATTTTTTTATATTATATTATATCATATTATATCATATCATATCATATTATATTATATTATATTATATTATATATACTCCATTTTCAGACACACCCACAAAATCCATACGTTTGGCTTTCTAGATTCCATCATATCCCCATTGGTTCTGTATCTCATCATATCCCAATTAGATCCCTGTTAAAAAAAGATGATGTCTTCCATATCCCAGCCACATATCCCATCATATCATTAGGTAGAATATCCCATTATATCATATTATATGCGGATGAAATTAGGAAATTTATTATCGGAAATTCATATTATATCCCATTATATCATATTATTAGGAAATTCATCATAAATCATTAGGTTTATAGAAAATGTATAGATGAATTTCCTATGATTTCCCAAAAGCAAAAACATCCCGTTTCCCCTAATCTCCACATTGAAGTGGGGCCGCCCGCTTCGTTGGATATGAATAACCATAACTACAATCATAGAAGAACCATAGATAGCAAATTAAGCAATCTATAGTGATAACCATAAATTCTAGTTTACGAACTATACACACTAGTTATATCATGTTATATGAATGAAAAAATACAAGAACCATTGTCATTATCCTATGAATATAGGGGATTCCCATCCCCCATGAACAACTTTCCCTGACCTGGCTCGTACACCTCGGCGTTGTCCGCTCGGTGAAGTGGCCTCCGATAGGTTTCGCAACGAACTAATGATGCAACCCCCCCAAAAAAAAGAGATGCCGAACATTGAAATCCTCCTGAAATCATGATATCATGTCATAAACTGGTGGGTGGTATACCTACCCCTCTAAAAAATATTTAAGTCAGTTGGGATGATTATTCCCAATATATGAAAATATAAAAAATGTTCCAAACCACCAACCAGTAAAAATATTGTTCTCTATCTTTGGGGTGATGACTTTCTATCGTTTGGGGGATTACTTGAAGGGAAATGAGGCTTGAAGCAACAAACATGGCGGCGATTTAAGCATGACAAATGGCGATGGAACCATCTTGGTGAAACTGGCAAGAGGGATTCGATAAAGTACGTGCATCGATATCAAATGGTGGTGAAAAAACTTGTCTCTTGGGCATTTAAATGAAAATGGCATAAACTACTGTAACTAGCAAGAAAATTGATTCTGGGTTGGAAATGTCACGCTCTTCGTGTGCAAAAACAACGAAACGGTCTGGAAACGGACTATCCACATAAACTCGAACTTTATCCCACGTTTGATGGTCATTGAATGCTATTGATGGTGAATACACCCACATCCATATGGGCTTGTTTGAAGGTAGGGTACCCCAAATCCAGCCAAAGGAGCGTACATGCCTACAAACTTCAGACCGAGAAGGGAACAAGAATATAATACATCTATGGCATGATGATAGGAATACATGCGGGAAAATATAGAAAAATTATCGAAAAACAACAAAAAGAACAACAACAGTAACAATAGCAATAAGAATGACAGTAACAGTAGCAATAAGAATAACCATAGATTACATATATTTATATAATCATATAGAATCACGATAGATCATACAGAATAGCCAAGAAATGACCATAAATATCATCAAGATATCCATGACAAATCAGACCTTCCCCGCACATGGCACGCCTTGGCTCCTCTTGGCGCAGACATCGCACGATGCATCTCACCCAGCTCGTTGGCCTCGCTTTTCGGAGATTTCCAGCTGGGAAAAACCCATGGGTTTTACCAATTTGGAACCGTGGTAAGTCGTGAGAATCGATAAAAATGTTGTGTTCAAAAAAGCAACCAATGATACGGTACCAATTGATTGATAAACAATGATTGTAAATGGGGATATATTCTATATATATATATGTCGTCTCAAATGGGGATAAATTTGCCATGATTGACCATGATTGGCCCATCTGATTAAATGTTTGTCGAAATTGTCATCCAGTGGTAAGTCGTGAAATGACAATGCTTGGTGTAAATTGATGGTGAATTCGAAGTGTCCATGGATTTTATCGAAAAGTGATGGAAAAATCCGGATTGTCATGATTTACCTGCAGCCAAAACTGGAGATTCGAGTGGATAGCAATGAAAATGGATAGGTCCAACAAGAAAGGGCAGAAAAAATCCATACATCATATGAGGATTGCGGTGGAAATGTAACAGTCATCCCTAGAAAAATCACCCGAATTTTCGAAATAGAAAAACCAATGGCAACAATCCAGGGCCATTTAGGCACCAAAAATCATCCAAAATCCTGGTTTAGAGGGCTTCCATAAGGGTAATGAACCAACCCTTGGTGATTCCTGGGGACTCATGCACTAGGGATTATCAATTATCCTTCCAAGATCCTGGTTCGGGGGTTGATGATAATCCCTAGTACAAGCCCCGAACTAATCAACCATTGCTCGAATGGAGCTTCTGAATTACACTATTGATAAATGCTTCCTATGGTGGCTCGTTCAGCCCAGCAAAAGCGCAGCAAACATCTTAGTAACACACCCTCATAATATGCATACAGTACATATTACTCCTACGGTGTGGTTCCATGTGGTAAGTAATAAGGTTGTAGGAAGCCTTTGGGTATGTCCCAAACTTGCTGTCCACAATCACTGCTGTGCTTCTTGGTCTCTCAGATTTCAACGAAAATGTGATATCTGAGGAATTGCCCAAACGCTCAAAGTCCTTTTACAACCCACAAGAGCCGTTGAAGTTCCGCAAAAAGGCCATAAGAAAAACGAAGTTTGATGTTTCACCTGCTACGCTGCAGCAACAACTATGCTGAACAAAAAACAGCTGTGGAGACCAGTAGCCAGGAGCCGCACCACGATGTTTGCATTTCTCGAACCACGATGTGCCAAAGTTCAACGCATGCAGACACTTGTAGACATTTTAAAAAAACTGCTAGAATTCCGCAAACTCACCTTGCACTGCAGAGCTGTCACCACCGTGAATTGGCTGACCCCATGAAACCACAGATCTATCTGCCAGGATCGCAGCAAATGCGCCATGTGTGCCCTGGACCTGCTGCACATTCCTCAGCCGATCTTGTACCACAGAGCTGTCACCACCAAAAAATGACATGCCCCATGTAACCACAGATCCATCTGCCAGGATCGCAGCAAATGCGCCATATGTGCCCTGGACCTGCTGCACATTCCTCAGCTGATCTTGCACTGCAGAGCTGTTGCCGCCAGATTCTGGATTGCCCCATGTAACCACAGATCCATCTGCCAGGATCGCAGCAAATGCGCCATGTGTGCCCTGGACCTGCTGCACATTCCTCAGCCGATCTTGTACTGCAGAGCTGTCGCCACCATATTCTAGATCTCCCCATGTAACGACAGATCCATCTGCCAGGATCGCAGCAAATGCACGATCTGTACCCTGGACCTGCTGGACATTACGGAGCTGATCTTGCACTGCAGAGCTGTCACCACCAAGCTCTTGATGGCCCCATGTAACCGCAGATCCATCTGCCAGGATTGCAGCAAATGCACATTCTATACCCTGAAGCTGCCGCACGTTCCTAAGCTGATCTTGCACTGCAGAGCTGTCACCGCCATAATCTGGATCACTCCATGAAACCACAGATCCATCTGCCAGGATCGCAGCAAATGCGCCATATGTGCCCTGCACCTGCTGCACATTCCTCAGCCGATCTTGTACTGCAGAGCTGTCACCACCATAATTTGGCTGGCCCCATGTAACCACAGATCCATCTGCCAGGATCGCAGCAAATGCGCCATGTGTACCCTGGACTTGCTGCACATTCCTGAGCTGACCTTGCACTGCAGAGCTGTCGCCGCCATAATCTGGCTGGCCCCATGTAACCACAGATCCATCTGCCAGGATCGCAGCAAATGCGTGATCTGTACCCTGGACCTGCTGCACATTCCTGAGCTGATCTTGCACTGCAGAGCTGTCACCACCATGAGTTTGCAGGCCCCATGAGACTATCCTGTTGCTTCCACAGCACCACAAAGCGAAAGCACTGCCGCATATATCCCTCTTATTTGTTGCTACCAGCCTCGCTTGAAGTACAACAACAGTGAGGCAGTCTTTCTCTTGGAGCCCTGCACTCAACAGTGACTGGGCAACGTCATCCAAAACGCGGCCGTCTGCAGTGACAAGCCTGACGAATGGTTGTTGAAAAGATTTCTGGACCAAAATCTTTAAGTCCCCAACTTTGGAGGACTGGGGAATTGAAATGCTCTCATTGCGACCGCCGGTCGAAACTACAGTGAATCGAAACATGGATAGTGCATTGGCCGTTGCTAAATACGACACGGCTTGGTGAGAAAGGAAATAGCGCAGCCTCGGTTGGTCAATGTTCATACTAGACTGTGTATGTCTGTGTATCTATGTCTACTTATCTATCTACATACACCTACACACGTGTTTTTCTTCATCTCTTTATGCATTCACACATTCGTGTGTCTAGCCATTTCCCTCGTTATTAATTCATTTGCATATTCATGTGCATATTCATGTACAACATGTATACAATGTATATTATGGTTTCATATTATATATACATACATGGGTTTGTCTGAAAATAGAGTGCCCCTGCATCCACTGCTTGATGATATGTATCCCTAATACTACTACCATCTGGTTATTTAACATAGCCATGGAAAATCACCATTGTTAATAGGTAAACCATCTATAAATGGGTCATTTTCCATGGCTATATTAAATACTGTAACCAGATGGTAAATTGGACATTTGGGGACTACACCCCATCTTCAGACCAAGCCATACATTCCATCAATCATCACATTGTGGGGGGGGTACTTGGAGGATCATTCCACGGTCCAACCGTTTTAGTGGTGAACGTAAGTGCCATGTATAAATGGGATCGTCCACTGAATGGGGACTTCAACTCACACCAGGGTTATTACCCTCTGGTAAACTAACACAACTATGGAAAATCACCATTTTCAATGGGAAAATCCACTATTTCAATGGGTAAATGGTTGTAAAATCACTTCACCAGGGTTATCAACCACTTGCAAGGACGGTGTGATGACCCCCCAAGTACCGACAATTCCCCATTGACCAACCGATCGTTCGGGGATTTCCTAAGTTTTCCCATCTGAAAACCATGGCTGAACTAAGCCACTTACCCTGAAAAGTCATCATGGCCATAGGGCAACTCCCCATTTGCTAACCCATGGATTTTACCATCCATGGCTGAACTAAACCACTTCCTGGTACCCAAAGGTGACCCAAACTGCCAGAAATGCTCCGCCTTCTGCTCAAACGCTTTGGCGTCCTTGGGCTCTTGCGCCTGACGGATTTGCACCTGCTCGCAGCGACGGCAGGGCCAGACTGGCAAAGGTCAGGAGTTTGATCTATGTATGCCTATATATATATTACATATTAGTGTATGAGAATGTACAGTATATATACATACTGTGTCCTTTAAAGCTGCGGTTCCAGTCCTGCCTGCAACTTCTGCAGTTTAGTTTTCATCTCCATCTGCGCCCTGGATCGGGAAAAGCCCAAGCCAGGGATTGAGGGAAGGGGAAAAAAAATATCGGAAAAATCTGGAAACAAAAACGAAAACGTATGAAAATATGGAAAAAATATAGAAAAATGTGGAAAAATATGAAAAAAATATATTTAAGAATGCAGTAATTCATCAACTATAAATGGGCATGAAATACCCCAAATGGATAAATGGATTGATTTCAGGGAAAATTGAAAACCGAAAACATGATTTTTGCCCCATAGATATGCCGGTTTCAACTGTAAATGTTCCCTTCAACCCATTCTGGGACGAAGTTCTCGGATTTCGCCAGCTAAAAATGGATCCAGCTTTGCGACGCGAAAATCATCGGTTTTCTTCAATGGGGAATTGTCCATGAAGCCACGTAGAAACTGAAGGGTTCTTGGAGGATCATCACACCGTCCTTGTAAGTGGTTGATGACCCTGGTGTGAGTTGAAGTCCCCAAAAACCGTGGATGATCCCATGTTTTTCAATGGCTTTTTTCTCACCGCAGTTACGTTCACCACAAAAACGGTTGGACCGTGGCATGATCCGCCAAGTACCCTCTGGTAATTTAACATAGCTATTGAAAATGGCCATTTATAGTTGATTTTCCCACTAAAAATGGTGATTTTCCATAGTTATGTTAGTTTACCACAGGGTACCCTTTATAACAGAAGAATGACCGGATGACCATTTCCCATCTCTTGTGGACCATCCGCTTGTCCGGTGGAAAATCCTCACATGTTCGACCATCCACCAACCACCGACCGTTTATAGATTCAATATAATAAGCCAGTTAGTACTGTATAACACCTACATTATTAACCCATCAACAGAGGTATTTTTAATGGTTCAAAAAAGCGCGATGGTCAAAAAGTTGGATTGTGTAATATACACACATATGCATACCCATTTGGGGGGACGGTCATCAATCCATTAAAATTAATAGGGCTTCTGTCGAAACATGTTTTGACCATGGCTCATACGATATCCCCCCTATCGTAGCCTGGCCTCCGGAGCTGCAGGTTCTCCTCGTGCACATCGTCCTTTGCCTCAGCGCGGGTGGGAAATACTCGTGGCTTGGGAAAGTGATGAAGCCAAGCACTTGCAGATAACCAGGATATTTCATGGGAGATACTCACCAACAATATGGGATACGAAGGGAAACAATATGGGATATGGGCCCTTCTGGAAATGGAGAATACGCTCAGAAGAGCTAAAAAAACAGGAAGATTATGATTAACGAATGAATTTAGGGTGTAACCTATTTTGGACAAAATCATTGATTTGGAGTTGGTTACAAGTGATGATGTGACCATTTTGAAATTGTCGGGATCATGTCAATCCATGTCAACATCAAAAAAGAAATGTCGGAAGGCGGGTCAAAAGTATTCAAATTGCTCTGTCATTCGTAATATTCGTACGACCCAATCCCCAAATCCGATCCAACAAAAAAAACAGATTTTTATCAGGTCCAACGGTCCATCATCCATATCAATCCCATATCAATCCTGGAACAAACATGTGCTTCATGTGATTGGAGCTGATACTTTTTTTAATAGCAGATCATCCCCTCTGGGAGGGGTTTCCCCACCTGATTGATCAGCCAGGCTTATTGAATTTGGGCTTGTTGCTGAGGGCTATGGAGGGCTATGAAAAATATACCATATGTCGTATAAAAAAAAATGCCCTGTAAAAATTGGATGGGAATGGAAGTTGATCAAGCGCGGAGATAGAGAAGCGACAGAAGCTTGGCCACAAACTGATAATGGACACGACTTGTAACATCTTGCAACCAAAGTATTGATAGTTTAAAAAAATACAAAACCCCATGCGAAATGCGATTGACATAACTTGCAACCAACAAGCAACTGATACAACTGACAAATTGTACAAACAAGATATAGAACCTGCAACCACCAAGTCCCGTTGGCTCCCCGTTGGGTCCCCTGGCGCGCTCCTCGACGATGTTCGTACGTGCCTCCGGAAGCGCGACATCGAAAAACTCACGTTAGCACGCAACATGTCAAGGTTATGATAGGAAACCATATGGGTATGGGTCAAAACCTATTATTATCAATTCTAATGGGATGAACATCCATTTACCAGCTATTTTGGGGTTCACTAGGTGCCAGGGTTTTGACCAATAGCCATATGGGATGTGATGTGGGTAAAACATGGTAAAACTATAGTAAACCATCCATTTGGATCCATTTGGGAATCATAATAATCCACCTATAAAAATGATGACTGGGGGATGGTTTATGGCATTGTTTTCCTGAATGGGACACAATATTCCACCATCCCCCTTTCAGACTTTTCAAAGGGCAATCAAACTCTTTGCGACCTTCGGACAGCAACAGCATGTTCCTTTGACTCGTCAAGTTGCAAAGGATCCGTTTTCGGATGTCATCCTTCCACTTAGGACAATCTAATGTTCAATCGTTCAATCGTTCAAGCACCCAAGTCTCTCAAGCGTGGTGATCAGAGAAATCTCATGTGGGTTTCGATTTCCTCAACCAGCAGTGAAGCTGCAAAGGATCCGTTTTCGGATGTCATCCTTCCACCTAGGACAATCTAATGTTCAATCGTTCAATCGTTCAAGCACCCAAATCTCACAAGCATGGTGATCAGAGAAATCTCATGTGGGTCTGGATTTCCTCAACCAGCAGCAAAGCTGAAAAGGATCCGTTTTCGGGTGTCATCCTTCCACCTAGGACAATCTAATGTTCAATCGTTCAATCGTTCAAGCACCCAAATCTCACAAGCATGGTGATCAGAGAAATCTCATGTGGGTTTGGATTTCCTCAACCAGCAGTAAAGCTGCAAAGGATCCGTTTTCGGGTGTCATCCTTCCACCTAGGACAATCTAATGTTCAATCGTTCAATCGTTCAAGCACCCAAGTCTCTCAAGCATGATGATCAGAGAAATCTCATGTGGGTTTGGATTTCCTCAACCAGCAGTGAAGCTGCAAAGGATCCGTTTTCGGATGTCATCCTTCCACCTAGGACAATCTAATGTTCAATCGTTCAATCGTTCAAGCACCCAAGTCTCTCAAGCATGGTGATCAGAGAAATCTCATGTGGGTTTGGATTTCCTCAACCAGCAGTGAAGCTGCAAAGGATCCGTTTTCGGGTGTCATCCTTCCACCTAGGACAATCTAATGTTCAATCGTTCAATCGTTCAAGCACCCAAGTCTCTCAAGCATGGTGATCAGAGAAATCTCATGTGGGTTTGGATTTCCTCAACCAGCAGTAAAGCTGCAAAGGATCCGTTTTCGGATGTCATCCTTCCACCTACGACAATCTATATAATGTTCAATCGTTCAATCGTTCAAGCACCCAAGTCTCTCAAGCATGGTGATCAGAGAAATCTCATGTGGGTTTGGATTTCCTCAACCAGCAGTGAAGCTGCAAAGGATCCGTTTTCGGGTGTCATCCTTCCACCTAGGACAATCTAATGTTCAATCGTTCAATCGTTCAAGCACCCAAGTCTCTCAAGCATGGTGATCAGAGAAATCTCATGTGGGTTTGGATTTCCTCAACCAGCAGTAAAGCTGCAAAGGATCCGTTTTCGGATGTCATCCTTCCACCTAGGACAATCTATATAATGTTCAATCGTTCAATCGTTCAAGCACCCAAGTCTCTCAAGCATGGTGATCAGAGAAATCTCATGTGGGTTTGGATTTCCTCAACCAGCAGTAAAGCTGCAAAGGATCCGTTTTCGGGTGTCATCCTTCCACCATCTTCCACCTAGGACAATCTAATGTTCAATCGTTCAAGCACCCAATTGTCCCAATCTGTCCCAAACAAAAATCGAAAAGTAAACTAAGTAAACTAAGTAAACTGCGAAGTCCGAAAAAGTGAGGATTGATCTTCCAAACCCTTTCCGGGCTTGCCAAAAAAAGATGGGGGTTGCCATAAAAACCAAGCCCGGCACCTTGCCGCGGCCGCCAGTGCCACGCCTCGAGGTGAAAACCGGCCGTGCAGTACTTTGCGTGGATCATTTCACATAGTGAAGTAACTTACTTTGATAGCAGTGACTTACTTGTTGTAGATAGTAATATTGCCAAATATTGAAATCGAGAGATCTTTGGCGCCGCCGGATTAGCACGGCTTGAAACCAGCGGACTCGGAATCAAATATTGGAAAAAAAACACGTAACTTACGGAGTGAATGATTTTCGGAAATGGGTAGTGACTTCATGTGACTTACCATCTGGTTGTTTAACATAGCCATGGAAAATAACCATGCTATTAATAGGTAAACCATCTATTTGTATGGCCCATTTTCTGCAGAATTTCTGAGACACAACGAACGATGACAAAATGGGTCCCTCGGGCAGCGTACCATGCTGCGGTTTATTCGGGGGAGCTACCTTGACGTACCTCGAAAAACCCAACTGGGTGTCACGAGGTGGAAAAACAGCAAAAAGATCGAAACGTAAAATCCTAATCTAAAATGAAGTGCTTAAGTTTAACCTGTGCTATCTTTTGGGGGAAGTATTATACGCCCTGCAAATTTCGAGAAAAAAAATGTTCCTTTTCGGTTCTGAACCAGCTGCAAGCTGGGTAGATCCCTGCCACCCTGTCATTTAAAGCACATCATAGCCATCGTTTGATTTGAATTCAAACAAGTTTAATCATGTTTAGTTTAACTGATAGTTGAACCAACCATTATTTCAATTTCTATCCAAAGATTGGTTACCCTGTGATAATCAAACGCAGCTTGCTGGAAATCTTCGAGCTTGAAATTCCGTGATTTTCCCATTGAACACCCATGTATTTCGGTGATCTTCCAGCTGGCCAGGTTTGATCACCAGATTGTATTAAGCAATACCCTCTGGTAAACTAACATAACTATGGAAAATCACTATTTTTGATGGGAAAACTCACTATAAATGGGTCATTTTTCAATAGCTATGTTAGTTTACCAGAGGGTATTCCATTCATTTTCCATCAATATGTCATCATTCCATTTTAGTACATTCCAGTAGGATCTGATAGATACCCATTATATATGCCACCCTGATTTGTTCCACAAGGACTTTCAGAAAGTGGCTACAGTACAGCACTGAGAGCTGAATGGGATTGGGAATCCTCCGGAAATCAAACATGGCGTGCTGGAAAAGCAACCATTTAGTTGGACGACTTCCGAGCTATAAACCTCCATGGCTAGTTTGGGGACTTTCCCGCTAGCCATGTTTGATGACACCGGATTGTAATAACCAATATGATTGTCAGATTTGTTTGATTACCAGAGCTGCACCAATCCCATGTTTCCTTGAATCTTTTCATGGGATTTTAAAATCATTATCATGGAATAGTTTTATCACACAGCATGTCACTTGGAAATTATTGATCATCTTGACTACCCTCAGGTAAACTGTCCCATAACTATGGAACATCACCATGTTCATAGCGAAATCAATGATAATTTGTGATAAATGGGCCATGTTCAAATAGGTTTACCCTCTGGTAATTTAACATAGCTATGGAAAATCACCATTTTTCATGGGAAAATCCACTATAAATTGCCATTTTCAATAGCTACGTTAAATTACCAGAGGGTATTTCCGCTTGGTAAATCCCGTCCCATCATCCCGTCCTCCCGTCATCCCATCGTTTTGAAAAACGTCCGGGCACCTTGCCGCACCCCGCCCGGCCCCAAGACGAGGCCTGGAAGGTCAGCCACGGTTTCTCCCATCCCCCAATGGTCCCAATGATGTGGAAATCACCTACTTTTTACCATGGTTTCTGGAGGGGTGTTTCTATTATTAGGGGGAAGGGATATGATGTGTATATATATATATACATATGTATGTATATATATATATACATGTATTAGTTTTAGCTGAATATCCTGCAAAAGCAGGGATATCACAGGCGATATCAGCAACAAGAAAGGGCAGCCTTACAATACATCTCCCGCAAAAGAAGTTGATATTTGGCCGGGGTTTCAATTAAATATTGCCCCACGAGAAATCACCCAAGAAAATCCTACGCTTCACCACTCCTTTGACCCAGCTATGAGGTGATTTTCCACATCTCAAAACGCAGCGCGCAGCCATCGCATTCGCGAAAAAAAAAACATCATGCAGGGTACGGTTCACATCTTTCCCGTCATTTCCCAAGCTCCAACGGTTGGCCGTTTGAAACGGGAGGATTCCCCACCCAGAATCGTTGCCATCCCGCCTTTCGGGCCCACGGCGAGCCACCGGCAGGCCATAGCCCATGGGTCCTGAGATGATCTGACGATTTCAGGATAGCGAAAAACATACGAAAAAAATCCAAAGGTCTAAAAAAAGAAAATTTAGACCCTCAGTAGTTGAGGGTATGATATATCATATTTAGATACATAGATATGTACATATTTTCCATTGGATATTCAATCTCCTAGAAACCTTGTAGGTTTTAAGATGTTCAATATGGAAAATATTGCAAAATATAGACGGAAAAAAATCGGGTATAACCATGAGATTATATAGATGGGAACAAATGGGAAAATCCTGTGTAAATGGAGTTTATCGTTAACCTCTGGTAAACGTTTACATGTGGAAAACCCACCGTGAAAGCAGACCATGTTCCAAACGGGTTTCGCCATGGGTTTTCCACATCTATGTGAATGTTTACCATGGGTACGGTTTTTACTTATTGATTTACTATCACGCATTTTCTTATGATTCACTAAGTTCTTGTATGTTCTTGTTTTCTCTTGTTGTCTATGTTTCAAATGAATAACTGGGTTGGTTCAAGGGAAAATATTCAGGAAAGCGCCTCTATATCTGCCAAATATGCGGCGTTCCTGTCTCGTATTCCCATACTGTAAGCCAATTTTGGGATGTCATGATAGCCACATAGACAGTTTCCACTGAGTACGTGACCAACCAAACATCATGCGTTTAACCAATCAAATAGGGGGATACAATGGGATATACAACTAGGTTTTTTCTGGATAACTCCACGAATCTGGGACCTACGACCATCAGGCTTACTGGCCATACCAAAATATGGCTTTGAATCCCATTCATCATGCACTCACCATAACATCACAATCTTCACCGTACAATCGCCATTTTTGCGGCACATCTTTGTTGGTGTCCACCGGCCTCAGCCAAGGTGCCGGGTCGTGCGTCGGCCTCCGCGTAGCCTGCGTAGCCTGCGTAGCCTCCATAGCCCGCACCTGTGCTTCGGTCACCGGCAGCCGGTGAGATCCACATGTTTGCTGGTTACATCGAGAAAAACATATGTGGGTAGCTATAATTATAGTCATAGTTATAGTCATAGTGAATTATAACTATATAACTATAACCATATGTATAACATTTCATAATTATAGTCATAGTTATAGTCATTGTAGCTATAATTTCATCCACATATAGTCAATATGGTTACAAAAGAAATAACCATTACCAGCAAAGTTTTTATAACCATAGTTAGAAATCCGCATAGTTTGCTGGTTACATAAGAAATTATAGTCATAGTTATAGTCATAGTGAAATCCACAGGTTATAGTTATAGATATTGTTATGGATATAGTGATATCTAACAAGAAAGGAACAATGCTGTAAAGAAAAATGAAAGAAATTGGAACAAGAAGGACTTGAATTATGTTGATGGTCATTGACTTGTCTAATGACAATCAAAATGTTTTTTGTGTAACCTACCCCTGTCAGGGTGGATTGGCCTCTTTATGGTTTACTACAAGGTGGTGCCCCCCCTCAGTGATGGAACGTTAGTTGAAAAAACCATAGTAACTATAGTTATATCCCCTACAAACCCTAGTTAATGTAGGTTTAAACCAAATTAGCTAGCTATGGGGCACCACCTTGTAGCAAGTTTCTGATCAGCAAGTTGCTAGTTGCTCTTCATTTCACCACTTCTGGTCGTGGGTGAAATCCCGATATGCTCTTGTCTGAAAAAATGTTATTACCCTCTGATAAATTAACATAGACCCTGAAAATAACCCATGTTTGGTGGAAACTCATCTGAACCAACCCCGATGACTACCAGGGTCTATGTTAATTTACTGGAGGGTAATAATATACCCCATTCCGTTCACTATTTTTTTGTCCCCTAATTCCACATGATATCACCATTTTTCTTGGTGATTTCGCCATACATTTTCCCATGATATGCCCATATGTTCCTTGGTGAAATCCTGGTTGCCGTGGAAGTCCAGGTCCTGGTGACCCCCAAGTTTCGCTAAGCGCGCCTCCGAAGCTGCCGGGGGCGGCCGAGGGACCTCAAAGCTCCGTTGACTGGATCGGATCGGAACAGATCAGATCAGATCAAAAAGATAGATAGGATTGGATTGGATAGGATTGGATAGGATAGGATTAGGATTAGGATTAGGGTAGGATAGATAGATAAGAGAGATAAGAGAGATCTTATATATATATACAATTATATACATACATATCCAATCATCCTGATGTATATACAGAGAATAGCATATGATAGAATACGGATTTGGTCGAACTTGATTTCCAACAAATATCTACAACAGTTGTTGCTGGTTGTTTTCCATGGTGGATCCACCCATCACTTCAGACCCCGTGATTCACATGTCATGGATGGCTGCAGAATCCCACTGAAAAAAGACTTCCCACTGTGAGGAAGTCAAGTTCGCTTTCCACAATCCATAGTGAAGAAAGAACCAAATCATTCCATGTAACTCATGTAACTTCCATATCAGACCATGTCATGAGCTTTCCATCTTAGTCCATAGTGGCCATTGTAAAAAAAAAAAAAACTCCTGAGTTTCGAGCTAAAACGCACTCCATCTGCTCGACCGCCCTGCAGTTGAGCTTGGGGCAGAATGGGTTGATGTTGACATCGGTGTAGGCACCCGACAACATCATATATATATATATGCATGCATATTAATAGTCAGTAGGGACCATCAAAGAAAATAGGATTTAGGATGGTTTTAAAAAAAAATGCCACCCTAGGGTTTCGGTTTGTTTTTTTCGACACACGGTGTTTCGACGGAGGAAGGGTTCAATGTGTTTTTGGGTGTTGTTTGAAAAAGAAACACGTGGGTAACTGTCTGAAAATAGGCTATGTACCCTGAAACCTACTGATTACCCTCTGGTAATTTAGCGTAGCTATTGAAAATTGCCATTTATAGTTGATTTGCCCATAGTTATGCTAGTTTACCAGACATTACTGATTAATCATGATTGTCCCGTATTGAGATTGCCACTTGGGGGTATACCACATGTTCAAACACACCCAATTGGTTGTCATTCGACTTCTGTGCGCTTGCCCATCGGCGCCCCCGAAGACCGAACTCGTTTTGGGGCCATCGTTGAGAAAGTATGCCCACTATCAATGGTTATAACCACCTATCCATCATGATATGAATAGGTTTGATGGATGCAAAATACTGCTGTGCCTATCAATGGCTGAATATGGAAACATATCTGAATATAGCTGAATATGTCACCTATCATGAATGACTATGGGTAATGGTGAAAAGCATTTCATCCGACTGGCTCCCATCAAGGCTTCAAAATCTTGAAGTTTGACCCATCCCCGCATGTGTCATCCCAGCAGTAGTTGACAGCCAAACCCCATGTTTTGCCCTTAAAATCAACTTGTGGATGGAAGAAATCCTGCCCCGCCTTGGCTGAAAGCCTATAAATAATGGGATCTTTGCCGCCGTTTTCAACTGGTGCAGCTTTTCTTCCACCGTATCTATGGAAAGATGCTGGTATGTCGGGAATTATGTCCAAATGCATCAAATGTTCAATAATTATGGACATAATTCCCTAAATGCTATGGAATTATGTTTATGGAAATATGCATCAAATGTTCCACCAATTCTTGGCTTCTTGGATTGTAGGACCGACCATAGTTTGACTCCACAAACTTCCATAGCTAGGTCCAGGATCTCCCAGCGATCTTGATCAGATTGTATGAACCAATAAGCCGTTAATATAACCTCAGCGTTTGATTAATATTCCAACGAATATACCATTCATGTTCCATGAATATGCCATATGTCATTGATATTTCATGAATATTCTACTAGTATTCCACTAATATTCCTTAGTATCCACAAATCCCCGTCAAATTCCTATAATATCCCAGGTAAAATATTGCCTTTTTGCTTGGTTGAATTTTCTATGCCCACACATTCCCATCATCTTAACACTATACCCCAATGTTATTCTCAAAATGTATCCCCATTATACCACCATGTTTGTTCGTTAAATCCCATTAAACCACCTAATCATCCCAGATAGTTCATAAGTTGTATCCCCATCACATTCCCGCTATATTCCCATGTTATACCCATTGTATCCATTAACATACTGGGGGGTGCAGTCGAGGATACACATGGGTATTAACATGGTCATAAACCCCCATTAACCAGGACACATGCCCTAGAACTATGGTTATATATCCACTTAGTTCACTGGAACTGCACCTCTAAGTCCAACCAAGGATAGAATTATCTCTTGAAAATCCAATATATATATATATACATACTGCATATTGTGCATTTATTCCTGGTATGTCGATGATCACTATGTGTATATATATATATATGTGCGTGTGTACATGTGTATATATATATATACATACATATGTATATATATATATATACATATATATATATATAATTACATATATATATATACACGTATATATTCTCATCATATACCCATTATATCCGTTTACCCTCTGGTAATCAAACATGGCGTGCTGGAAAATCCACCATTTAGTTCAATGATGTTCCCAGCGAACTAAACACCATGAAAAAACGAGGATTTTCAGTTGCCACCTTTGATCACACCGGAGGTACATATAAATATGTTATATATATATATTCCCATCTCTTATTAATATTCCCGTTGTACCCGTTTACATAGGGCTATTTTTGGAGGGTTCCCATCATGGGAGCCTCCGAAAGGGTCATCCCTTGACTATGTATCCAAGGTGCCATCAACTGGAGCAGCTTGGCATCGTCCTGGGCCTACCAAAAAAATGGGAGTTCGATCAACAAAACTTAAGACATATGTGTTTTTCTACCTACAATAGAATATCTTTATATCTGAAGTATGTATATATATGTACACATACTGTATTCAACTTCAAGCAACTTCAAATGTGTGTATTCTATGTATAATATATATATACACTCTCTGTCGTATACATGTACATGTATACCTGGAGTATATGACATACATATGTAACCAACATGTAATCAAATGACATAACATGCATCTCAAGGACCCAGTTGGGGGGGCACTTTGAGCCACTTCTCAATGGATCGGTTTCAGGGAAAATGTAACCGAAAACCATGGTTTTTACCATCAAATATAGGGGTGTCCTGTATTTTGTTCCTTAAACCAATCCCATGAACTTCTAATTGGGTTGCTCATCCAAGAATAAGGCCTATCCCCTATCCCCCACAGGTTGGCTCAGCTAAAGCCCAAGCCTCGCAGTTTTTAGACACAGCGCAAGAAACTTTTGCGGGGGGATCGCCCGGTGGACGTTGGGCAGAATTGACTCAGGATACAAAGAGATCCAGCCAATTTCCGTCCGCGGCATTTTGTTTGTTTTTCTCAGCAGGAAGCCTTGTCCTTGTTTCGGGAGGAAGTGTTTACTGTGGTGCCTCAATCTTAGAATCTTTGGGTGGAACTATTTCTGTAAGGAACTGACTTAAGACAGAAGTGATTTTTTTGTGATGGTTGGTGTAATCAGTCTCAGCTCCTATGTTGCGGTCACCCAAGTACCTCTGACCCCCGCCACCCAACGACTCCCCCGTCTCTACGTCTCTTTGGACTCGCTTTGGTGACAGCGAAGCGATGGTCGTGCTGCAGCTGATTTACAACAAATGGTCTCTCAATCTGCGAAAAAAGCTGAACATCTAGATGTGGATCTTAATGAGGTACCTGGGTACCATTGATGAACCCATCAAGTTGCTCTATTTTAGGAATCAGTCCCACCATATGATTCGGCTCTTCGAAATGGTTTTCGGGCTTTCGCGAATTCACGTTGTACTTCATCCATCTTCATCCATGCCAAGGGTACAAGGTGCTGCGCCCCCAGTTATGTTTATTGGTTTATAAACCATAGTAACTATATGTAACTATAGTTCTATCCCCCATAAACCCATATATATAAACCCTAGTTCTCGGAGTTATGAACCGATCAGTTGTAGCTTGCAGCACCCAAAACCCCCCGCATTTGCGGGGGGGAAATGCTTCTCCGCTGTCGCCGGTTCATGTTAGAGTCGTCTCACATCAGGACTGGAGCGATCCACCAAGGAGATTGAACGGCTAAAAATGGTGGTCAAAATTGGGTACCTCAATGAGTGGATGATGAATATTAGAAATAGACTTGACCTGATTGAAGACTTGAACACCGAGAGCGCCAAAAAAATTGACATGTGATCATCGAAAATGGTGACTGGTTGGAGTCAAGAGCTTGAGTTTTACCACCAAAAGCATGCAAAAACTCTGATTTAGGCGCCGCCTAAACTGATCAAACTGGAGATTCATCAGCAACAACTGGAGATTGCAGTCTTGAAAGTGTTGCCGCAATGATTGTAATCAGTAACGAGAGCTGCTAGTCATGTCAGGATGGTTTTCCTACATCAGTTTTCGCGCTCAAGCCTGGATTTGTATGCCCTGAGTGCCTGTTGATACCTTCAAACTTGGTTTCCAAACAAAACAAACCATTTTGATAAAACAAAAAAATTGGCGTTTCACCCCTGAATTCTTCGTGGCGGAGAAAACCTCAGGGTAGATCATGTTTTCCAGCACTCCCAGCAGTTTCCAAGCTCAAGAGAGGAACAAAAGAGTCACTGGGTTGGTTTAAGGGAAAATCTACAGGAAATTCCTGCAGATCTCTGATCAAAAAAACCAGCCTTGGAAAGACCTTGCGAAACAAATATTGGACAGAAGTAACAACATTGTATGTATGTATATATATGTGATCATTATGAATCATTATGATATGTGATACCTCGGTATGGTGGGTTCAAGTTATTGTTATTGTTCCACAATCTCAACTTCATCATCCAAATCATGGTGGACCCGCGACGTGGAGTTCCAGGGCTGTAAAAATGAAGTGACTTAAAGACCTCTCAGCCACATTTTTGTTGCCGTGGACCGGACCTAAAAAAAGGACCAAGAGTTTTCTCGGTCCAGAGGCCACATCTGCTATCAGCTCGGGGCACTTGAAGAGATGTCCTGCCAGGGGCCGAGAGTCAGAATGAAACAGGAACTCAATCAGATACCTGAGCCCAATCAGATATCATCTGACTAGAATTGGGAACCCAATCAGATCCTTCCACTTGGAAAAGCAATTCGTTCTGCCAGATAGAGCCCAGTTGAGAAAAATCAGCGGCTGAATCCAAGTTGGGATAGACCACAACCATCAGATCCAGGCCACATCTCTTTCTTCACAACAACTTCAATGAAAGAGCGAAAAAGGGGGGGCAGCTGTGGGACAAAAACCTGTTGATTTGCCAGGTACTTCCCAGGTGTGGAAATTGGGGATTCTGCAGATTCCCTCTTCGCCATGGAAAGTTTCAGTCTTTGCCTATCCATTTCGAATAAGCCACCGCGGCCATAGCCATGCAGCAAGTCAAGTCCCCCTCCTTCAGCGGCGCCCCGGTAATGGTCCTGTTTCACAGCAGTCATCAGGGCATAATATTCCCCGGAAACGAGAAGGAGAAGAAGGAGAAGTGGAGACACCAAATTCTGAGCTTGGCAAATACCCCACATTTTGTCTGCTGCTTCAACCGCATGAAGGTGGAGATCATGCCCTACCACTTTTCTAAGAGATCTTCGAACCTATTTCTGCCAGTGTCTTGTATACCCCAAGCTTTTCTGGGGTTTCTTGATCCTCCAACGAGGCGGAGATTCGTCACCCAAAACATGGTGTTTTTAAACCAAGAACTACTACCCTCTGGTAATTTAACATAGCTATGGAAAATCACCATTGTTTATGGGAAAATCCACTATAAATGGTCATTTTCAATAGCTACGTTAAATTACCAGAGGGTAGATGGTATGAACCTCTTGCACTATGTCTCAAGAAGTACACTGTCGCTTTTCGATACATAGGAATCAAAAACAAAACTACCCATCGCCACCGACACCTGCTGGAGCTCGTCGACCTGCAAAATCATCATTTTCCAAAACCCCAGGGTTCAAGGAGCCAAAGAGGGGTCCTTTTTTTGCAGGGACATCATCAGAAAACCCTACAGATTTTGGATGTTTTTGGGTCTGAGTCTGGATCAAAACCCATGGATTTACCAGGTTTTGCTGTGTTCAAACACGGGCTGCTGGGCCAAAAATCGCCGTTGAAACCTTCAGCTCTTGGTTACCCACAACCTGTTTCTATGGCGACTTGGAGGGGTGAACAACCCGGGCGAGATCGCAAGTCCCGGATTCACGTGTGCTATCTGTAAATGGACTAGAATTATCATGAATTATCTGCATATGTAGTTCCTAACTAGACACTAAATTTAAATGGGACGATCCTCTACCCTCTGGTAATTTAACGTAGCTATTGAAAATGGCCATAGAAATAGTGAGTTTTCCCATTAATCGCATGGTGATTTTCCATAGCTATGTTAAATTACCAGAGGGTAAATCTCTACCTTCTTCCCCATTGCTGGTGAAATCTCTACCTTTCCCTTGGTGAAATTAGGCCGGACCCACTTCCTTCATCTGCCTGCCAGTGGGGCCAGCGCCAGCGATCGGATGGCGGCCAAAGCCACCTCACCCATCTGCGCAAAAAAAAACTCCAGGGCTATGCCAATTGTATGTTCCAAAAAAAGATTGATACCTATTATACCCTGGATTAATCCACAAAATCCCATAACATCCAGGGGCTATACCTTTTTTTCGGAGGTTACCTGCAAAAGATTGATCCATCTTTGATCCATTGGTCCATCCTTTCACTGCGCTTGCCAACGTGTGTAGTGGATCTAAATCTCATCAAAGTATCCCTTAGCTGTAGCTGAAATATTGATCCATGTCCACATCCATATTTGCTCGTTCTGACTCATTCCCTCAAATGTTTGCTTGGTGAAATAGTAATGTTGAATTACATAATCGGCCAAACAACCATTCTTGTTGACTCTTCAAATTTGCTGCTGGTTAAAGTACCATGTTTCATGCTTGAATCACCAGCCAAAATGTTTTTAATCCAGCAAGCCTATCACAAAGACAGTTTTGACGTTTCACCACTTAAGCACGAAGCATATTTTGTGGGCATTCCGTACTTGAGAGGTTTTGCCCTAGCTGGATTGCAGTCTACTTGCATGAAAATTGCACGTGCGTTTGAGATTACCTTAGAGTTTACCTGGACATTGGCTGGGCACTCACGCCTATAAATGATTCAACTAACAATTAGTAGCTTATGAAATTAAACTGAAACTATCATATATATATATACATACAATCATTATTAGTTATTAGTTGGTTTAACTGTTGTGTTTTGAAAATGTTTAAAACATGTTGAAAGTTTTGTAGGTCAACTGGCACCCAGCTGGATGCCTCAGCTGCCGGGCTCTGAGGCCCTGAGGTCTCTCTGGCCTATTTTTCGGGGGCAGATGGAGGTTGAACTGGTTCACCAAAAAAAATGGGAGAAACTGAAAATGGTGGTTTTAATATGGTTTATATAACCATGAAAATTATGGAAAAGTGAGGGTTGACCCTCTGGTTATTGAACACAGCTATGGAAAAATTGCCCGTTTATAGATGATTTGTGATGAATTAATATGATGTACCTATTGAAAAAGTGCGATGTTCGATGGCTACGTTGAATTACCAGAGGGTAACTTTGAAGTTAAGTCTCATGGGTTGCCATATGGGGTTACATCTGCTCCGGGTTTTAGTTCCAGTTTCAATTCCACTTGTTTGATTCAGAAGAAACAAACTCCGGGTTTTATTCGTCCTGTGACGCGCAAGCCAAACCGTAACCCGCCAGCTTCAGTGTGGACAAGTCACAAACTGGGCTCGGTCCCTCTTCTTAGACAATAGCTTCGGGTCGAAATGATACGCTTTATCATAGCCTAAATTGGCTATAGAGCGCTCCAAAAGCTGTGATTCTGAGCTTCAATGGATGATGTTTGTCACTTCTATGACTTCTATGTGCACTTGTGCATTTCACCGGGGACATTTCTCAGCAGCCTGATATGTCCAATACTTGGCTCTCATTTCTGAGCCCCAGTACGGTAGAGTGGAGTAGAGCAGAGTAGAGGAGAGTGGAGAAGAGTAGGGAAGAGTGGGGTGGGGCAGAGAAGAGAAGAGTTGAGAAGAACAGGCTAGAAAAGAGTACAGAGTGCAGCTGAGAGGAGAAGAGAAGAACACAGAAGAGCACAGAAGAGCACAGAAGAGTAGAATGGAGCAGAGAAGAAAAGACAAGAGTAGATAAGAATAGAAAAGAGATGAAAAGAGATGAAAAGAGTAGAGTAGAGAAGAGTAGAGCACAGGCACCGATTTGGTGCCAAAGAAACGCTGCAAGTGGCAACTCCATCAAACTTACCCTGAATTTGATTCCTCTGAATACAAAGACTGAGGTCCCCCAAAACACGGAAGTCCCATGAATTGGGTGGACTCGTGTTGGACAAACGCAAGGCAATGGAAAATCCAAAAATCCCCCGTGGATGGTTATCCTACTTCCAAAAGAACGAGATTATGAAACCAAAGGGTCATGTTATGTGTGTATATATGTATATATATATATATACACGAAATGTCTAGGTTGACCTTTCAAAAATCAGGAATCTACCCCCCAATTTACAGCCGATTTTCCACAATACCGCCGTGATTTTGGGATACCATGGTCGTGCGTTGGGGTCCACACCGGAGGAACTAAGACCTTGGCGCCCGCCACGGCAGCGCCAGACAGCACTGTAGATAGTCATGGAAATGGGAAAAAAATCAGGCTGACATTTAGCTGGTGAATGGATGTTTATTCGCCTGAATATGGTAACAATCGATGTGAGCCATCCCTCACATCTATCCTATTTTGGGTTCCCGAGGGAAAGAAAACAAAGAGGTGGATGATAGCCACCCCCATCAAGATGAAAGAAATACACCCTGGAACAATAGCCAACGAAGGTTTACCCAAATCAGCAACTGCGCATCAAACTGAAGCTCAAACACAGCATTTTTTCCAAACCATCCTCCAAATCAAACTGGGTCTGCATGGAAAATTGATGATAATATGTCGCTATACGATCCAATATAATATAGTATAGTTGGATCCATGAACTGGGAAATCCTATCAAAAGTGATGGTCAATTCCCGTTTTCGTGGCGTGTGTCCACCCTTCAGTGTCAGAGGGTATGTGATCTTCGAGGGGTGAGAAAATACAGTTGGCCGGGCTGAGAATCGTATAAAACATGCCGAACCAGCTAGCGGACAGCAACCTGGTTCGCTATCTGGGGTAGATGCTAAACACAATGGCTGCCTATTCTTAATACATAATGTTATATATATATTATAAAGACAAACATTGATGTTCTTTTTTGGTGGCATGTCAGATGAGGATGTGGAGCAGCCTGCTCTGGTCAGCTGGTGAGCTGATGGCCAAGTGACCATTGGAATAACCAGTGATGGTACATGTTCAAAGTATATAAAGCCAATAAAATCTTGAAACAAAAATGTTGGATAGAAGACTATGATGCTATGTTTATTTCTAGAATTCTATAAGACTATGATACTATGTTTATCTATATAAAAAGACTATGATACTATGTTTCCAGCTATATAATTCTAGTACCCTCTGGTAAATCAACAAACATGGCTGGAAGATCTTCCGGTTCGCCAGCGACAGTCTTCCCACTGAAATGCCCTGTGTGGTTCCGGTTTTTTCCATCTGTTGAACTAACATAGCCATGGAAAATCATAATTTTTAATAGGTAAACCATCTATAAATCACCATGTTTAATAGGTAATCACAATGGTTATGTAATCGGACTTATAGCTATATAGATCAACTGTCCAGTTCGCTATGTCACTTTACCAGAGGGTAAATCCCAAGAAAATCCACATGGTTTTCCGCTCTAAGCGCTCCAGCAGTGAGTAAACCCGGAGGAGGTTCGCCTCGTCAGGGCTCCATCAGGTTCACTGGGGTGAACTAAGCCACAACACCAGGCAAAAATGCCACGTTGAACGAGGGAAAAGGATGAAAAATCCATGAGATTTCAGAACCTCTGGTTCTCAAGGAAATCTTCATAAAATTAAGATATTGGAAAATGATAAACAATTAAAGAATATCCTTGGGACCTTGGGATGATTGTCTATGATTTTCCAATATGATCTTGTTCCAAAGGAAAACCCTTTTGGTATTTGGGACCTGGGACCACTGGGACATCCAAATTGCCCATCCAAATTCTAAAAGGAAGCCTGGGAAGGATTGATCAATCCATTGGGATCATTGGAATGATATAAGATATTATATATATATATATATATTAAATACTATGTTATATTATATTTATATTTATGTTTATGTTTATATTTATTTATTTATTTATTTATTTATGTATTTATTTATGTATCTATTTATTTTTATATATATATTATATTGTATATATATTATATTATATATACAATATTATATATATATATGTATATGCATATGTCGAATATTAAGTCATTGATGACCCCAATTTGTACTCTCTTTCGCTTGGTTTCGATTCCGATGGCAGGCCAGGACTCCGGACAGGGCACGCCGAAGGAGGTGAATTGATGGCTGGGCGCATGCCATTCCTCCCGGTGTTTATGACATTCGGAGCCTGAGTCGCCCATGGCCGTCTCCGAAGGTTTCGGAGGGCGAGATAGATGAAATTTGTTGGGTTTCCATGGGGGTACCCCCATTCGTGGACTGTTTATCATGGAAAATCCCCATCTAAAATGGATGATTTGGGGGTACCCACATTTTAGGAAACCTCCACATGTTAAGAGTTATTGGAAATGCTGATCCGACAGGTGTATACCAAGCGTTGGCCTTGGCGGCTTTCCCAGGGAAATCCTATGCCATTTTTACTTCCCATGGGGATGGTTGAAATCCCCATAGAATTGGTGATGAAACTCGGGGATGGTACCCTCTGGTAAACTGTCCCAAAAAAACTATGGAAAGATCCACCATTTTTACTGGGTAAATCAACTATTTCGACTGGGCATGACTGGGCCATTTTCAATAGCGAACTGTTAGTGACTACCAGAGGGTAAACATGGCAGCCTGGCTTTACCACACTCGTACTGCTCCAGATATATGGGCTGTGGGCTATCCATTCCATCCTCTGGTTAATCATGCTCTAGGGATCCAACGATAAACCATCCCCAAGTCATCACCATTTTATGGCTGGGATTCAAACCGTCCCCCAATGGTTGGTTTATGGTATTGGGTTTCCCACATATATATGGTGGATCCATTTATCTCATTTATTGGCTGGATTAACCCTACTTATCTCACTCAAAAATTGGGCTTATAATCCACTTACTACCATAGATACGATACATCACCCATTTTATGAGCCAAATCATCGAACTCAATGGTGCATGTAAACCATAGGCAAACTCTTAGATTACTAAATCATATAAACCATTATCTAGATGGTTAAACCATGTTAAACCGTTATAAACCATGTTCAACCGTGATTTTTCATGGTTTGTCTTCCATTCGATCCCCTTTTCCATGCTGAAATACCCTCTGGTAAACATACAAAAAGCTATGGAAAATCACCATTTTTCATGGGTAAATCCACTATTTCTATGGTCATTTTCAATAGCTACGTCTGACATAACCAGAGGGTATTATCCATTATATCCCCTATAAATCCCTATAAATCACCATAAATCCCGGGCCCTATAAATCCCCATAAATCATCATAAATCCCCATTATTAGGAGGGTAAATCACCGATGACCTCAGCGACGAGGCGCACATCATGAAGTCCTCGCAGTCCTTGCAGCGAAAGCACTCCCGGACCATGGGCGAAATGGCGCCTGAATTTACGAGCTGAAGCTGGGATGGTGGAATGATATAATAATTATATATGATGTGTATATATATATACAATGTATGTATATATATATACAATGTATGTACATACAATGTATGTACATACATGGATTTCACGGGAATGGGTTAGAATCAGATACCAGAAAATAGGATGCCTTCCTATGTCCTAGACCAGCCACTGGCCTCAAATTTGATTCACTATATTCCCAACAATTGTTGACATGTGCAGGTTGACCTGCATCTACATTCATATCCTCAGTCTCCCAAACCTGTCTGGGAGAAATACGACATAGTCAATGAAGAATTGGACTAACAACAACTTTCATTTCATCTAAAATTCCCACACCGTGTATCCTATTCAAAATCATACAGAATAACTTGAAATCATAGCCATACCGCAAGACCTGCCCGTATCCTTTTCTGTGGCTTAGAAACTCCACTCATGCCTCGAACCCGTCTCCATCCCATCTCAATTGTTGGTTACAGTATATACCAAAACATCTCCCCATCAAAAGATGATTCAAAATCTCAAAACCATGGCTTTCAATGATTTGGGGCTATCCCCATTTTTAGGAAACCTCCATGTGTTCCTGGGTCAAAAAACTCAAAAAACATGGCTGGCTTCCCTGGAAAAAAACTCCCAGATCGCCATGGTACAAGCGCCACAAGCCAGGCCAAAGTGAACTGCTTCTCCACGCCGCATGGACCTGGCTCATCGGCAAAAAATGGGGGATTTCTGCACAAACGATTTGTCCATTGAGATGTTCCATGAAAAATCATTGATTAATATAAAATGAAATGGTGACATTGATTTATCATTGAAATTCAAACTCTCATTGAAAAATGGGGAAATTCACCATTGAAAAATGGGGGGAAAATTCTGCAGTGATAAACTTCTGATTGAACCACTGAAGTTCTTCGAAAAATGCCAAGTCGCTCCACCCAGCGTCGGCGTTCAGCCGCCTGGAACCCAGCATCTGGAAGAACCCAGGATGGGATATACGTCTGTTGCTGCGGGCTTGACATTCTCGGCAACCCAAAAAAGCAAAAGTGGCCATCACCCTGGTCTCATTTGGAAAATGAACTTCAAATGGATGTTCTTCACCGTTTTCTGTTCCCAGCAAGCTTTATTGACCCTGTCATTTAGGCCCAGTTTGAGGAACTCGAAGAGTAGAATTGCAACGTCAGCACACCATCTAGACTTTCGATGTCGCGGAGATGCTGGAAATTGAAACTTCAATTGATCGGTGACAGAATTCCAGCTTTTCCGCTACATATAAAGCCAATGGAGTATCACCATTGAAATTGGTATTTTGGGCTATAGCCCATCTTTGGACGAACCCCCCTGGCAAACTTTGGCAGATGTGTGGTGCACCGGTGCCTGCTGCTGTTGTTCCAGGGCCAAGCGCTCTCTTTTCACCTGAGGCTGATGGGGTTACAGGTGGTTCACCAGTCTCTGACCGCCATTTCGCTCGGAAAGTCGGAACCCTTGGGGAATGGGGTCTGATCAAGTGACCCTTGGCAAGGGCTTACTTAAACACCGGACAATCACTTTTTAAGAACCACTTTTACAAAGACAAATCTGGACTCGGTCTGAGTTTTGGGGGGGTCACTTTTTGGGGGGTCACCTTTTGGGGGTGTCATTCCATTCCATTTTATTCCACTACATCCACATAAATGGTTGCTTTGATATATAGTCATCCACAAAAAGTAGATAGAATATGGGACTTTCAAAAACATTCCCTTGACTTTGAATCTTTGAAAATTCTTTTTATTTTATCTACTCCAGGATCGCTATAATTATATATCTAAATCCCAATTTTGTTGGGTTTTCCTCCGGTCATCAAACCTGGCAATGGAAAATCCAGCCATTACGTGGCAATGCTCGGGGAGTAAATCTGCCCATTTTGAGACGCCTCGTCTCCTGTAGACTTCCGATCTTTTTACATATGGGATTAAAGTGGGATAGTCATCTGATATCCATAATATGGGATAGTCATCCCTATATCTGATGGGATATCCATAATCTATCTTTTAGACTATCCATCTTTATTCTGATATCCATAATCTATCCCTAGAATGGGATAGTCATCTGATATCCATTAGATGGTATATAATGGAATCTTGATGGAATGTGAATGAGATATATGATATGAATATCAACGGAGTCTGAATGGGATAACCCCTTCCCACATTCACGGTTGAACACTCCCCCAGAAACCATGGTGGATGTAGGGAATTAATTCACAAATGTGACCATTAATGAAGGGTGTTTAATATTCGGGGGACGGGATTATTATCAACATATGTGTAGTATATAGTATCTACCATTCACTTGTGTTGCAAATTACTTTAATTACTATGATTGTTAGCACTTTTTTAGTCATGATCATGTTTGCCGTAACTAAGTGTTGTCGTTGTCAAAATATTGTTCTTTATTTGTCAAATGACTGTCCAACCACTTTAGACTTTAGCTCCTACATATGTACATGCTAACATTCCCAATATGTATTTCTATAAATGGTGATTGATCACCACTTGTTGTTTATTCTATACATCATCATACATCCACCAAGTCCAATCATGTCAACCCTGGATTTCTCTTCAGATGACCTCCCAAAAATTGGGGGGGGTAACCCTCCTATCCCAAAAATCAACCAGGCTTCAGTCTCATCCTCCCCAGCATCCCCCATATTTTCAATGGGCTGGGCAAGCGGGTCACAAGTTTTCATGCTTGCCATTCACAAAAATGCCTTGCCTTAGATGGTCCAAAAAAGTGTTGAACATCTTCCCAGTAGATTCCACGGTGGATGAACCAATCAGGGCTTTTTCGTAGCTCCAACTGGCTCCCTCCTCAATCTGGCGGAAAATAGGTCGTTTGGGGATGATTCCCAACCACTCATGATCATTCCAGTGACGTCCTGATATCATGATTGAATCCTGATTAATTATAGTAATTATAGACTTTAGATGATATATAATGATGATAGATTCCTTTGAAAAAACCTCTATGTCTGGTCTATTTATAGTTCTTACATATTCCATCTATTAACCATATCATTGTGATGATCATGGATACTAAGCACCCAAAAAAAATGTCATCATGGATAGTAAGTACCAAATCATTCACTATTACAACCATAAATGATGTTAATGTGGATAAAAGAATGATTTATACCACCTATGGTGATTTGGGGATGGTTTATTCTTGTTTTACCCACATTAGATATCATTCTATATCCTCAAATCATGGACTATTATATCCATAAATGATGTAAGATATCATTATATATCTAGATTATGAACCATAAATGATGTTATCATCTGGATATTTAACATAGCGAACTGGAAACTCCATGAAATAAATGGAGGTTTCTAGCTGGGAAAATCATCTGTTTCTATGGGCCATGGCTTCCATAGCTATGTTAAATAACCAGAGGGTATATCATGAACATTAGCCATCAACTATCGTTAAACCATTAACTATAACCACCAGCCAAACTAGAGACTATATCTCTACCATAAACCATAGTTAACTATATAATATATAGTTTCCCAATCATAGTAATTCATCTCATGTTATTTAACATAGTAAGTTATTAAGAAATCCTGAGATATACCAAATCCAGACTGGTATTTTCCAATGGTTAATATCTATATCCTCAAATTCATCCAGACTGATAGTAAGTACCCAGACTGCCCAAATGGGCCGCCTTCTCTAATGCCTCCGCTTCCTCCTTGAGTCCGATGCTGCGCAGATACCTGCAGCGCAGCTTGAGACCCCTTGGGGTACGCGGAGTCGGGGGAGTTGACAAAAATATGTTGGAGAAATCAGGTTCTACATTGATACAGATGTATGGATTTGTATGTTGTATAAATGTTTGGATTAAATCAAGATAAATCATGTAGAACGCATTGGATTCTATGCATTTATACAGATCTAACTCAGATCTATATGGATTTAATATGGATTTTAAAAAAAGATGTTCTATGGATCTGAAATGGAATTGACCCTCTGGTAATTAAACGTGGCTGGTTGGAAACTCCTCGAACTAAACGGAGGTTTATAGGGAAAATCATCGAATGAAATTGGGATGTTGGATTGCCACGTTTAAATACCAATTGTTCTTGGATGATTTGAGATCATTTATTGTTTATTTTTATGGTTGAGAAACAAATGAAGCCACAAACGTTGAGGATTGATGGTGCTTACCTGTAAAAGCCATCAACCCGAGAAAAACGCGGAGGTGAAAACCATGAAAATAGGTATCAGGCCAATGAAGCCACAAAGATGGAAAGAAATCGATGGAAGTTGGGGATGCTACAAGCCACTTCTAGCATTCTAGCCCAACTGCTAGTGGATATGTCAGCAAAAAAAACTGGGAGGTTGGGTTCGCAAAAAGGACTAGATCGATAGTATCAAGCTGCTTTGTGGGCCATAGTCATCAACACTTCTTCCATCTTCTTCCAACACTTAAAGCTAAACCACCATTGCCAGATCCCTAGAAACGCCCTGTTCAGAAATCCCATTGGCTTCATCATCATGTTTCCCTTTAGGTTTTAGATTCTCATTCTATGATATTTTATGGCTACCCTCCAGTAGCTATTAGCACAGTTTGCTATTGAAACTATCACCCATTTCGTGAAAAATGGAACAAACGCACTGCCTCACATCATCGACCTCGAGCTCCATCCTGCGTCAGGAATCGGATGTTGCTCTGTTTGGATGTTTAGTGACCAGTAGATGGGCACAAATGACAACCAGCAACACCCAACCGAAAAAATTGCTTGTGCAAAACGTGCATCTGTTTTAACTACAAATACCAGCAAAACAGAACTCAGGTAGAACATAAAGGGGGTGACCATATTTGTTCATGGCAAACAGAATTCGAGCATTGATAGTCATTGATGATCATTCATGCAGAAGAAACATTGAAAACTCTCCCCAAACCTCTGCAAAAACCTGCCCCCCATGAGTGCCCCGTCTGAAAAACATTCCAAAGGCGGTTTGGATCATGATCCTATCGTAATTGAAACGAGGATTTCTCCTGGAGAAAGCCTGGTGTTGGGTTTCCCCCACATTTTTTTTGTCGCTACCATGTAACCGCCGTACGTCGGCCTACAGGTCGGACAGGTGTGTCTTCGCGTCAACCAGCGTCGGATACAATCCTCAATCGCGGGCGGGTTAAATTTGACTGATCATATCACCTGGCTGCACCCAAAAGATGAAGAAAACTCGACATCTTTCACCAACCGAGTTCGATGGCTGGCAGAAAAATAGTGGGGCTCTCAGCTTGAAATATCGGTTTTTTCCAGGCCATGGCCCGAATTTTAGGGGGGCTAGAAACATCGGATTTTTTTACCATCTGGTCACTGGAGAATCCTGTGGAACTCAGCTTGACACACTGAATACACAGAAAAGTCTAAACAATATTTGGAGATAACCTGGGGTAAACGATGGTAAACGTTTAGATGTGGAAAATCCATGAAAATCCATGATTTCCCATTCGGAGAACCACATCAAACTGCTACAGGAGGGGACCATCTGAGTTGTTTCATGTTGCTCCACCTGAACAAATCACCCATAGTGTCCACGCGCCACGCGCCTACTGGCAGGGTAACTGGATATAAATTCAATGGATTGGTTTAAGGGAAAATCTACAGGAAACCATGGGTTTTACCATTAAACATGGGGTTTTCCCATGTAAATCATCCATCCAATTCTGTGATAAATGGTACTGTTCACTTGCCACAAACACAGGACAAAATATGACAGTGACAGTCCCATGTTAACAGGATTTCCCAAATAACATTCCACATGAATAGTAGTGCACGTCCCAAACAACAACTGTGGCAAGCCCCACATACGTCCCTTCCACCGCAATCGGAGCTGTTCACCTCGTGAAAATGGTGCTGGCAATTCAGCGTGACCACCGGCGTCCCATGCTGCGGCAGTGGATGTTCAGGAAGATCATGGGAATATCATGGGAAAAATTGTTGGGGATACCATGGGAATATAACCAACACCTGTTAGGATCTGTTAGGATTGTTAGGTGTTCACCCACGTGGATTTGGGGTATATGTGCCAGGGTCAAGTTACATCAAGTTACATCAAGTTACATGGGATTAATGGTCGATGGTCATCCAACTCTGGACCCCACATATGGGGAAGGCGCGCCCTGCGAGTCTATCGGGGGAACTCAATGGCTCCGATTGCAGGTCTGGGCTGCCCGAAAGCTGATTTCATGTGGATGGTATTAGTGAATCAGAAGCAAAAGTGGCCAATTTTTTGTGGTTTTCAGCTCTTTTCTAGGCATTGCTGTGAAATGTTTCCCATCTTCTAACTGGGCGCGTCTTAAATAAGAGGGGACCCCAAAGTCCCGCCAGCTTTTGAAAATCATTGTCCCTCTGGTAGCATGTCTTCCCTTTTACAGCACAAGATTCACACCAAGCCAGTAAATCAGTATATATCTTAAGGACTACAATATGTGTGACTAAAGTACTTTAGTTCCATCAAGTGTACTCTCCAGTAATTTAACAGTTTGCTATGGAAAATGACCATTTAGTTCGTTCATTTACCCAATATTTACTCCAAAAATGATGATTTCCCACAACTTTGCCCACAAAATTCAGTCGAACGCCTCCAAGATGTCTTCGGCACAAATCACGCAGTGCCCACCACTCAACGCTTCCACGCGGGTGGAGGCCTGGACGTATGGAACGATCCCAGGAATTCCAGGTGCGGGGCCACCACTTTTTGGGGATCCAAAAGCCAAGCGATGGAAAAAACTTTGGGATGTTTGGAGATGTTTTTTGCAAAGCCAAGAAATGCCGAATTTGAACCACTGGGGATTTCATCGGGATTGTACTGGCAGACATGGTTGGCTGATACATCCCCCTTTTTACGTGTAAGTGATGACCGGAGGATAAGCAATCTGGGTGCTCGTAAGTCCGTTGTCCCATTTAGAACCAGGCTGGTTAGTAAGTGCTTATCATGAGTTGAATATTCTTCCAAGTAAAGTAGTTAGTTTTGAATCTTATTCGTAGTCTATTGAGCATCTCTGGTGTTTACACTCCAATCAAAAGTGGCAACTGGAAATCCCCTAAATGGAGGTTTGAATGGGAAAATTGTCATTCTGGGGAAGTTTCCAGTAAGCAATGCCTGTTTACTGAAGTTCGAAAGGTAGAGCCACCTGGCATCCATGAAACATGACGAGCAGAGACCTTGATCGTACGGGCAAAGATACCACAACACCAAGTGGTCATGTCTACTGTCAAACATCCACTGTTGGGCGTTGGGGATACAAATGGTGGTTGGACCTCGAGTTTGTTGTGTATGTAAATGTATTTACTATTTATTAAATATGTATATTTATATGTATGTTCCCATGTCTCTTCATTAGACGCATGTTCACTGTCTTGTTGGCTATACACGGTGTTATTTAAAAGTTATATCCCATGATTGTTGCATGATTGTATTTTCTCAAATCCCGGCCAATAAGCCTCATGAGATTCTTTGGGCTGCAATGGCTATAGGCTAATTCCAAGAAGGGCCCCTCTCCCCGTGGCAGGTGCAGCTACCCCACCTGGAGTCTGGAGACAAAGGCATCACAGGCAGGTTCGGGCGGCAGTTCCCACTCCTACTACCGTGGCGCGGTAGGCGCTGGGACTGTGCTGGCAGTCCCACCAGCTGCCATGTCTTCTATGAAGACATGATGACATTAGCATCACTAGCCGAGTCATTCCAGTTGAAGTCATATGAAGTCATATGAAGCCATATTTCCCAGTGATACTAGTGATACTCTGACTCTGTTTCCCCCTGGTGCCCCAAATTCACGGAATCATATCATTGCCTACGGGTACGACGCTAGGACTCAATCGAACCAACGGTGAAACATCAAGTGATGGGTGAATGGATGACTTTTTTCGGGGGCCATAAACTGGAACTATATGGGATGTAGAGTTTACCCTATTTTCCTGTAGCTTTTGATGAGAAAAAACAATGGTGTCCAGCACATGTTCCCTTAAATAAAACCATTCACTATTGTATGTGCTGGTGCAATATCACTGGTTTCGGAACCTCCAAATAGTTTGAAAGAGTGAAAGCCTGGAAATAAATATATGATTTTCCCAAGAAAGATAGAAAAGGTTCAGAGTACCACTAAATTTTAGTCGGTCTTTACTACACTTTATTTGCTTTGATAGTTGCTTTACTAATCTTTATCACATCCCAGTTATGTTTTACTTCTCTACATTCCCATACATTCCAAACTCCCCCATGATGTCCCCATGAAACATCCTCGTCCCCACCCTCTGGTAATCAAACATGGTTGGAAAATCCCAGTACCATATTTAGTTCAATGATGTTCGCGAACCAAACCTCCATGGAGTTCAGTGATTTTCATGCCGTATTTGATGACACCAGGTACATCCATGGATTTCCAGAAGAGTCCGCGAGAATCCACTATAACCCATGGTACCTCTTTACCAGATGGTACATCCATTTAAAATCCATAGAATCCATAGAAAAGATACGTATATAAATCCATAATATAAATCCAACCTGAACCTAGAAATGGATAGAAATGGAGATACCAAAGGGTACATCCTGGAAACCTGAAAAGATCTGGAAAATCCCTAGCCTGATCCTGCTCTTCCGCCAGGCTAATGGGCGCCGAGAGACTGCCTGCAGGCCCACCCAAAATGATGCTTTAAAGCACCATAAAAGTGCGATCTAAATCAGCAAAAAAATGGTGATTGAATCATGAAAAATATTTGGTAAACCTGTAGAAGTGGGGAATTATCCAGTAGAAATTTTCATTTAACTCCATCAAATAGTAGGAATTCAACCACTCATCGGTATGGGACGATTTTTGGGTACCCGATTTCAAACAAACCGACCGATATGTTACCAACAACCCCGGAAATTCCGCAAAATGCTTTCTTACATGCGGACATCATAAGAACTTCGCAACTGGGGGTGCCCTTCAGAGAAACCCAAATGAACAACTAGAAATACATGTATATGCCATGTCTATGCACGTACGTACGTGCAGTGCCTGGCTCGCTCTCGACGGGGCGCGCCACCACGTTGGGCAGAACGCGCAACAAGAGGCCCCCGTCCTGGCCCCGGAGCCCGAAAAGAACGTTGTGGTTCCCATAGCTGAGAAATGACCGGATGATCTCAATGGATTGATTTAAGATGGTGTTAAGGGAAAAACGCAGGAAAACCTAGGTGTTTTAGTTTTAGCATGAAAATGATGGTTTCCAAAAATGTCCCTTCAACCAATTTTTGGATATCACCAACTCAAAGTTGGAATCCAAGCACGGAAGTACCAAGGGTTTTGAATGGCCAGCCAATAAGCAGTGAAGGCATAGTCAACCATGATGTTTTCCACCTCAACCCAGCAGTTTCCCGAGGGGAACTTCCAACCCATTCCACAATTCCACAGGGTGACCTGCTGTCCAACTCACAGAAAATGACAGTGTTCAATTCCACAATTCCATATTCTTCTTGTTACTTCCATCCTTCCGGGGGAAAAAAAAAAACAACATATTCAGAAAAACCTGGGCAACTTGCAACTTCACGAAGAAGACATGTTGCCCATTTTTGGTGTGGTTCGCATTCGTATAAAGCATTATTGGGACTGGTCTGCCGATGAAGTCGCTGTTGATACATTTTCAAATGTGGGCAAGGTCTGGAAAAATATCGTAACAAATACCAGTGGTGTTTTAAAAAATGTTCAATCTGGTGTGACATTGGTAAAATGTACAAAGGTATATATGTATGTAAAGGTTAGGTAACATTGATACGAACGTTGGCAAAAATGATACTGTGTTTTCTAGAATCATATTAGTCTTCGAAAAATATCGTTTTAAAACAATTTCAAGATGGAAAAAAATCTAAATGTATCTAAATGTTAGCTTACAATTTTTGTTGCAATGTGGGTAAATCAATAATAATAATAATGATAAACCATCCCCCAGTCACCATTTTTATAGGTGGTACCCTCCAGTAAATTAACATAGACCCTGCCAGATAGGGGTTGGAAGATTAGGTTCCATTAAAAATTTGCTATTCTCAGGGTCTATGTTTATTTACCAGAGGGTATGTTTACCATCTGGTTATTTAACATAGCCATGGAAAATCCCCATTTTTAATAGGTAAACCATCTATAAATGGGCCATCTATACCATGGCTATGTTAAATAACCAGAGGGTACCATTCCCAGTCATGGCTGGTGGCAGTTTCTTCCCACTCCTCCGGTCGTTCCAAGGCCACTACCGAAACAGACCTCGCGATGGCTCGAGATGGCTCGCGGCGTCAAAGTTGTTTGACATTGCAAAAATCTGCTCTTAAAGGGTTTGGAAAGTCGAAATTATGATGAAATTATGATGAAATATGATGAAATTATGATGAAAATTATGATGAAAATTATGATGAAAATTATGGTTTTGCTTTCAAAAGCCCATGAAATATATGTTTCTTGGGGATTTGGGTAACCAGAAAAAATCATGGTTTGTTTGGCAGCAACATCGCTTTCTTGTGGAGTTTCCGAACTAAAAAAAGGGATCTAGCGATCTACCCGGAATTGGCAAACCTGACAGCAAGCCCCTCTCAGCAAGCGACCCACATGTTGGTCCAAAAAAAACAGGGGCAAAAGCTATTTGTCGTTACATGCAAGGAGAAATCAATTTGAATGGAACTGATATTCCCCCGTGCCGCGCTCTAAATTATCCAAAATCCAAATCCTGCTGCACTGGAGCAACAAACTATTGTATCATCATTTACATAAACTAAAATCACAGCCTGGCAACCGCGGCCTCCTAGCCGTGCGGCTTCTTTTTGCGTATGAAAACGTTGCAAATATCCAACACAGGCAGAAATACGACATAAACGTTTTCCTAGAGTTTCAGAAGCTGATCTTGCACTGCATTGCTGTCACCACCACAATCTGGATAGCCCCATGTAACCGCAGATCCATCTGCCAGGATCGCAGCAAATGCGCATGTGCCCTGGACCTGCTGCACATTCCTGAGCTGATCTTGCACTGCAGAGCTGTCAGCAGCATAATCTGGATGGCCCCATGTGATTATCCTGTTGCCACTACAGCACCACAAAGCGAAGGCGCCGCCTTCGCCACAGGGACCCATCTTTTCTGTTACTGCCAGCTTCGCTTGAAGTACAACAGCAGTGAGGCACTCTTCCTCTCTGAGCCCTTCACTCAACAGCCTCAACAGCGACTGCCCATCCTCTGTAGGGTCACCCAAAATGCGCCCATCTGCAGTGACAAGCCTCAGGAATCCTTGTTGAAACGACCTCTCCGCCGACATCTTCAAGTCCCCAACTTGGGAAAGCTCGGTTTCACGTGGCGAGCCACGTCCACCACTTGAGCCTCTTGGAACAACAAATATGGTTCAAGAACGGTTAGCACCTGTAACCTCGGTAGTGTCAATTTTCATACCAGATCTTCATATGTTCTACATGTTGTACTGTATATATGTATATATATATATATATCTATATATATATGTATGTAATGGATGTGTTTTTGTTGGGACAAAAACGTATAAACTACCCCCAAGAATTTGGACCGGTTTTCCCAAAAACATGTTCTAGGATTTGAGGTGATTTTCCCAATGATTATGTAATTGGAAAACAAAAAATGATGTTAAATCACCAGCCAAAAACCTGTATCAATGTTTTGCGCATGGATGTTACCAGAAAATTGGTCTTGCCAGTTTGTTGGTAGAGACATTCCGATTCACTTCAAAACGACATCGATCCTTTTTTGCAACCTGCGCCATTAAACATATGCATTTTGCTTGGTTCTGTTCGTGGGGGTTATACTTGCCAATATGCTGGGGTCGGGTTTTGATGATCTATTGGTGTTGAACCTGTGGGTTGAGGGATGGCAATAATTCCGATGTTGGAGTGTTCACTCCGATTGGTCTTCCTAAATTTCACCATCTACCCTGGTGCAGTTGGGGATAATCGCATCACGGTGATCACCAGCTGCTTCGATGGTCGTCCGCCTCTTTGAGTTGACGATCATTTTCCCCTGGTGAACCATGGCATTTGGGGGTGTAGTTCTACTGCGTTTATTTGCCCAAATCCAATTCATATGGTTGGTATTATATATATATATATTGTAATTAAATTGTGTCCCTCTTATTTTCCAAGTGTATCCCATCACGTTGTATAACCAAACCCATGTCGTATCATATCATCATATCATCATATTGATCTATTTTCTTATTCACTTGGTTCACTTATTTATTCAATTATTCATGTATATATTTATTTATTCATGTATTTACAGTATTTGTTTGTATGCAGTCATCCTAGAGTACAAAAAGAAACTTCAAACATCATCTCTAAACTCTAAACTGGAAACATGAATGAAACATGTTTCAAAATTCGACATTCGGTCTATATACTTCAGGATGATGATGATCATGATGATCATGATCATGATCATAGTGGTGATATCCCCATCAGTTAGCAAAAATATATTACACCCCAACGACCCCAACCCCATCCATCACCAAGGCACTCCACGCGCATGGACGTCGCTGCCGGATTCGCCCCGGCCGAACTGGAGGAGGCGCGGTGCGTGGGCAGAGACGCACCTCAGGGCCCGGAGGGTCATCGCAAAATGGTGATTTTTCAGCAACACAAATTGTGACCTTACCAGGCAAGACTTGCAATTCCATGAGAAAAAATGGTGGTTTTGCAAAAATGGTGATCCTGAAATGGGGGATACTTGCATAATCAGCATAATATGTATATCAAATCCAATGTACCCAAACAATGTCTGGACCCCTGATAGACGAACAGATTCTGAATCCCATCTGGATCCATTTGGTGTAAACCATGCCATGTTTACCATGTCATCTGAGGATGGTGCTTATTTTATTCCATAGCCAGTTGGGATTTTAATGATTCTGTCACCATTTCCTAAAAGCAATGGATGTCCCTGGTTTATTGGGCACCTAGAGTTCTTCCACGTATAGCTGGATATGCTGGGGTATACCCCTGCTTACCAGGTGTCGGCAGAGTGTGGGCGGGCTTAATGACAGGACCCAACACATCCGTTGTGTCAGCTGGCAAGTTGGAATGCTGATGATGGTTGTGAAAAAGCCTCAAAAGCAGCAAGCACTTCATGGAGCGCAATATCATGGATTGGTGCCAAATGTGGTGCTTTGATTTCAGACCTGCGGTCAGAATTGCCTCTATGACGTTCATATTAAATTGCTATCAGTCTGACAAGGGTACACGCGTATGTGGGTGGTGGTTGTGATCGCCATGCAAACCGGTTGCAGGTCGTGAAATATTTCGGAACATGTTCGAGATTTCAAAATGGAATGTGAAGGTTTTGTTTGCCAAGTATTGTCAAATTCCAAAATCAAAGCCACTTAAAAAGGTACCCCAACGAATTCTCATGCAGTGTTTCTTTCTGTTTTGAAATTCGCTTTGGAGTTTGAAAAATGGGCAAACTGAACCATGCGACGCACACATGAGTTTGGATGGGTTTGGAAGAGTGCACCAGCCAAAAATCACCCGGTCTCAAGAAATCAACTGGGTCTCAGAACATCTCCTACGTGCCAAGAAAATCCCATTCAGATCAACAAAAAATGCATCATTGCAATAAACGACCAATTGCTTTCCTAAGTCGTTGGGTAACCCAACAAATTAACATTTTCCCTGGTCCTCCTATATCATGTTTGATCTTGTTGAATCATAATTCATTCATGGTGTACCCCCGGATCAGTCGATTCAACGATATTTTGGCTGGAAATTCAACGACTGTGGTTGTTCAATCTTCATTTTTCTTGAAATCAATTCTGCGCATCCCCGTTTTTTGCTACTCAGACTCAAATCACGATGTTTTTTCTTCGATTCCTTTGTTTGCTGGTTCAATCCCAGTTTTTACTCGACAAAAGCCCATGTTCACCATTTAAAGATATGTTTGTTAGTTAAATCACATTTTTGTTAGTTGAATCACCATGTTTGCTGCAAAGATGTCAGAGTGCCCCCGCGCGACAAAGCTCTCATCGCGGAAGTGGGCGAGGTCACAGGAAGACGTGCCTTGAATCAAAACGGGACAACCGTGGTGTCATCCACCAGGTGTCTTGGAATTTCCCTCTAGTGATTTATCAGTTTGCTATGGAAAATGGCCATTTGGTTCGTTGATTTACCTATCAAAAATGGTGATTTTCCATGGCTATGTTAAATTACCAGAGGGTATGCTCTCTAAATGGAGGTTTCTAGCTGGGAAAACATGGGGAATCATCTATAAAATAGGGGATGTCAGGGATGTCCATTGCCAGGTTTGATTACCCCCTTGGTATCTATAATGAGAATCTATGACAAATTATATCGTCAATATCCACGACTATGTGTAAATCATCCATGCCTATGGTTTTCTTGGATTTGATGCCAGAAAACTCCCAAAATTTCCAGCAACCCCCTCGATTTTTCACGGGGAAACCCTTGGGCACTCCCCGATCTTGGACATATATCCATCTACCATGCCATCCATCGATCTATCTCAATATCTATCCACCCATTCATCTACAGAAGAACCCTCAAGTGCGTAAAAGGTTGGTGTTTACAGTGTTGTGTAATGTTTTTTCTTTAGAACATCACTACCCACGTCCCCTGCTTTCTTGATCTATGCGTTTCCACTGTTCCTGTATTGTTCATTGCATTCCGCCTAGTTATCGGCGCTGCGTACCCAATGCAATCTATACCTTTTGTTGTTGGCTCGGACGTCGGGGTTCGTCGCGCAGAACACGCTCGTTTTGTCCTATAAATTACAGGACATTTGGCTTTCGAAACCATGTCGCACAGGGAAACGCAAGACGTCGTAGGCGCCGCATTTTACCCTGTTGATGCAGGGAATTCAAGTTCCGATTGAAAACCTCGCTAAATAGTACCAAGTTTTGTACATGTTTCATTCATGACAACTGATTGATATTCATACCTTGAACATCAGCAATATTTCACCGCTTCTGTAGACTTCATTGCCCATGGATGTCATTGACTTGGCGCTTCGGCTGGCGTTGACCTATGTGTACTTGCTGAGAAGCAGCAATCATTGTGTCGCAGTCCATCTGGTGGTTGCTGACTTCATAACAGTTTTGGATGTACCTTGTCTTTGCTCGGCTGATCTGGGGGTGGTGGGGGGGTTCCAGGGGGAAATAACATTCTTGCTTCTGCGATTTTTGATGCTACGCTCTTCAACTTTGTAGAATAACTTGCAAGACACCCTTGATGGTACGCTCTTCAGCTCTAGATAGCAGTGCTGACGAGGATGAGGATGAGGATGAGGATGAGAATGAGGATGAGGATGATGATGAGGATGATGATGATGCTGATGATGATGATGATGGTGATGGTGATGAAGATGATGAAGATGAAGATGAAGATGAGGATGGTGATGATGATGATGATGATGATTATGATGATTATGATGATGATTATGATGATGATTATGATGGTGATGATGATTATGATGATGTTGGTGATGATGATGGTGATGATGATGATGATGATGATGATGTTGATGATGATGATGGTGGTGGTGGTGGTGTTGGTGGGGATGATTATGATTATGTGGATGTGGATGTGGATGTGCTCGGGTCATGTCGAACCCCGACGTCGACGCGTTGTTGTTTGAATCCCTGATTGTTTGAATGCGCCCGGAGAACTACTACTGGTGATATGCCGGTTTCGTGGGTTCTATCCCTGAGTTTGCACATCATATCCCCATATTTCAACATGGTTTGTCCTTTTTGTTGGAGAACTAAAGAAATGATGGCTACATCAAGCATCAAAATCCAAATGCCGATAGAATACATGGGTGTGTCATCCTTTCCACCATTAGAATTGCCATTTAGGGGTCCCATTTTCAGACAAGCTCAAATGGATACGTTACTAGTTCGTGGATATATCTCATATCATAAACCACGAAAAAAGAGGACTTTTTCAGCTAGAAACCTCCATGGCTAGTTCTCGGACTCCCAGCTAGCCATGTTTGATTCTCACAGGTTACTTATGATTCATGGCCTTGTAATTAATAAAACGACACCATCCTCATATCATAAAATGTATAGATGATTTTCCCATGATATTCCCCATTATAAACACCACTATCAAGACCATATCCTTGCTAAAACCGGCCATGGCGCATCAGTGACTTCCACGCCATCGGTGGCACCGCAGGCCGCGCAGCCTACAGCTGGAATCCCCATTTATAGAAAGATTCTGGGGGAGAATGCATGCTATGTAGATAGATAGATAGATTTCTGTCAGTATCTATATTCATATAGATATGTATATATATATATATGTCCATGAGTTAGCATAAATGTTAGTATGTGGTACACATAAATATATATATATATATATAATGAATATATATATATATATGTGTGTGTTTATATATATATATACAAATTAGTATCCCCATAAGTATGCATGCATGGATCCATGTGCATGTATTTATGTATGTACGTATGTATGTATTTGTGTACGCATGTATTCGTGAGAAGTTTAGGGCTTCAGTGGGCTGAATTTCGACATTTGGGATCATTTCGGCATCATTTTGGGTTTTCGCAAAAAACTATCTGCAATATGAATTCAACATTTAGATGTGTATATGTGTACATAGATATAATCAATAGTTTTTGGTTTTTCTAGATATCTAGTGTGTGTGTGTATGTAATATATATATATAATATATAATATAGTTATCTAGTATACATATTTTATATCTAGATAGTTGCCCTCAAAAAGAATGGATCTGAACTGCCGAAAATCGGGCCCCAGCATGGCCGCTCAAGGCCATCCACTATCGCCTTGGCGGGGGATTTTCATCGAATTTGAATGGCTTGAAACCAGGGAAGGTACCCTCTGGTAAACTAACATAGCTATGGAAAAACCACAATTTTCAATGGGTAAATCCACTACAAATGGCAATTTTCCATAGCTATGTTAGTTTACCAGAGGGTAAATTGAAACACAAAAAACCATGGACGGTATTATGAAATATCGAAACGTGTCCGACTAGTGTCGTGTAGATGTTCCTTTCAAGCAATTCTGCGATCGGCAAACAAAGTTTAACGTGTAGTGAGATAAATGATAAATCCATCTTCTAAAATAGGTGTATGATTACAATCCATCCACATTGGAGTTCTTCAAGTGACCCAAGTCTACATTGGGTGTTTTAGCTACACATGACCCAACATTGGTGAAGAGATTGGCAGATAGTGACCCAGCAGATCTGATTTCATTCATGGATTGGTTAAAAGGGAAATCTACAGGGAAACCCAGGGGATTCTTTCCATTTAACAAAGCGGGGATTCTTGCAGATTCTCCCTGAAACCAATCCAGCCCCAGAAAGAAATCAAAAATGACATTTAGAAGTTTACTTCTCGATCTGTTTAGGGTTTACTATATCAAATATATATATATATAGCTCATATCATATACAATTTGCTTGTTGAAACGTATTTGATCAACATCATTTCCTCCAGAAACAGCAACTCTTCGCTGAATAAGATAAAGTGCATCTTTGCCGGGACCAACAACATCTTTTATGCAACAAAAATGGGCACAGTACTGGGATATACCCTCTGGTAATTTAACAGTGCTATGTGAAATTGGCTATCTTGTTTATATATGTTTATATAGACCTCCATTTTGTTCAAGGATGTCGCAGCTAGTCATGTTTGGTTCTCATAGATGACTTCTGATTCATGCGTGGTCAACTCCCAGGTTACCATGCTGTCATCCGAAATCCCCGTCCTAGTGGTTTTTTCCATGGTTTTTCCCAGTTGAAATCAACAAATTCCAACTTGTGTTGCTTAAATCACCATTGCTGATGCTTCAACGAACCACGTTTCTTGTCTCTGCACCATCCCCATCAACACACCCAGCCACCGTGCGCGCTCCGCAGCCGTGACAGAAGAGCCGGCCGTCGGCCGCCGAAGCGCCTGCGACAGCTTCGCGCAGTGCTGAAGGAGGCTCCAGAAATGGAATGATCATGGGAATCACTGGCTATAAATGATGACAATTAACTACTATAGTAATTTGGACGAAAAAGACATGAAACACTATATTATCATATAACTTTGTTAGTGGTTATATCCCATTTAGACTAACCGCTATAGTGTCGCTATAGTGCCGCTATAGTGCCGCTATAGTAGTTATAATGTTAGTAGTTAATGATGATATAACCACTCATGATATTCCGGTTATCATTGTACTAACCACTATAGTAATCTGGATGATAATGATATTGACCACCATAGTATCATAGTGATTAATGGTTACATTAACTTTGTTAGTGGATTACTAATCACTGTATCATTATCAGAATATAACCCACTACCATTAATTCATATATTGTTACGGCCAGGACCGGGGTGCTGCCCGGGGAAGTGCACTTTCCCTTCCCCCTATTACTAAACCCCCCCCAAATAATAAAAACTAGGGTCTGTCTCCAATTTTGGAAAATTTGAGGTTGGCTAGTTTGATTTTTAGTTGATCCCCTTTAGAAAACAATTTACAAATGAAGCTACCATTTCAGGGTTTCACCCCCTAATAATAAAAACTATCAACCCCGGGGTGTTTTGTGTTAGGGTCCGTCTTTTAAGGTCGGAAAAAAAAAATGTGTTTTATACTAAGGTGTGTAATTTAAATCCAGTTTTGGGCAATATTGAAATTAGATTTTAAAAGAAAATCTAATTGATTTTGAAATAGAACAAAATAGTTTTTTATATTAGGGTTTTAAATTTTACTATTAGGGGGAAGCTTCGAAATCCATTTTTTTGGCAATATTTTAGTTGGATTTTAAGATAAAATCTAATTGATTTTGAAATAGAACAAAATAGTTTTATATTAGGGTGTTAAATTTACTATTGGGGGGCAGCTTCGAAATCCATTTTTTTGCAATCTTTTAATTAGATGTTAGAAGGAAATTTAATCGATTTTGAAATAGAAAAAAAGAATAGTTTTTTATATTAGGGTTTTAAATTTACTATTAGGGGGAAGCTTCGAAATCCATTTTTTGGCAATCTTTTAATTAGATGTTAGAAGGAAATTTAATCGATTTTGAAATAGAAAAAAAGAATAGTTTTTTATATTAGGGTTTTAAATTTACTATTAGGGGGAAGCTTCGAAATCCATTTTTTGGCAATCTTTTAATTAGATGTTAGAAGGAAATTTAATCGATTTTGAAATAGAAAAGAATAGGGGAAGCTTCGAAATCCATTTTTTTGCAATATTTTGACTAGATTTCAGAAGGAAATCTAATCGATTTCGAAATAGAAAAGAATAGTTTTTTAGAGTTGTTAATTTACTATTAGGGCGAAGCTTCGAATCCAAAACACAAAACCCTAAACCGTAAATCCTAAATCCTAAAACCTAAATCTGACATGAAACCCTAAGTAAGATCTTATCGAAACTGTGGTAAAAAGTAAAAGCCTAAAAACCCTAAATGAAACCCTAGATAAACCCTAAACAAACCCCAAACAACCCCTAAAAAAACCTTAAAGAGTTGGTGACATGATAAACCTCTGGGTGGCAGCCCCGGCCTTGGTCGTATCACTATAATGCTAGTATTAATGATCATTTAACCACGAATGAAAACCCCGTTGTTGATATAACTGTGGGATAATTGTTAATCCCATTACATCATCCCAAATTACTTTATAATCACTATGATAACTGTTAGTAATTTGGATGAAAATGATATCAACCATGATTTTATCATAGTGGTTATATTGTTATATATATAGAATGGGAGGATGATTATCCCACTATAATGGCATGAATTAGTGAAATTCATATCATGCCACTATCCATGATAAATCACCGGGGGTGAAGCATCGTCCATGCGTTGATCATTTACCCATCAATCAAAAACATTATACCAAGTATCCCTCTCATTCAAAAAAGGTTCAATTCATCACTATTTTAGAAGGAATCTACATATATATATATATGTTCATCACTATTTTAGAAGCAATCTACATATATATATATATATATATGTATATATATATATGTATAAATATATATATATATGTATAAATATATATATGTATGCATCACTATAACTAGAGTTAATTGTATTGGAAATTTGTAATATATTAGCACAAAGGGATCAATATCAATATAGTACTACCAGTGATTTATATCTGTATATATGTAATGGGATCACATACTATGGGTTTATATCATCATTCGTAATACAAGCGCAATTGGTTTGACTAAGTATCAGTCCTATCTATTGCAATATTAGTACTATCTAATTTTCCACACTAGTTAAATATTGTTCCATTGTAGGCTTTTCTAAGGGAAGTTGGACAGTGTTAGTCACCCTGATAGGCATGGAAAAATGATGCTCCGAGCGAGTCCAGAGATCGGACTACCCGCTCAAAAACAACGAAATACATATAGAAGAGCTGCATTGTAACATAGATTGACGTGCAATACATATAACATATAGATGTACATATCTGTATACATAGACATAGATAGGGGGATGCCGCCCCCCATTCTATAGAGGAAATTCCTAAGGGGTATGTATATGTACATTCGTCAAAACAAAAACCGATAATGTGGTAGACCCCAATCATCTACCTCCATATGAGAATGGTTTATTTTTCGCTTTACCACACCCCCGGACCAAAGTCTGTGAATTTCTCTTTCGACATTCGCCGCAGCTATGTTGGTTGGGATTCCGCTAGGGATTCAGGAGCCCATCTTTATCCCCCAAGTGCAACTCGAAATGCTGCATTGCATCTTCCCTATCTTCCATTTCAAGAGCAACATCAAACATTGGCCATGAGTACCCCGTCCAGAATTTTTGACACTCAAATTTGAGCCTACTCTTGACTTGTATCGCTGGACTTTCCCAAACTCGTCCAGCTCCACTTCCATCTGAAATGGTTCACCAAAAAATGTGAAAAACAGAATAGTGAGGTATCTGGTGAACCATTTCATTTTTGAGGTATTCATTTTGGAGGTAAGGGAACCGTTGCAAAATGTAACTAGCGTTCTTTCCCCCACCTTTCTGAGGTATTTGGCAGTGACCCAATGACCCAACGACTCTCCACAACACCCAGCTGGCGTCCTGCTCCCATGGTGCATCTAGTGGCTCATGGCAAGCTGAGATGCCCGCTGTGTCGAAAGTCAGTGGAACTGGGTGATGGTACAATCTGTGTGCATGGCTGGTTTCCGAAAAAAAGTAAACCAGATATACCAATCTTGCCAGAAACATCCACTGCAAGGTTGTTTGTTGTCGTTCGATTTCTGACAGAACTACTAACTTTGCTTGAAACTTGCAGGCGTATCGTATCAATATGGGGTCAAGTCAGCTGACTATTTACTTGGAATTAGCTCTAAAAGTTCTTTGTCAAGGTTGTAATGTCAAGAGTCAGCTTTTTGCATCCCTGGGATAGCTAGCTTTCTGGTCCCCAGACAGGTGAAGAGCATCACAACGGAAGTCACAACGACGGACGAGCGCAGCTTTGCGCCCCCACCCCCGAAGACTAACATGGAACCCAGGTCTACGGTCATTCCCGGCGGAAAATCTTGCAGGCCAATTTTGGAGTCTCTGTATTGGTTTTCAGGGTGGTATCAGTGGTATCTCGCCTGATTTTGGAGAGAATGTGTAGGAAGCTATGGTTCTATTAATGCAGGTTCATTTCATAATGTCCCTAGGCAACATTCCGGAACAAAATCTGCCGTGCGATCATTTGAAGAGGAACACTAAAGTGGGGAGATCCTCGACTTTGATCGTACCAAACTAAAGTTTGCAAACATTCAACTCCAAACTCTCAAAACATAAACTGCAAGCGAGAATCGATGAAATTGTACGTAAAAACGCAGTCGAAACAAAACCAAACTACTCAGGAGGAGACACATTTTTTGTAAATACATCTTTGCTTAGGGGTGCATGAATTTCTCTAGCAATTCGATGATGGTGTTCCAAAATCAACTCAGTTCCACCCCCTTCCGCAGCACCGTTCCACCTTAGGAGTCTCCAAGCTGCTCAGTGGAGGGGGCCTTACACGGTAACAATCTTTACTGTGGATCCTTGGTGGGTTTTGGGGCTCATTCTGGCATGACTAACATATCTTCCCTCATCAATTCACATTTAAAGATATAGTTTACAAAAGAATACAAAAGAAATGGTTTGAAACTCGGAACGGACGAAATCTACACCAATGATCTGTTTTGTTGAGCTAACCCCCCCAGACATCAATGCTCCAAAATCGGGACGTGCAGCCGATCGGATAACCCTAGCTACCAGCTGTGGCGTTGAAGCCAAGGGTTTTTCCTGGATTTACTGTATATAAACTGGAAAATACTGGAAGCTTCATCCGCACCAGTGACAAGCCCAGTGAGAACTTCAAGGGCCACCACGCGAACCAAAGGGTATCACCAATCAAATGTGTATTTGTATTGCTTCAATCCTCTTTTCATCAGCTACTCATGATCAAATCCTTCCGGTTTGATGATTTTTTGCCGCATGTTGGATGCACATCGGAATTCATGACGGGAAAATCCCAATTTTGAGGTCAATCCCGAGCTCTCCGAGCTCCCGACTTGCGCCGCACGAAGGCTTCAGGTCCCGGAGCGTGCTGAGCAACGGGTAAACAGGGTGGGTTTTCTGAGGGAACGAGTGGGTTTGACCTGGAAAAAAATGGGCAGATGCCGGGGATGTAAGGAAAACACACGCAGCCGGTCAAAAGACACAAAATGAAACCAAACAAACCACGGGATCGGCATCCCGGGCGCCTTTCGAAGGAAGTTGTCCAACACCCCGGCATCTCGTCCGCTCTGATCCTGAGGCAACGGCCGCCGAGAGGGGATCCAATTGGCGACCCTCAATGGGGGGAAGGGAAAGGGAACGGGGGTCACATTCGTCCCTACTTCACAATCCTTTCCATTGAACAAGTCATTCAACCTTTAGGGTTTGTGGGGACAAGGGACATTTAGGGGCACTTGGTGACACTGGTTTGCGGGGGACCTGGGGACATTGGTTAGGTCACTTGCCTCACTATTGAATAAGTCATTCGGCCTTTTAGGGTTTGACTGGGCACTTGGGGACATTGGTTAGTGGGGGACTTAGGGACATTGGTAGGTCACTTGCCTCACCATTGAATAAGCCATTCAACCTTTTCAGATTTGATCTGGGGACAAGGGACATATGGGGGGACCTGGGGGCATTGGTTAGGCGGGGACTTGGGGGACATTGGTTAGGGGCACCTGCAACTTTTGGGTTCATGGTTCCAATATCCCTCCGCAGGTTTGAGCTTAAGTTGTTTATCAAACTCAAGACGATTCTTACGTTGTTGGTCAGTTGGAGAACTAACTCTACTTTTTCCCACAACCAATTAGTCGTCCTCCGGTGGCTATAAAGTGGGGCGTCGCGGGCTTTCTGCACCTTATGAGCCATAATGGAACACCGCTCGAGCTCATCAATCAGGTGGTTGAAGAGAGTTTGCTCTCGCGGTAAATCTTGAACCGGAATTGTGGACATCACGTAGATGTACTTGTCTCGGAATGCTTCTAGATCAGCGCGCGTATTTCCGGGAATGCGCAAGGACAGTATAGGCTACGCTCGCCTAACATGCCTATTCTGTCGCGCTCCAACTGAAAAAATTGAAAGATCTTTTTAAGCATGACCGTACCGCACGGCATTGAGCCGGTAGCTAGGCGTTCCGAGTCGACTATTTGTTGAAAAATCAACCCAAACCTACCTCTGCAACATGTCTTAATGAGCTTGGAGGCAATTTCACGATCCGTGAGCGGGAAGCGGGGATCGGCTTTGAGCGACTCTTCATTGGCGGACAAGCACTCTTGAGCCCATTGATAGACTTCACTCCCAGGAGTCTTCTGCAGCTTGCCAATGGCCATTAGGACTTGGTTTACATAGCCCCTGGCTTGACCGGCATTTTCAGGAGGATTAGGGAACACTAAATCGTTAAGGGACTTAACTCTTATGGTGTCATCGTCCTCCTCTGCATAATCCCCGCCCAAGGAATTGTTGAGCACGTGCATCCCGCAATGGGCCGCCTGTTGTCGCTGGAAGAAAAAGCACGGCGCAGCGGGCTCCAAGTCGGGCGACAGCGGCTCTGCTGGGGTGGCAGTGGCGGGGGGCTTGGCGGCGCCGGTGGATCCTCGCCTCTTTTGGGGATCTTGCTTGCCGGTGCTGGAACTTCACTTGGTTCTTCTTCCGGTTGTGGGGCCTTTGTCGCCCTTGGCTTTGGGCTTGGCCTTGGGCTGTGGGGCTTGCTTGCTTTTGGCTTTGGCCCTGCCTTTGGCTTTCGATTTTGGCTGCTTGGCCGGGCATTTGTGCTTCTTGTAGGCGGCATTGTCTTTGGCGACCCAGCCGCAACGGGCGGCAAGTCAATGTGCCACCTTCCTCGTCCTTCTTTGGCGCCTCTTTGGTCCGTTGCTCCTCAAGGTAATGCTTCCAATTGGGCCGCTCCATGTGTGCTAACTGCATCTGGTAGTGGGCGGCGCTTTCCGCTGGTCGGATGGCTGCTTGCCAGAGGTCTTGCAGCGCTGGCTTGTTGGGGCCGCTGTTTGGCCAGCTTCTCCTTCAGCGTCACTAAAGCCCATTGTGCATTGGCATAGAAGTGGAAGCTACTGCTGTCAAAGCGCTCGAGGGTGCAGAGCTTCTGGGTGGGTTGTCTGCTATGGATTCTTTGAACTTGGGTGAAACTTAACTATTGAAAGAGCAGGAACCTAGTAGAATGGGATACATTTAGATTATAATTAATAATCGCATATAATGGCCAAAAAAGGTGTGACAAAAGCACGGCGCAGAGACTTTGCACCGCAACCGTCAGAGCTATGTGGCAACAAAAACGATCTAAGCGCACAACTTCAAATTCAGTTGATCGGTTTTGAACCAAATCTGTCCCATGTTTCCTGCTTAAAGTCTCTGCATTAAAAAAACAAAAGTGTGTTTCCGATATTTGTGGGGTTCATCTTACTACGAAATGATCGTGGGTCAAGAGCCAAAAATGGTCTGAGGTTCCAAGCCATAAGTGAATGTGATCCAGCATGACTGGCAAAAGAGGGTTTTAGGGTTTCCTGCATGACCCAAAGCATCCCAACATAAATCACTACAAAACGCAGTTCCGATTTTCAAGTGCTAAGTTAGAAAAATGAAAAGCCGCTACAAGATGCAGCACATGCTCACTGACTACAAGATCCTAGGCACGATTTCATTTTTTTGAATGAATTCTCTCCTCAAAATGGGATGGTATCCAGAACGTGTTCACCCTTTAGTAGTGGAAATGGTAAGGGGGATACACTTAGAATGACGTCTCTATTGACAGCAATGCTAAGTGTTAGCCCCCCAAAACTGTAGATTTCACCGTCTTTCGATTACATTTCACCAAAAAACGACTGTCGATAGCCAAAAATGATGACCCTTCCAGATTATTCCCACTTTTTCGTTCATCAACATATCAAACCATCGACAGTCATGCTAAGTGCATGAAACCTGCAAAAACAGGCGCAAATTGATTTGCAGCACTTTTAGCCCCAGAAAATGCTTTTTCCAATGGTATTATACAAGATATATCGCATTGAGATGGAAATTGATTGCCTTGTAGCCCGAAAAACGGCGATCTTTCGAGGGCTGTGTCATGTTTCAGTTCGAGCAGCATACCCGCATACCCGAAATATTTAGTAACCAAGTCTAGTCACGATATTGTTTCCACGGTTTTGGGGTTGATGTCTTGTCTTCACATGGACGCCAGCCGCAAACAACATCCATAAAAGTTGGTTGGCAAGGCCAAGCGCCATTATTTTTTTGCATGCGAAAATACATGTGACTTACGTTCTTGGTGATCCAAATCACATGAAAGTTCAAGAAACTGAAACCACCGGTCAAACGGTCAAACAATAAAATAAACATAAATCCCTGCGCAGCTGGAAAAACCCTAAAGCTAAAGCTCGAAAATGAGGCGAAATCAGAAGAAGTCTATACCTCTCACCAGCGGAAACTTCCGCCCCAGCAAGACCGACCTGCCTTTTTACACTTGTACATTACATCTTAGGTACCACACTGGCTACCAAACACATCTGCCACCTCTTGCAAAAATTCAGTGCAATTAAAGCATCGTCTGCTCACATGCAGACACTGCATCCACACATGCACAACAGCATGCCCGACAGCTTTTCCACTCGACCGAAGCCCAGGCTCTCCACGTGTCTAAGACACAGCAAACTCAGCCAAATCTAATGGCTACTAAGCACCATTTTGCACCGTCAAACCATGACCAGAAACACCCATCCTCCGGTCAAAGTTGCCGTGATAAGACACAGGCGCCGCTCTGACACAGAACTGTTTGGATGTGGCATCATAGGTTGCCCGAACCCTCCATCCACGTTTGAACGACATACATGGTGCGCAGCTCTTACAAAAAACTTGCAGGCAAAGTGCAAGTCATCTTCCTGCTTGGACGACTTCCGGTTTGACAGAGCAATCTCCACATTTTGGCCTGGAACCGTGGTCGCTATGTATTTCTTCAGTTTGGAAATGAATTGAGGACGTCCAAGAACTTCTGGGGTCATTTCCAATACGTAGGTCTCAAATTCCTCATTGCACTGCCCACCCTGGGCGCCAGAAGGGGCGATTCAAACAAGCAGGTCGCTTCACAGGGGCAGCTTCATTGTCCAAAGTTCTTGTCTTATATCCCAACACAGACATGGTTTCAAAATGTCTTGGTTGTTGGCTACATGTTTGGCAAATATATGTTAAAACTCATGTGAAACATCTCAGAGCTGCAGGAGAGCGAACTGTTGTCTCGGAGCAAACAGAGGCAGTCGGGGTGAAATGTGGACAGCGGCACTCCGATGCATGCACAGGAACACATGTTGCCACCCAACAGCAATAATGGAAGAGAGAAGCTTCAAACCATATCATGCCGCAGAGACTGCCTCCAAAACTAGGTGTTGGACCTTATCAAAATTCTTTTGTGCAAGACTTCCTTCAAACATGGAGGCATCTTGCACGATGCTTGAAAGAGAAGGTACAACGCAGCATCCAGCACGTCTGGGAAGTTCACTGAAACATATGTTACTACGTAACATCCACAGCGTCCTCGAAGTTGCTTCACACGGCTGATACAAAGTAGTATCCAGAGCGTCTTGGAAGTTGATTGAAACGGATGTTACAACGTAGCATCCAGAGCAACTTGGAAGTTCACAGAAATGGATGCTACAACTTACAACGTAGCATCCAGAGCGTCTTGGAAGTTGATTGAAATGGATGTTACAACGTAGCATCCAGAGCGTCTTGGAAGTTGATTGAAATGGGTGTTACAACGTAGCATCCAGAGCGTCTTGGAGTTGCTTGACATGGATGTTACAACGTAGCATCCAGAGCCTCTTGGAGTTGCTTGACATGGATGTTACAACGTAGCATCCCAAGAGTCTTGACAGTTGATTGAAACCGATGTTACAATGTAGCATCCACAGCGTCCTCGAAGTTGCTTCACATGGCTGATACAATGTAGCATCCAGAGCGTCTTGGAAGTTGATTGAAATGAATGTTACAACGTAGCATCCAGAGCATCTTGGAAGTGACTTCAAGTGGGTGTTACAACGTAGAATCCCGGAGGTGTCACAAATGGGGTATCGGTATAGGGTCGTCCCCCATCCGTTATGAAGGCTTTGTGCAACCTCGGAGAGGCCAAGGCAAAGCAAGACTAAATTAGTATTACAATAAATTGGTCGCTTACTCATATGAAACTATATAATATTTTTTTGTTTGAATATACTGGTGGGCCCGAACCGGTGGAACCAATTTTCTTGGAAACCGAACCGGTCGAACCGAACCGTTTATTGAATAAGCGTTTATGAACCGAACCGTGCACTACGAACCAGAAATTGGAACCTAACCGAACCGAATCGAACCGTTACCATGCTGTTCAAATGGATGTTACAGTGTAGGATCCAGATCGTCTTGGAGTTGCTTGAAATGGATGTTACAACGTAATTAGCATCCACTGCGTTTTGGGAGTTACTTGAAATCGATCTCACAACGTAACACTTGAAAAAGACGTCGTAACTGACTGTCACAGCTGGAAAACGATCCTTTCGAGACTCTGAAACTATTGCGCCTGCCACGCAAAACGAGGTGGGGTCACATTCGCCCCTGCCCTAGGGTCATGTTCGCCCCTACCTCCACCTTGAGTAGGGGCAAGTGCGACCCCACATGAGGTAGGGGCAAATTCGACCCCCGTGCCGAAGGGAAATCACCCACCCTTCACCCTGGAGGGCTGAGTTTGGAGGAGTTTTGGAAGATCTGTTGTTGAGAACAGACTGCCTCGGACGCGTTGCACCTGTCACAACGGCCAAGGACCAGTACAGGAGTATGTGTTCCAGCTTGAAACCAAAGGTTAACAAAAAAAATCTCGTCGCTGAGGCCCCATCAGATCTGTTGATAGTACCCTGACACATGTCTGGGGTCAACTTCTGTTAGGCTTAAGCCCTTCTACACCTAAACTTGTCGACAGAAAGGCCACAGCTGGCCGAACTATTCACCAACCTGACCAAATTGGGCCATCTCGCAGCGAGGTTGACCACATGTTGTCGTGATAGACAAGTTCCAGTTTCTGATCGGGTCCCAAAAGTGGCAACATTTCAAGCTATATAAACCATGGGTACCCTCTGGTAAACTAACATAACTATGGAAAATCACAATTTTTAATGGGAAAATCCACTATAAATGGTCATTTTCAATAGCTACGTTAAATTACCAGAGGGTAGTTAATGTCTTTTTCTAGGGTAGCTATTTGGAAATTGGTGACCCAATCCTCGTTGAAACGGCCAAGGTCCAGGGTCCTGCAGCTTCCCAGCACTGGCAGTTGGGGAGGCCGCAATGAGGTCACCCACCTCATGGCACATGCATAATATCTACATCCATCCATCCATCCAACCATCCATCCAATCCAATCAAAATCTTAAATCTTATATCTTAAGTCTTAAACCTGAAATCTTAAATCTACATCTAATCTAATCTTCATATAATTATTTATAGATAGATATAATAGATGTACTTTGAAGCCATGACCACATGAATCCTCACATTTTGCCCCATTAAGCCCCCGGGCCAAGCTGGCATCTTTGTCCGCACGGCTGGGTGCTGCTGGTGTGTCCGCACGCGGAGCCAGTGGCGCTGGCAGCGGCCTCGCCTCAAAATGGGTATATGATGGGATACAATTCGCAGGGAGTATGGATGCCCATAGCTCCTTCGCTCCCAACTACAGGTTACTAACTCGGGGACTCGGGGGCCCCAGCTTGTATAGGTTTTGATCCATCCCTACTTTCGGAATTGACCCAAGCACCATGCCACGTCACTGGTGCTGGCACTGGTGCCTGCACTGGTGCAGCTGGAGCTGGTGCTGGCACCGGCGGGACGCGCGGCACCGGTGCGACAGCAGCTGGGGGAGTAGGTGATGGTCGATTCCTGGGGCGTTGGAAACGGCTTTAATGGCGCTGGCATGCGCTGGCCAAATCCCCACCTTAACAACTTCAAGTCTTGACGCGTCCCCCAAAGCTTCATCAACATCCCAGGCTTTTACCTTCGTCGATTTCATGTGCTCCAAAAGTCCATCCACATGCCAAAATTGTTGGCCAATTCTTTCCATTGCCTGAGGCAATAGCAACACATCCCAGGACATCTTCTCACATCCCAAGTTTCCCCAAGTTTGAGCAAATCCAATGACATTCCAAGGTTTTCCCCCGATTTTCACCTCCCTAACATCTTCAAACCTGCCAAGTGTCGCCAAGAAATTCTCCAGCAGCCGGTCGTCCCTGCTTTCACCGCTGCCCGGTGCCGCTGGCGCCGTCTTCGCCAAGGGCCGTAGCAGTTCGAAGGCCGCCGCCGCCCCCGGTGTGGCCGGCGGGGCGGAGGGCGGCGGACCCACGGTGGCAGCACCAAGGCCTAACAACGAGGCGGCAGCCGCCGCCATGGGAAAGCATGGCAGGGGGGAAGATCTATGGCAATCTATGGGTTGTTGATGCCAAAGTCTGTTTTTTGCAAGATTGATTTGGTTGAGTTCTCAGAAACTCCAGATGTGTTGGTGTTGATTCCGGAAGCTTGTGGGTAATGTGGTTTGCCGAGAACAAATGAGTGTTGATTCGATCGAAAATCAACGGCTGACTCCAGATGGAGATGTTTATTCCAGGTGATTTGCTGGAATCGCAAGCAAAGAAGATGTGTTGAGAATTAGCTAACTTCAGCTAGAAACTGCAGCATTTAATGTTTCCAATATTTTCCAATCACGCTCCATGGGCTATGACTATATGCCTGGAGCCAATGAGCGAAAGTAGGTCGCTGAAGAATTGCCGGCCTTTGTGAAACATTAGATCGTTGAAGATTCAAATTGACTAACCCTGTGGGTGCCTCGCTTCAAATTTCGACCCATGCCCTATGCCCCTATACCTTTGGTATCCTTTGGTTGCAAGACTGTTGGTTCCATCTGAAGCCCTTCAGAAAGCCTGCTCCGTTAATTTTAAACCAACGATGCTCAGACGCTGCTGTCGCCAGCGTGAAAGCAGAAGCCTTTGTACATGGGAAGTCGGCAGTCTGCCTGATCCCTGAATCGATGAGGAAACCTTGCGATAGAAGGGATGGTAAGTTCATTTCCAAAGCAGGTGATCTTCATACGAACTGTACATATAGCGGTATCCGCATCCACATGTAAACAAACGAACTGCAACTGCACATATAGTAGCACCTGTGCCCATATACTATACAAATATGGAGATGTATATGTTTCATATTGCTAATCATATGTGTAACTATTATGTACATGTGTATATATATATATACATATGCATCATATATATATATACATATGCATCGTATATATATATTATTATTATTGTTATTATTATTATTGTTGTTATTATTATTATTATTTATTACTATTATTATATACATGTATAAATATATTGTTGACTTTATTTATTTATTCATTTACTTATTCATATATCGTACACTCTACCATCTCCTTGCTACACCTTGAACTTGGGCATCGCCGGGGGCCTCGGTGTAACAGAAAAGGTGGTGGTAGCCCCTGGTGATTTAACGGTTTGCGAAGTGGAAAATCACCATGTCTAATCAATGTTTAACGGGGATCATCTATAGATCATTGTAAAGAAAATCATGTTTAAATTCTCATGGGTAAATCTCATCTACAAATCATCTACAAATCATCTATAAATCATCTATAAATCATCTATAAATCATCTATAAATCATCTATAAATCATCTATAAATCATCTATAAATCATCTATTTAACTATGGGCCATGGCTTCGCTATGTAGCAAATCACTAGAGGGTATACTGGGAATATGATGAGCATATGATCCGGAACATGTTGGGGATATAATATGACCAACACATGTTAGCATTGTTGGGTGTTCACCAACAAAATGTTGATTTGGATTATATGTGCCATGGAATGGAGCTACATGGAATTCATGGGGTTTGGTCATTCATCCCATGAATCATGGGAATCCAAACATAATGGGTATATGAAGGACCATGGCATCAGGCTTCCCATGTTTCATCAAAGTCACCTTTGTCCCTGACTAACCAGCAACCAGTATTTGCCACTCCGGTGATGAGAAATATAGGGACTCAAGTTTTGAGAAAAACAATGGCTGAAACCCACAAAGATATGGGGCCTTAGCAAGGAACCGTTTTCTCTTCACTTGAAATCCGTCCTCGCTATCTTTTTGTTCGAGATTCCGGCAAGACAGGCTTGTGGTTGTGAGATGTTCAAAAAGTCTTTTGTTGGTGCCTTCCAGATTTAGATTTCCCCACGGTTCATTGGGGTACTGGGCAGCAACCTGATTGATAATGGCATTGCCCTTACGACCCCAACCGGATTCCCACGATGTCCAAAAAGACCTCCTGGGGTCTGGGTCAAAAAATGAAGACTCCTTGACCCACAAGCTTGCTGGTTGGTGGTATATCTACCTACCCCTCTGAAAAATATGAGTTCGTCAGCTGGGATGATGAAATTCCCAATATATGGAAAAATAATGAAAAATAAAATTCATGTTCCAAACCACCAACCAGATTGATTTTGGTGATTCCCAGAACCAAAGCCATCCAATCAGAAGATTTTGGGGTTGAAATCCCAACTCCCCTGCCTGCCAAGTTGCGGTGTAGTAACACATTCGCTCCGCAACTTCACTCGCAAGGGTCGTTCACCTTGCTTCACCTAGGAAGGTGGAAACCGTGGCATTTGGGCCTCTGAAAGATTGGCCACCCTCACACTGACCGAAATATGTCAGTTAGTAGGCCTGAAATATGAGAATCTCGCCAACGAACTCTATAGGGTGAAGGCTAAAAAAATGTTTCGTTAATACTAAAGACGACTTAAATATGCTACTTTCGGGGTGCAGGGTTGACCATAACCAAAACTGACAGCTTTGGAATTGGGCAACTTTGAAACAATGCTGCATCACTGCGAGATTGTTGCAGGAATCCCGCTCTCCATCCCAAACTACGAGATAACATACAAAATAGAACGGTTCCGAAGGTTTGGGATTTTGGATCCCTGTTCTGAATCTTTTTGATACCTTTCCTCTGACCAGGTCTGACATTTTGGACATTGCAACCACTGGGAAAAGTCAAACACTGAAGTCACAATCATCTACAAATTTCTGATTCTGGAAGCTCTTCATCCCCTTGTTGGCCTTGTTGAACAAGCATTTCTGTTGCTTTCGCTCGTTACAAGACTGCAAAAAATATCCCCACGGTTTCTGTCCGTCTCCGTAGGTGCCATATGGTCAAGTTTCATGGCTGGCTGTGGTTGATGGTCATCCCACCATTCGTCGTTTCCCCTATTTCTATTGGTACCATCTGGTTATTTAACAGTTCGCCATGGAAAATCACCATTTTTAATAGGTAAGCCATCTATAAATGGGCCATTTTCCATGGCTATGTTAAATAACCAGAGGGTATATTAGAAACCCTATGGATTGATGACCATCCTGCAAGATGGCTATGATGGCTATGCAATCCAACAAATTTTGTTACCATGGCACATATAATTTATCCTTTCCTATATCATGTTATATCCCATTATATATATATATCTTGTTTAGAATATGTTCATATACATTCCCAGTAATATATACCCCCATTATATCCCGTAGACCCCGTGGTAATCTAACATAGCTATGGCTATGGAAAATGGTCCATTTGTAGTGGTTTTCCATAGTCTTCTTAAATCACCAGAGGATATATCCCATATCATATTCCCACCATATTCTCATTATGTCACAACTCTTGTATTAAATGAATATCAGTGTGTGTATATATATATACATACCGATTAATTGCTGCTTTAAAAATATTCCCATACATCTATATATTCTCATCATATTGCCATCATATTCCATATCCCAGTCATGTCGTTGCTTCTCTCATCGCCGCGCCACGAACGCGGCATCCATCCCCTGACAGTGTCCAACGAGGCGACAGCAGCAGGCAAAGTCCTACACGGAGCGTCAAGGTGGAGCCCCGGAAAAAAAAAAAACACGAGTTTTTGCGGGTAAAATGTGGATTTTCGCGGCAAAAACACGGGAATGTAACCAGCAAAAATGTGGACTTTACGTGCAAAAACGTGGAATGCAACCAGCAACAATGTGGAATTTACCGGCAAAAAAAGTGGGAAGTGAACCAGCATGTGGATTTTGCCGGCAATATTCTGGATGTTGCCAACCAAAAAATGCGGCAAAAACACCGGCAAAAATATGCAAAAAGAAGCAGCAGAAATCTTGAATTTCACCAGCAAACACTTGCTTGGATTTCACCGATTTCACCGGCAAAATTGTGGAATGAACAAGCAACACTTTGGAACTAAGCAAAAAAAACATCAACAATTAGCAAATTGGGATTTGACTATTTGACCAGCAAAAGTTGCTGGATTGAAGCAAGAAATCAGCAGCCATTTCACCGAAGAATAATACTTATGGTTTTTTGGCAACATTTTTGGAACTCTCTGGGCGATCACCAATTTGTCACTGGCCAACTGTTGCTCTTCCCGCTTCTGTTGCTCATCATTTTTGTTGCATGGCCAACTCAGCATACTCTCTGCTGTTCACTGGGACCTTCATTTGAGCATCAACATTCGTAACACGGTCCCTTTCTACTGCCTGGTCAATGAGAGATTCCCCATTAATGGATTCTGAGATTCTCCAATTCATATCCGGAACTCATCATCAACCGAGGTTGTGAACACTGCTTGATTGGGCATTATCCATTATAATCCATCGCAATCAAGTGTAATCATTATATCTCCATTATATATACATTATATATATATTATTTATACATTATTTATATATTATTTATATATGATTTATATATGATTTATATATTATTTATATATGATTTATATATGATTTATATATTATTTATATATGATTTATATATGATTTATATATTATTTATATATTATTTATATATTATTTATATATTATTTATATATTATTTATATATTATTTATATATTATTTATATATTATTTATATATGATTTATATATTATTTATATATTATTTATATATTATTTATATATGATTTATATATTATTTATATATTATTTGTATATTATTTATATATTATTTATATATTATTTATATATTATTTTTATATTATTTATATATTATTTATATATTATTTATATATTGTTTATATATTATTTATATATTATTTATATATTATTCATATATTATTCATATATTATTTATATATTATTTATATATTATTTATATATTATTTATATATTATTTATATATTATTTATATATTATTTATATATTATTTATATATTATTTATATATTATTTATATATTATTTATATATATTATTTATATATAAATAAATATATTATTTATATATTATTTATATTATGTGTATATATATATATATCATTATTCTGTTGAATGGGACTTTCACCAGGAAATCCGCCATTCCGGTGGCCTCAAACTTCAGCATGGCCTTGGCCCCGGAGTTTGCCACCGCCCACACCTGCGCCAGTCAAATCCGAGGACCCACGACGGTTGATGGGGTCTTGAAACATTCAAAAAACTATGGTAAAACTATGGTAAAACTATGGTAAAACTATGGTAAAACTATAGTAAAACTATAGTCTATGGGAATTATGATGATTTACCTTTGTAAAAATTGTGAATTTCCATAGTTATGACCAGTTGGATAAAAAATCTGGCTGGATATTAGCTAATTCACCAACCTGAAAACAACTGAACAAGGCCATCTGTGGATGATTCCCCATAGAATATTGTGTATAATATATCTATTATATATGTATATATTATACATATGTATATAGCATCATTCCAATGACATCACAGTGAGGTGATTGTAATTCATCCCGCTTTTTTTGGATATCAAGACTTACCTTACAAGAATGTACTGCATCCATAAGTTGTTTTTCCAGTACCAGGGCAATCCAGGAGATACATCTGGAATCTGAATTCCAAAATCACCAATCTGAAAATCATTTTTGGTCATTACCCTCTGGTAAACTAACATAACTATGGATAATCACCATTTTTAATGGGAAAATCCACTCTAAATGGCCATTTTCAATAGCGAACTGTTAAATTACCAGAGGGTACTTGTCACCTAAAACGAATGACCCAGCGTTTCGTAACCTGCTTCAGCGCTTCCCGGGGCAGCTCCGACTTCCAGAGGAACAGCGAAATGGGCTTGGCCGCTTTCTCCGAGGCACCTCCAAGGGTTCCGGGATCCGATCTTCGATTTTTTGAGAAAAAAAGATGGGATTTTGATGAGAAACCATGAAACCAGGGATTTTCTTAAATTTTTGTTAGAACATGTTATTGCCATCAGGAAAGTTGGTGGCACAGCCTCAAAAAAAAACACAAAAGGAATGCAGATCTGTGGAGATCTCTGGATCAAATGGGAATCCTCAGGGCCTAAGATCTTCAAGATCTTCCGCAAGGGGATGCGCGGCTCATATCATTGGTCGAGGCGCTCCCTCCATCAATCAAGTTGAACCACTTTTGGTACGCTTCCTGCCAGCTCGATTGGGAATTTTTTGGGAACGTTTGGATCAGATCGCGGTTGATGGCTTTTTTTTGGACAAATGGTGCTGAGCATGATTTTGCCATGAAGAACTTTCTCCAGTAAACCAAGCCAATATGGCAAAGGGGCTCACCCAATACCATCCATCTAAATTATCATAAAATATAGCGTCAACAGATCTTCCAAGCCACCATTTCGAGTTCCAGATATCCCTTGGTCGCAACTCGCCATCCGCATCGCCTGTTCCTCAGCAGTCCATTGAGACTCCTTCGCTGGCAACACGCGCAGGTCCTTGTGTTGAGATGGAAGTTCCTGCGCCGCTGGAAAATCCACCCCAAAGGGGTTCGATGATTTTCCCAGCGAACTGAACCTCCATGGCTAGTCTGGGGATTTCCCAGCCATGTTTGATTGGAGAGGTTGTGGCAACAAAAATGTCCGATCGATCTGGCATTCACCGGTCAGTTTACCCAAGATTTGTTGGTACCCTCTGGTAAACTAACCAAGGGAGAGAACCCTTTTGAGCAGGCAAATTGGCAAAAAAAAACTGGTAAACTAACATACATAACTATGGAAAATCACCATTTTTTTATGGGTAGGAAATTGTTTGGGGATTTTATTTTTTTTAGTTTGGGGAATTTTTTTTGGATTTCCGGTTCTCACCATTTTCCATGCTATTTGCAGCATTTTGGAGCTGGAAACTGCCATTTCCACGGTATGTGCAACGGTTTTGGGTTCGAACCTCTCATTTTCCATTGTATTTTCCACGGTATTTGCAACAGTTTGCAGCATGTTCTGTCCATTTTCCATGCTCTTTGCAGCATTTTTGAGATGGAATCTGCATTTCCACCGTATGTGCAACATTTTACAGCTACATTCCTCACAGTACTTGCAGGATTTTGGAGCTGAAGGCTGACATTCCAACAGTTGTTTGTTGTTACTGTTACTGTTGTTGGTGTTGGTGTTGTTGTTGTTGTTGGTGTTGTTGTTGTTGTTACCGTTAGTTTTGTTAGTGTTGTTAGTGTTGCTAGTGTTAGTGTTGTTAGTGTTGTTAGTGTTGTTAGTGTTGTTATATATATATATATTGAAAGTAGCGAGGTAGTATAAACACTCATAATTACTTTTTGGGCCAAACTGACCCAAAACTGCGGCTAAAGGGACGGTAAAACCACCGGCAGAAGGGCTGGCGCAACTCAAGAAACCCGATTTCTTTGGTTTTGTGGCCGGCAAACTTAGCGGCAGAACCTGTGGTTAACTCTGTGGGAACGAAAAACCATGGCATTTGTGCCGGCAAGTCGTATGGCAGACCATCCGAACCATTGATGGACAAGCAAAATTAGGGGCAAATGTGCCGGCAAGAGGCCCGGCAAAGCGCGCGAGCTAGCTCTGGCCAAGCCAAATTTACGGTCATGTTCAATGGCAAATGTGTTCAACGCAATAGTCAATGAAATTTGGTACATGTTGGCACGTTTCAATGTGGAAAAGCTGAACAATGAAAATCGAAAATCAATATTGCATCCCCCTCTTCATGGGGTCACAGCAAACAAGATCTGCTACTCCACCAGGAAAGCTATCTTATTGGTGATTTTTTCCATAAGCCGACTTGGACAATGTCCGGGCACTTGCAAAAACGCTTCTTTGATTGCTGCAAACTTGACAGACGCCTGGCAAGAACCTGGCACAATCCTAGCAATGAATTGAAGGGGGAGTCGGTAGCAGGAACCTTGTTGGCGGAACGGCAGAACCCGGCACAAGCCGGCGGAACTGACCTGGCGAAAGCCTGGAACCCAGCGGAACCTAGCAGAACCCAGCGGAGCGGCGGAACCCAGCGGAACCCGGCGGAACCCGGCGGAACCCGGCGAAACCCGGCGGAACCCGGCGGAACCCGGCGGAACCCGGCGGAACCCGGCGGAACCCGGCGGAACCCGGCGGAACCTGGCGGAAACCTGGCGGAAAAAAAAGTAAGTTGAAGGGGGGGGTGGTTGGGAGTATAAGCCATGCCAAAAGTTATACTCCCAACCACCCCCCCTTTAACTTACTTTTTTTCCGCCGGGTTCCGCCAGGTTTCCGCCAGGTTTCCGCCAGGTTCCGCCAGGTTCCGCCAGGTTCCGCTGGGTTCCGCTGGGTTCCGCCCGGCTTCGCCGGGTTTTGGTAGGTTCCGGGCGGGTTTCCGCCAGCCTCGGGCTTCTGCAAGGTTAGCGCGAAGCCGTTGGGTTTGCATCAAGTTTCAAGATGTTTCAAGTTCTTTTTCCCAAGTTTCTGCCAAGCCCCCGCCGTCTCCAACGCAAGACCTGTCACAACTAGGCACAATTTAGGCGTTCTTTTTCCAAAACAGTTTTCAGCTGAATTGTCAGCTCAGCACTGCTTGCCTCAGGGGTGGCGGCTGCTTGAGCAGCTTTGCTGTGAAATCAAGGCCCACGCAACCAACTTGTCCAGTCCAATGCGCGGCGCTGGACGCTGGAGACCTTTAACCGTCAGCTTGGCAGGCGCTAAAAGCGATAATGAAAACCCGGTATGCACCTGGTGTCCGGCAGTGAACTATTGAAGTAATGCCAGACGCATCCCAACTTGGAAGCAAATAATGATAAATAATTTATGTTGGTGCCAGGTTGTGCCTTTTGAGGCAACATTTCTACTCGGTTCGCTGCTCTTTTTTGCCTCGGATTTTTGCTAATTTGACCGGCATGTTGCCGCCTAGTTTGCCGGGGGTTCGGCCGGCTGCTTGGCCAGGCCCGAAACCACGATTTTCATCTTGTTTCTGGTGAGTGTTTATACTCCCAGGCTTGCTCCAATATATATATATATATACAATATATATATATATACAATATATATATATACAATATATATATATATACAATATATATATATATACAATATATATATATATACAATATATATATACAATATATATATACAATATATATATATATACAATATATATATATACAATATATATATATATATATACAATATATATATATATATATACCATATATATATATATACAATGTATATATATATATATACAATGTATATATATATATTCTAACCAAAGTAGTGTATTGAAATGTGTGCAAGCTTGAATTTAAATAAAAAAAAGCGGGAGGGGGGGATTGGGGGGGACGGCGCAGCGCCTCCCCCCCAAAGCAGATTGGAAACACCTATTTTCACATGCAAGGTGCTAGGTTGAATGTGATACTCAAGGTGTATATACTACACGACATGCACCTTGGAAACATGTGGAATGTAGGTTAAGGCACAACGATGCACAATAGTTTCATTTGATGTTATCATCGAGTTGGTTTAAGATCTATTTATATAAGGTTTGGTTCAGGGTTGGCTTGGGGTTTGAATATCATCCGCATGATAATGCAAACCTTTTAGGTAGATATATATATATATAAAGGCTCAGCAAGTTCCATTTTGACGCATAGCAAGTCAGAGTTTGTCACAAGAATAAATTTACGAAGGTAGTATTCAAACCAGAATACTAAATTCTCCCGACTTCTTGAGTCGAAACCGATCTGCCCATCCTCGGGCTATTTCCTCACAAAATAGGAGGCTTAGAATATCAACCTTCCGCCAGACCGAAAGGAAAATATTCTCCTCCGTGCCCCCTAGGGCCTCGCCAACCCGAGGCTCTCCTAGGCCTTAAGCACCTTTGAAACAAGGAAGCTGGTCCAAACTTAAAACTTTCAGGGGTTATCCCTGCCAGGGCACGCGCGCGGGCCCTCCCAGGGCGGGAGGGCCGGGAGCTGAGCCAAAAACTACAGTCAAAGAACCACATGCTTCACCTTTACACCTGTAGGCAGGTAAACAAAGGCTCAGCAAGTTCCATTTTGACGCATAGCAAGTCAGAGTTTGTCACAAGAATAAATTTACGAAGGTAGTATTCAAACCAGAATACTAAATTCTCCCGACTTCTTGAGTCGAAACCGATCTGCCCATCCTCGGGCTATTTCCTCACAAAATAGGAGGCTTAGAATATCAACCTTCCGCCAGACCGAAAGGAAAATATTCTCCTCCGTGCCCCCTAGGGCCTCGCCAACCCGAGGCTCTCCTAGGCCTTAAGCACCTTTGAAACAAGGAAGTTGGTCCAAACTTAAAACTTTCAGGGGTTATCCACGTCCCCCTGCCCTGCTGCGAGCAGCTGCTCAAGTTTTTGAACTAACGAATAGCACGACAGTAAGATAGCACAAAGGGTTTCAAGGACTTCTCGGGGATTTTAATTTCAGCCAAAATGGCCAACCCCTCATTAATGTAAACCTTCGCGGTTTTCGGGGCAGCCCATCTGCCCTGTACAAGGAGCTTGTCAAATGATCCATGGTGACGGAACCAGTGGGTGGCTCCACCCCGCCTTTAACTGTAAGGCCGAAAACCATAGTTTTCCAGTTTTAGGGAGGCAACCGCATCAGCGAACGTCTTCCTCCATTTATGAGGGGGAGGACAAAGGGGGGTATTCGCTGGCACCGAACGTTTCCACTGCCAAAGGAGAGTCAAGGCATCCACAACTCCAAGAGTTGCACTCTCAGCCGCGCCTTGCCTTTTACCTCCCTTTGTGAGACCTAAGGAGATAACAGCAACTTGACGGGGCTTTGGCATGGAGATGTGGTTACTATGCAACCCTAGAAGCTCTCCTGTCCGAAGCATACAGTAGAAACCTAGGAGCAAGGATACAGCAAAACTAAGATCCTGTCGCTGCAAAGCCCACCCGACCAGGGAGTGCAGAACAACCTCCGGGAACGGAGGTGCTCTATTCGGAATTTCATATACACTCCAGGTTTTGAGTAGGCGCCAGCTGACTGGGAGTAACCCTCGTAACCGCGGATCCTTATCCTGAAGACCTGCCGCGGTGTCATTTGCGAGAGCACGCCCTTCACCAGTAGACCACAAATGCTCGATGTATTCCAAGAGGATCAAATCAAGGTCTTGTCTGCGACGTGGAATTTCCAACTGCTCATGCTTTAGAAATGTATAAAACCGCAACCGAGCACGTTCATAACGAGTTTTCGTCCGTGATTGAACAGTCAAATTCTGGAGGGGACCAAGCTTTTTTCGAACAGCTACTCTCTCAGATTTGGTGCGACCTTCAACGTGTCGCTTGGCTACTTTGCCCATTTTTTCTTGACTTTGCGCCGGCTGGGCCGGTCGGCCGGATTGACGGCCGTGTTGACATAACACCACACTGGATGAAGGTTGCACACTAAGAGGTAGCTGTTCAGTTTAGCAATGGTCCGACGCATCTTGCGGCTACTACTCCGCCCCCTGCTGAGAGAATGCAGGCAGACGAGGGAGTCAGTCATGTGTAGGAACCGGCAAGAAAAGGCTCGGGATTGGCTGACCCACCACCGGACGGTAGTGTAAATAGCACGCATTTCTAAAACATTGATGTGTTCAGGGGAGCCCGTCCAGGCCCACCCCGCAACCGTTTTCCATCGCCATAGCTGTGGCGGAACGGATGCACGCAGACGCTGATACTTGACTTGATGTTCACTGGGAGCTTGTAGCAGCAAATCTTCGCCCTTGATTGATACCAGACCGGCTAATTTCTTAACCAGAGGAGCTCCTTGCTGTTCAGGGACGGATGTATGGCGTCCAACCGATGGACGCAGCAGAAGCTGCTGCAACTCACCCGATCCCCCGGGGCGGCATAGTTGTACAATTTGCGAAGGCGTAAATGCGCGACAAAGGCCCAGCACGCTCCCCAGGCAGCTAATGAGCCACGCAACAACTGGCACACACCAGGCATTGCCCACAAGTGTGAGGCGGGCATCCGCATACCGCGCTCCCGTGCGTTGTGCCTTTGGAAAACAGGGGGCAGTGTGATGGGCTGGCATACCCATAATGACCTCCCGTTCCAGGAGCGAGGCTATGCGCAAACTGCCATTGCAGTGTTGCAAACAGTTGGAATCCTTGTACTGATAAGGAGGGAAGCGATGGGAGTCGTCCTTCCACCGCTCCAACTCCCAGGGGGAGCAGCCCGCCAAACCGGCCGGGCGCCTCCCAGGCGTTACTGAGGGCCGCGAGGTAGTGAACGTAGGAAGCCTTTGTTCCGGATGCTGAAGGTGCCAGCCTGGTTCCAAGTAAGAGTGAGCCTCCAGACGGGCATCCAAGGAGACCGAGTGATAGTCACCCCAATCAGGTGAACTTGACAAGTGGATGGCCACCCCTTCCATCTCTCTCAGCTCCCAATCGCACCAGTAGAGCCTGGGCCTGTGGGCTAAGGAGATTCCTGCGGCATCAATGCGAAAAGGAACCTCCCCGACTGCCTCACTCATTACCGCCGTGTCAGACTCGTCCATGGATGCCACAGATTCCATCAAGCAACGTACCTGGGCCCATGGAAAGGCCCGGCAGAGGAGTGTCTTGATGCGCGGGACATGTTGGAAAAGGCAGCTGCGGTGATCTTTCAACGCACCTCGCTTGTCTGCGTTTAGGCCAGAGACTCCCTGACAGGGAGGGCCCGCTCCTAGGAGGATAAGGCCAACTTGGCTGAACTGACATGCCCAAGCCAGCACCATCTCCTCATCGATCAAGCTTACATCCTCCACGAAGATCGATCCAGCAAAAGCGGCTTCTACTACTCGCCGGCCTTCCGGCTCCTTTTCCACACTAATGTGGCCGGCCATAGGCAAGCCCAGCACATCGCACGCCATGCGGAGACACCCCACACCATCAAAGAGCCCCACGCTCAGCACCTGGATCAGGTCGTGCGCCTCCGGGACGTCACCCCTGACCGCTGCATTGGTAGCGGCTGCACCATAGTCGGTCAACCCTGTCGTCACGCATATGCCCCCTCCACTGCTGGAGGCATCGGATGCAGTCACTCTGCCCTCCACTTTCAATCGGAAGTCCAACCGGGCCAAAGGCACCAGGGCACAGAAACTTGCTAGCTCCAAGCGGACTTCGGGAGGGAGGACCATCCGTACCACAGGAGGTTGAGCCGAGAGGCTATCAATGAACCTCCATACAGCGTTGAGGGCCGACAACAGCGGCCGCCGAAACATGGCGAAGTACACAAAACCTCCACAGACGACCTGCATTTCGCGCTGCGTAGCAGCTCCCCGTCTCAGGAGCTCCAAGGCCAAACATGTATACAAGGCCACCTTCTGTGGCTTGGGATACGCGATCCCAGCCCCACCATCCAGAATACAACCCTGGACCTCAGCCTTTTGAGCTTGACAGACAGACTTTTTTGGGTGGCGTGGCAAGTTGGCATTAGTGTAGGCCTGGCGAGCAATCAGGCTCAGCGTGCCCGGCTCACCTTCCACCAGTGCTGCAGTAGCTGGGTCGACCTTCCGGATCACATCGAAGTTGTCCAGATAGACCCTATAGCACTCTTTACTGCTAGTACTGGGCCGATCTTTTCGCATTTCGGCCTCTCCCGAGACAGGAGGGCATGCGCTGGCAAAGGCCTGGCGGAGCACGTTGCGGTGCACATGCTGTGCAATACCAATGCTGTTGCGGAATCCCATTGGGAGTACGCGCGCGTGCAACACGCACTTCTCGCCTTTGAACTCCGACGGGACCAAATGGTCAGGTACAATTTTGTTGAAACCCAGGAACGGAAACCACGAGGAAGGAAGCTCGAATAAATAGAAAAAACATCGAATATCTTCCGAGGATACCAGGGCTACCTCCCCTCCCTCCAGGAGGAAAGGACTCAGCCCAGAGATTCCAGGGAGAGTGGCTATATCCGAGTCCAAAGGCTTGCAGTTTTCGTTTAGCGGCACAAAGTTCATGATAAGTCGCATGACTTCCTTCTGTCCGACAAACTCATTTTTTCCTACCCCAAAAAGTCCTCCCAGCATAGGCTTCCCACCAACATGGCACACTTGAGAAAGAGGAATGATGCCACACACCCTGGCATCCACTAGTCCAGTGACCACAGCGGCCCAATCCTTTTCATCTACCATCACAAGTGGGGGTCGACCGAGAAACCTTTTTTCAGGGGGGACCAGATATTCCGAAAAATGCTGGACAAAATGTTTTGTACCCAATGTGCAACAATCAAGTAGTGAAACACCTCCCACTTCAGGAGGTAAGGCAGGAGAGATAGTCTCCCAGGAAATACGCTGTGCAATCTTAACTTCCTCTCCACGATAGTCCACTCCCTTGGACTTGAAAAACTTGTCAAAGGAGATCTTAGGAAAGGATTCACCCCAACTTCCAACAGATTCAACACATTGACAAATAAAACCCAAGGCACGATCCCTGGCAGCGCTAGGCCTCCCACTTTTTCCATCATCGGACTCGCCGTAGAGGAGGTTCAGCGCCCGGCATGTAGCCCGCGCCATGCTAGGATACGGAGAATTCCCCAAAATCTCGGATGAGAGGGGCAAAGGAAAAATGCAGCATTTTACCAGCCCCGAGGACTTTGACTTGCTATGCATAGAACCCTTGTTAAGAAACTCATCCAAGATCACATTGAGAATGCTCCCCATAGCCACCAGATCTTTGCCTTCAAGACTGCACCTATCCTCCAAACAAAAGTTCGTGGTGTCAGAACGTGTAACTGCGGGAGGATACTCTTGGGACATCCCAAACTTCTCCCCTTCCACAGCTAATTCGCTTGAAGTGAAACCAAAAGGGGGCTTTGCCCCAAATTCGCCTGCACTCACATCCAGGCCAACACCTCCCGGGGAAGGAGGCACAGCCTCAGATTCTTGGCCCTCGACCAAGATTGGGGGAGTCGCCACAACTCCCATGCTGCTGCCGAAATTGCTGCCAGGAGAACTCCTGTCCTCCCTCATCCGCCCAGTCTTCACTTCCCTCTGTTCTTGTCCTTCTCCTTGTCGCCCTCTCGATTTGCCCTGTAGTCCTTGCCCTCGCCCTTCTCGCCTTTGCGCCAATCTTTGCTTTTTCCAGCTCCCTTGCTTGGCCTGCCTTTCGGATTGTCCCTTTTCCAGTCGTCCCAACGATCTTGCCCTTGATTGCTGCCGTAGGGCTTTGCCGCTTGGGCCTTCAGGCGCCCCTGTTCTCGAGCTTCCCGGGCCGCTTGTTCGGTCTCGAGAGAGGTCGCCACAGCTGCTGCCTCGTCGGGCACCAACTCGAACTGGGAGGTCACAGTCCAATGTTTTCCTCCCGTCTGCCCTTCCAAAGCCTTGAGCCTTTGGGCTAGGACATCCGGGAGCTCCGGGATGCGCCCTTGGAGTCCCAGATCCAGGCAAAAGGAGGCATGAAGTGCCTCCCGGCGCATCGCCGGCTGCATCTTCGGTGAAAGATGGGCCCGGAAATACTGAAGGAACAGCGGCGGTAGTTCGGACCTGTCGATGTCCCAAACCTGCCCCTGCACCGTCAAAAGCTGCTCTTGAACCGTGGACAGGGACGTTGCTGTTAATACTCCTGGGCACTTTGTCCATATCTTCTTTGCCATCCTGGTCTGCCCGAAGACGTCTGAAGCTCCCATCCCGCTGGAGGAGCTGCTGGACCGTGTCCCCTCCTTGCCGGAACTCCCAGTGGTAGAGGAGTCACCTTTTTTCTTGCCCTTCTTCACCAACTTCTTCGCCCGTTTCATCATCTTTTTTCTTCTGCTGGGGTCTGGATCCAGCCCGCTGTCGCCCAGGATGCTCTTCAAGTCCTTCTGTCCTTTCTTCTTGCTTCTTTGTCTTGACCGGCTTCGCTTCCTGCTCCTCTTCTTCGACCGGTCGCGTTTTCTCTTTGCTTCCTTCTTCTCTGCCTGCTTCTCTCCCTCTCTTCTCCTTGGACTGCGGCTCTCTGTAACGACTTGACGCGCCTCCTCTCGCAAAGCTCGCAGGTCGTCCTCTCCCTGGGCACCTTCCCTCAGGAGATTCGACTCCCAACCTTCTGCTTCTCGTTCTCCTCCTGCTTTCCTCACCTTCACCAAGTGGACTATGGAGTCCCCACTCAGCTCCTGAGGACAGTCGGTCGGGCAAAGATGCCCCTTGATTTTCCTGCCCGGAACGCCGGTGAGGTACTTCAACAGGTGCTCGCTGGTGGTACCTTCCACGATCAAAGTCAACCACCATGCTCCGTCTTCTCTGGTAAGACTCGTGGGCGAGCCTGCCAGTTTCACTTTCTCCTTCCAGTAGATGGCCTCTGTAACCACCAAACTCCCGCATGCCAGGAGATCGGAAGGAGGCACACGGTGCACAAAAACCTCCCCAAAATCCTCGAAGCTCCTATCCACTAATGCCGCGGGGCGCCTGACCCCTTGAAGGCGGGCACGGGCCTTTGCCTGAGGAGCGGCGCCCAAACGAGCAGCGGGGCGCCTCCGTGCCACCTTTGGAGGCATTCACTCAATGGCGGCCTCTTCCTTGAGCTCGCGCTTCCTGGCGCTCCCTCTTCTTCTTGCCCTTGTTCTTTTTCTTCTTCTTTGGCTTGAACTTAGGAGTGGCCCCTACCGGGTCGTTAGGAGGCGACGGTGGGCGACGATTACCTCCCGCCGGAATGGGGCCCTCCCAACGAGAGCTGGACCTGCCCTCCTCCCGAGGCAGACGAGGAGGCGGCGGGCCAGGCGGAGATGCAGGCTGTATTGCACCTCCCGCGCTTGACGGCCTCCTTCTCAGCGGAGACTTGCTGTGACTCCGACTTCTGGACCTTGGCACTGGCGATTCACTCTCGAAGGACTCACTCCACTCCTCCTCTAAGGGCTCTTTTTTGATATCCACCACTCCGTGGCGGGGGCGATCCTCCTCAGGGCTCTCCCGTTTAACTGGGAGAGGTCTTTTGTCGATGGGCTCGTTCTCTTCACGTCGGTGTCGTTTCTTCTCTTTGTGAGGGCTATCTTCACGAGGGCGATCTCGATGGGACCGGGATTTGTGTTTCTTTTCCTTTTTCTGGGCTTTTTCCTCTTTCACTCCCTCTTTCCCAGGAGCGGCTGTTCGAGGGGCAGCAACCTCGACTCTGGCCACGCTATGAGCTGCGATGCCCGCAGGAGATGGAAAGAGAAAAGCCCCCCGTCCAACCTCCCGGGAGCCTCCGTCCACAGAGGCTCTAGTTCCTCCCTCCACCTGGGAGAAATACGCGTCGGCTTCTTGCAGCAGTTGTAGGTGGCAACTGTGGAGTGCTCTGGCAGCTTGCACTCTCAGTGCCACAGGATACCTGGGTCCCCAAACCAGGTGTCCAAGACGAAAGAGGTTGTGGCAAACCTCACACTGCTCCGCTCCCGGAACCAGGAGCGAAAATTTACCACAGCAGCCAGGGCACGAGGCTGCTGTGGCCATGAGTGTTTTCAGCTGAGCCAAAAACTACAGTCAAAGAACCACATGCTTCACCTTTACACCTGTAGGCAGGTAAACATATATATATATATATATATACAGATATATATATATATATATAGATATAGATATATAGATAAATAGATATATATATTTAAAGATATATAGATATAAAGATATATGTATATATATAGACATATAGAAATATAGATAGATATATACAGATATATAGATATATGGTGGTATATAAATATATATATATAGAGATATAGATATATAGAGATATATAGAGATATATATATATATAGATATATATAGTATATATATATAGAGAGATATAGATATATAGATATATAGATAGATATGTATAGATAGATAGATAGATAGATAGATAATTAGATAGATAGATAGATAGATAGGTAGATAGATATATAGATAGATAGATAGATAGATAGATAGATAGATATGTATATAGATATCTAGATATAGATATATATAGAGATATATAGAAATATATAGATATATATAGAGATATATAGAGATATATATAGATATATAGATATATATATAGATATATATATATAGAGATATATATATAGATATATAGATATATAGATATATAGATAATTATATAGATATATGATATATATATATATAGGTATATAGATATATAGATACAGCCATAGATGTAGATATAGATACAGATATAGATAGACATAGATAGATATAGATACGTAGATATAGATAGATATAGATGGATATAGATGGATAGAAGATGTTGCTTCACACCTCATGGAAAAGCAAAAAAGCAAAGAAAAGCAAAAAAGCAAAAAAGCAAAGAAAAGCAAGAAAAGCAAAAAAGCAAAGAAAAGCAGAAAAGCGAGAAAAGCAAAAAAGCAAAGAAAAGCAAGGAAAGCAAAAAAGCAAAAAAGCAAAGAAAAGCAAGAAAAGCAAAAAAGCAAAGAAAAGCAGAAAAGCGAGCAAAAAAGCAAAAAAGCAAAAAAGCAAAAAAGCAAAGAAAAGCAAGGGAAGCAAAAAAGCAAAAAAGCAAAGAAAAGCAAAAAAAACAAAAAAAGGAATAGAAGCAAAGAAGCAGAGAAGCACTGCAGGAGGCAATAGAGTAAGCAGGAAGAAATCCAAAAAAAAATCCCTAAACTAAAAAAAAAAAATCCCTAAATAAATGGCCCTCCTTTTTTATGGGTAAATCCACTATAAATCACCATGTTCAATAGCTATCTTAAATTACCAGAGAGTAATTTCACACATATTTCCCAATGATTGTTGCTTCAATCCAAAGATATCCTCAGTCTTGTCGGCACAATGTGGGACCCCCAAGATAGCTAAGTTGGTTCAAACTACAAGAACTAGGCTTTGTGGTGGATATAACTACAGTTGGACGGAGTTATAAAACAACAAACACAACTAGGGGGGACCACCTTGTAGACAAAACCAAGATTCACCCTTTTCCTATATGTTCCACCCCACAGATGTGGGTATTTACCAATAGACTGCTCACAAAGAAAAGGGGTCCTCTACCATCCCAGAATGGTCGCCTCAAGTCCCTCGAAACGCAAGCCTCTTTTGCATGGGTATCTATTGGGGGACACGTCATAGAAACTAAGCACGGCCGGCAAAACTGACAGATATCATGTCTGACAAATGGCAAGCATTAAAGCTTTGAAGACTCGACGGCAAGGTCACCCGCTCCAGGCTTTGGTTGAGATCAGAGCAAAAAATCAAGCTTTGAAGACTCGATGGCAAGGTCACCCGCTCCAGGCTTTGGTTGAAATCATGACCGAAACTCAAGTTTTGAAGACTCGATGGCAAGGTCACCCGCTCCAGGCTTTGGTTGAAATCATGGCCGAGACTCAAGCTTTGAAGGCTCGATGGCAAGGTCACCCGGTCCAGGCTTTGGTTAAATTTCCAGCCAAAACTCAAGCTTTGAAGGCTGGATGGCAAGGTCACCCGCTCCAGGCTTTGGTTGAAATCATGGCCAAAACTCAAGCTTTGAAGGCTCGATGGCAAAGTCACCCGGTCCAGGCTTTGGTTGAATCTCCAGCCAAAATGCAAGCTTTGAAGACTTGATAGCAAGGTCACCCGCTCCAGGTTTTGATTGAGACCATAGTTCAAGCGCAAGCTTTGGCGACGTGATGGCAAGGTCACCCGCTCCAGGCTTTGGTTGAAATCATGGCCAAAACTCAAGCTGTGAAGACTCGATGGCAAGGTCACCCGGTCCAGGCTTTGGTTGAAATCATGGCCAAAGCTCAAGCTGTGAAGACTCGATGGCAAGGTCACCCGCTCCACGCTTTGGTTGAAATTCTCACCAAAAGTCAAGCTTTGAAGACGCGATGGCAAGGTCACTCCTTCCAGGCTTTGGTTGAATTTCCAGCCAAAACTCAAGCTTTGAAGGCTCGATGGCAAGGTCACTACCTCCAGGCTTTGGTTGAAATTATGGCCAAAACTTAGGTTTTGAAGACTCGATGGCAAGGTCACTCCTTCCAGGCTTTGGTTGAAATCATGACCGAAACTCAAGGTTTGAAGACTCGATGGCAAGGTCACCCGCTCCAGGCTTTGGTTGAAATCACGACCGAAACTCAAGTTTTGAAGACTCGATGGCAAGGTCACCCGCTCCAGGCTTTGGTTGAAATCATGGCCGAGACTCAAGCTTTGAAGGCTCGATGGCAAGGTCACCCGGTCCAGGCTTTGGTTGAATCTCCAGCCAAAATGCAAGCTTTGAAGACTTGATAGCAAGGTCACCCGCTCCAGGTTTTGATTGAGACCATAGTTCAAGCGCAAGCTTTGGAGACGCGATGGCAAGGTCACTACCTCCAGGCTTTGGTTGAAATTATGGCCAAAACTCAAGCTTTGAAGACTCGATGGCAAGGTCACCTGCTCCAGGCTTTGGTTGAAATCATGGCCAAAACTCAAGCTGTGAAGACTCGATGGCAAGATCACCCGGTCCAGGCTTTGGTTGAAATCATGGCCAAAACTCAAGCTGTGAAGACTCGATGGCAAGGTCACCCGCTCCACGCTTTGGTTGAAATTCTCACCAAAAGTCAAGCTTTGAAGACGCGATGGCAAGGTCACTCCTTCCAGGCTTTGGTTGAATTTCCAGCCAAAACTCAAGCTTTGAAGGCTCGATGGCAAGGTCACTACCTCCAGGCTTTGGTTGAAATTATGGCCAAAACTCAAGCTTTGAAGACTCGATGGCAAGGTCACCTGCTCCAGGCTTTGGTTGAAATCATAACCAAAACTCAAGTTTTGAAGACTCGATGGCAAGGTCACCCGCTCCAGGCTTTGGTTGAATTTCTTGCCAAAAGTCAATCTTGCAAGGCTGCGGGGGAGATAGTGTAAAAACTCTCCACCTGTTGCTCCCTCAAGTTGGGTAACACCTTCCAGCGCAACATCTCTCTCACTAGTTGGGAGCCCACAGACATAGCACCATGCAGTGTACACAGATGTTGGTATGTAGGTGCAGGACAGCATTGCAGATTCTCCAACAATTCCTTGCTCTCCTAAGGTTTGATTCAGCGTCAGCTTTGCATTCACATGATGTACGGCGAGCTTTGCGCCTGGCTTGCATGGAAGCTTCTCCGACACCAATCTGCGCAGGTCATATCCAAGTATAGAGCGAGGGATGCTCAGTGTCACTCCTTCTCCGGTCAAGCACAGCACCTGAAGATTGACCTCATCAGTTTCATCTGCTGTACCTTTGTCAGTAGATGATGGATCCACATAGCCATGTTGTGCACCAGACATCGTCAGAAATTACATATGTACTCACTACAGCACTAAGCCGAAAGATCTTCGATAGATCTTCGCAAAAACCAACAGATACAACTGTGAAATCAACATGGACCTGTCTTTTTGGCCATTTCCAAACGCACCATCTCCAAGTGGGCTCCATGTGGGCTGCAATCCATTTCAGCCCCTATCTTGCTCATGGCACGTTGTGAATTTTGATAGTTACGTACCTGTGTCACTTTGACTCACACGTTGCCATGATGCAAAGAATCATGGACATTCTATGGAGATATCTCCAAAATCAGGCAATTGTGATCAAAAGGTTGAGTAGTTTGTTTGGCTATCCGCTATCCCCCATTTCAAGAAAAAGCCATGTCCACTAGGTCCACTGTTCATCGGTTCCATCCATTTTTTTTTCCGGCTCATCCAGGTCTGGCAAGCATGGAACAGCCAACAAACAGGCGAGACACCTGCCCATCTGTTTGGTGTTTCAATGATTCAATATCCAATATTGTTGGTGAAGAATACCTACAAGCTGGGATCGCTACTTTTTGGACTTTTGGGGGTTTGCAACTGCTTAGTTCATCCAGTTATCGATGGGACTTGAGGCCGGGGGTGGATGACGAAAGCTAGCGGGGTAGGAGAAAGAAGGAAGGGAAGAGGTGAGTTGCGGAGGGACTGTCATCATCGTGTCGCGGCATTGTTCGTCCCAACGAGGATGCAACAATGATATATTGATATATGATATATAACAATGATATATATGGGGGAGGGGGCAGGGGGGGGCCCTTTCGCGGGAAAAATCACGTGATGTCCTTGGGGAGCCCCGGAATACGTGCTAAAGCAAGAAGACTCTAGCGAGCTGACGCTAGCTTTCGTGATAAACCACGAAAAAAGGGGACTTGCCATCAGGTTGATTAACCACTGAATCGATCCGTGGATAGTAGAGGCACCCCCTTGCATCAGAAAACGGCTGGAGCGATGGACCTGCCATTCTTTGCAATGTTTGGCATCCCTAATCCTTAGTCGTCCACTTCCAAAAATGTAGAATTCCCTATATCTTTCATATTCCAATGTCAATTCCGTATACCGATACCTGCTTTTTTGTGTTGGCTTTACTTAAACGGCATTTTTGCCGGTGAACCTCATGTTTGGTGGCAAGACTTCCCTGTTTGGTTATATAAACCTTCATCCCTTCTCAGCTGTATCTCTGTATCTTGCTTGCTGACACCGCTTTTTTTGGTTGCTAAAACCTCATGTTTCTTGGTGAAAACATCTGGGTTTTTAGCTGATGAAATCCCGATTTTTCCGAGATACTTGGAGGATCATCCCACGGTCCAACCGTTTTAGTGGTGAACGTAACTGTGGTGACGACTCACTTATTCATAAATGGGGTGACTTGTCCACTGAATGGATGATTTTAACTCACACCAGGCTTATTAATCACTAGGTGGGACGATGCTCCAAGTATTGATTCAGTAGTTGGTTGAACACCCAGTCTCCTTCCGCGCATTTGCCCCGTCGGGCAGGGCAAATTCTGCGGTGACCTTGTCCTCCGTCACCTTTGGGTCATGAGAAGCAAGCTGGTGAGACAGGTTTATTCCATATATTTCCATATGTAGTCATTGACTAGTCATTCTATCTTCAATGGAAATAGAACGAGAATACAATGGGAATACCATATATTGGGAATATAGTGGCAACACAATGAATCTGGGTAAATTATAATATTTCACTAACCTGGATTAAGGCCGTTTGGGGATGATTTCCCTTATTAACCATGATTCCAGTGAGGGAGACCAGTGAGGTCGTTATAATTTACCCAGATGAATATAACAACTATCATGTGGGATTCACCCCATGCCACAATGATGGGAGAAAAATAGGAGATCCATAGGAAAATATGGATTGATTTTTGCGGAGAACAGTGGATTTCTAACGGAGACCAATGGATAATGATAGGACAACTATCAATTCCTCATCCCACCATTGGTCCATCCGGAGCTTATGAAATTGGGGATGCCCCAAATGTGGGATGATGCTTGGTCAATCTATGACAGTCATGGTCAATCTGTTGCGAGTCAATGGGCTTTTTTGAATTTACCTCGACCGCAAACAACAGTTTGGCGCTAATGGGTTTTACCCCCAATTACACAACATAAAGCATCTATTGGAATTTACCTCTAGCAAGATGGTCAACTTTGGTGAAGAGTTGAATCCGCAAAACTCAGTGGATTGCTTGAGGGAAACATCCTGAAACCATGGAGCTTCCCGTGGATCCAATTCGGAGAGATTTCGGATTCTTCCAAACATTGGGGGATGAAGATCAGTCCACCTGGAAAATCGGGGATTTACCAGAAATTGGTGATTTGTAGGTGAGTTAACCAACCAAAAATGCGGGTTATTTCGACTGAAACAAGTGGTTTTCACATGAAATGACGGAAAACAAAATGGATTGAAGCAACAAAATTCGTGCATGTGCTGTCATCAAAAGAAAATGGTCCATTCTGCCAAGCCACATCAGAAAGACTGCAAGGTGGGCAAGGTGGGTTGGTGTGCCCACGCTTTCATGGACTATTGGCATTGGGTAGAAAACCATCAAAAAATGTGTGTGAGTGGGCATCTGCTGTAGGAACCAACTGGTGAATGGTCGGGTCATGAGTGAAATTTTCACCGTTTTTCATAAAGGAATTCTGATCGACTGAACCTGGCCTGCAGAATGCGAAGTCTTTGCGGCTGTGCTTAGATGGGTGAATCACTGGTTTATGTCCGAATTTTACTTTGCTGTGTTAGAGTATATGAGTCCCATGGTTTTCCATATGTTTCAAAGTTGCTGAAGTTCCCATTGAATACATGGGAAAACCGGAAAACCGTGCACTTTCCATGAAATATGGGTGAAATCCTCCCAGATTTCCGCGCCTGCAGCACCTTGCCTCTGCACCACCTGAGGCATCAGGAATAGGTAAATTGGACCATTTTTCGAAATAGATAGCAATAAAACAAGACCAAATCAGTAGTTGATAACTAGATATAACTAGATCAATAACTATATAATGGGATCACTAATGAATTACTATTCCCGAATATTATTATTCCCATCTATCTGTTGATCTAGGGATTCCGGGATTCCAGAAAAACATGGCTAATCTATAGGTAAAAAAAATGGTTAATCTGTGGTCTATGGTTATTCTATGGTTAATCTATGGGAAATAGAAGTTTCATGATGGAGACTGTAATCCACGAACTAAATGGGCATCTATAGATTGGAACTTCATCGAACTAAAGCTGGAGGAGTTTTCCAACAAAGGATCTTGGGACATGAAATAGTAGACCCAATGATAAGCTAACCATGTAGGGATGATTCTTACCCCAGTTATATCCATCACATCGAGTTTCAGAGCAACAACTCCCCTGGCATTCTCACTGAAGGGCTGCATCATTTCATCATCATTCATCATCATCCATCATCATCCAGAATCATCCATCATCATCCATCATCATGTCCCATCAGAGATTTGCAATGTCTTGGCCTACAATAATGAAAATGAAATGCAGGCTTCTTCTGGGTGCCAATTTTATTCCACTAGTGTTGTAACATTGGATACGTTATTCATAGGGAAGTAAATCATGAAGCTAGTTTGCAAAGACTGATATGTGTGCTTAGACAAAGTGTGTGTGTATGTATGTATGTATGTATGTATGTATGTATGTATGTATGTATGTATGTATGTATGTATGTATGTATGTATGTATGTATGTATGTATGTATGTATGTATGTATGTATGTATGTATGTATGTATGTATGTATGTATGTATGTATGTATGTATGTGTATGTATGTATGTATGTATGTATGTATGTATGTATGTATGTATGTATGTATGTATGTAATGTAATGTAATGTAATGTAATGTAATGTAATGTAATGTATGTATGTATGTATATATATATATTGAGATACTATGGCCATGTTTCGTTGGTTTCCAGGTGATCGGACGAGCGCTGGCCATTGCTCCAGACCTCCACTTCATCGCCCACGCGGTAGACCTAAGGTCTTCGATGAAAAATGGGGAGATCATTGGGAAAGGGTATTAATCTATGGTTAATTCCAGAAAAGTATGCGTAATCTATGGTTAGTCTATGTTTCATCTATTGTTAATCTATGGTTAATCTATGGGTAATCTATGGTTAAACTATGGTTAATTCCAGGAAAAAAAATGTAATCTATGGTTAGTCTATGGTTAATCTGCGGTTAATGTATGGTTAATTAATCTATGGTTTATCTATGGTTATGGTTATTTGATGAAAATGGTGGGATCTCAAAAAGATCATTGGGAAAATTTCATAGGCTTAACTTCTTCACCATCAATAGGGATTTCATGGGATTTAATAGGGTAAATTGCCCATAGAAATAGTTGACTTATGATGATTTACCTGATTTACCAATTTACCTACCACCTTCTAAATGGCTTAGCATGGAGCTGTAAAACAATAAGTGCAGGTGTCCAAATCAGTGCTTCCAACAGAACGGATGTTTTAACAACTAAAAAAAATAGCATCACCTAAATGCGTGATTCCTACAGGAAGGGCCCCCCACTTATAAGCTGCTTTACACCCCCATCCGAGCATAGATATATCCACCATGAATCCATCTATTAGCCTAATTACAAAGCCACCTATCATCATTCACACATCAATCATCTATATCATAAAATTCCACAGAATCCCAAAATTCAGTTTCAGGGATGTCTCTTGGATGCCATGGAGCCATAGGTCCTCCGAGCGCCAGAGGACGTTCCCAGGTCGATTCCCGGGTCCTCACGGCAGAAAAAAACCGGGGGTAGGTTGAAACTGACCTGAAAAAGTTGGGAAATCCAGGGGAAATTCTGGGAAAGTCTGGGTAATTCCTGGGAAAATTGGATGAAAGTCGATGAAATTTTGGATCTTGTTGGTCTTGGGACCTGGATGGAACTGTTGGTCATGGAGCCTCAAGATATCGAGGCCGGGATCGCGACTTATCGATCCATCAACCACAACAAACCTCCATCTCAAACATTCATACTCAGCTATATACAGCATACTTCTCATGAGAATCCCTCCAAACCCCCAAAAAAATGGCAACGGCTGCCTGGAATTGTAGTAGTACGTGTGTCCCTCAGGCGTTTTGACGGCCTCCCAAAGGAAAGGCATGATCCAAAGCAGTTTTACGAGGCTTTGGGGTGCTGGAAAAGACGGTGTTACGGGGTCCCAAAGGACGAGCACCTTTTCTATGTATACCTCAATAAAAGCTGTTCAACGTAGCTCCCCAAACGCAGAAAGTCTCTCAGTGGGATGCTGCGAAATGGCACCAAGGTGTTCGAGAGCAGTGTGATACGTCTTTACGCTAGGAAAGAAAGAAACTAACTCACGCCATGCATGTGATCAAATAGTCAAACAAGAATCCAGATGTTTCTCATCAAACAAGTATGTTGCCATCAAAGGATAGTTCAAGAATATTTTCTCGAAGCAGTCAATGATTTCATGTTCATATCAAATAATCCCTTCCCGATAATACCAAGTACACCCTCGGAAACCATAGTCAAGATGTGGATCTATTCATGCAGTGGGTTCCTTTGCTGGAAAAAACATATCGTATTGATTAAAGCAGATCAAACCCCATTTCTTATGGTCAACCCGCTATATATATATATATGTACATATGTACATATATATATATATATACATATGTACATATATATATATATATATATACATATATGAAAATCGACCTGTGTAGCTCCGCGGCTCCATGTGCCTTCCACTTGACTTCTGGCTCCGCAGCAGCCTACGCTCGAAACAAGACCCAGCACAGTCCAATTGCAGAAAGAATACATCATAGCGAATCTATATTAATATATATATATATTCTATATATATACATATATTGAGAAGCTCATGATTCGAGGAAAAATTACTATTGGCTTGTTCTATTGATGCTAGTTTTCAGATTTTTTGTGTCAAGTGTCAACCAGTGCCCACCTTGGGCGCTGCAGGATAGCCTCCCCTGGGCGGAGCTCGGATGCTCTTCATCCGATCTGCCACCTGGGTCACCGAGGCTTCTCAACTGGTTAGGGATGACCCTCCAAGTAGGAGGCCACCATAATGGTCCGTTGGCATGTGATCGACGAAGTCGCAAGTGCATGGCAAAGAGAAGAAGCAGAGACATGCCTGTCATTGGATCTATCTGAGTATCTGAATGTACACCCCGAAATTGCCAGTTTAGTGACAGTTTAATAATGTTTAATGAGGAAAATATGAAAATCCACTGACAAGCGTGAGTTCAGAAAAACATCAATCTGAACCTATGGGTTTTTGTGGAATGAATGTCCATGCATGATCTCCGGCTATTCTTGGGTTGTCACTTCCCATCTTCATCAGGAGACGCTTTGTTTCCCGCTCGCATCTGTGAGGCAACTCATTCAAAATACCAAACCAGTACTGGCTGGTCTTTCTTTTTGACCTGAAGCCATCCACTCTGGGGGCCGATCATGTTTGATACTGCCCCGGGGTCGGTGACAACTGTCGAAGCTGCAGCGATTTTTGGACATTGGTCGACATCGAACAGCGTTCCACTTTCGAGTGACCTGTGCAACGGTGCCAAGAGATGCAACGAGCGTTCGCCTTTCGCAATGTTCAAGGAGTTTTCCCTCGCCTGTTTGAGGAAAAGTGGAGCATTGCCTTCTCTCAGAAGATGCCTTCGAATCACGGCCCTGGCCACATCTGGGTAGGTCCAAGGATGGTAGATATCGACCACAAAACGGTCCTTTCTTTTAAATGGCTGGTGCGTAACAACCTGATTTTGTTAAGGGTCAAAAGTTAGAGGAATCCAAGTCCAGGTACAAAAAAAAAGTGTATACTGTATCCATATTCATGTATATTATGTATCTGTCCACTGCATGCAATACATATAATCTAGATATGTAAATATACAATGTATCAACAAAAGGGTAAGTCAGAGGTGCTGCTTTCCAAGGAATCTTGGTAGACAGAAATGAAATTGGTCTAGCAACGAAAATGAAATCTACATTGCAACTGAGATGCTGTGGGGCCTACACAGGAATTATTTCCCACAAAAATAAAACCTACATGTATAGATATACATACATAGAGATACTAAAATCATATCTGTTCACGTTCGGTTCTATAGATTGGATGGGATTAAACCTGCTTCCCACTTGGTGTTGTTAGTGACTCCATTGTGTGTTCCTTGCAAAGAACATTATGCGAGGGTATGGAGAGAAGCCACATCCAACATCCAGGGCCTGACATATAAAGACCCTGAACCTAGCCGTTCGTTTCTGAGTGTCTTGTACATTCAAGATGGCCTTCATCTTCATTGGGTTGCCTTGGGCCTGCAAGCGCAAACATCTTCAAAGCCTTGCAACAGTCTTAAAAAACGGTGACCAATCCTTCAAATCAATATTGACACGAGGTTGCATCTAATTTCCGTTCAATTGATTCACCAACCTTCTGCTTTGCAAAAGGCAAATCTGGTTCGTTTAGTCTGGGAGAGACTTCCAAGTTGCCACTCTTGGGCACTCAGAGTTTCATCTTCCAGCTGTCACTTTCTAAGCGCCGGCAGTCTCTCTGGTTTGATGTACAAGACTGGATTTCCTCTGGACTTTGGAACTTTTTGCACCACTTGCAGTACTCAGGGGGAGCACTATCTGCGATGTCTTCGCGGAGACCCATCTCAAAGATCTTCTGCAGAACTCTCTTCCCATCTCCACTGCGGGGGTTCCATGCTTTTGAATGGAAGCACTGGATCCGATCCACCTGAAAAACACGTGGGAAAAACGAAGCCCAAAATGCTGATGGGTGTGGGAAGCCATTGAGGGACAAACCAACTCTTAGCAATCCCTTCCCTAGAAAGAAACACTCGCAACAAAAAATGGAATAGGACAAATCAGTCCATGTGGGGGTCCAATTTTTTGGGGCCATGAGTGGCTAAATGGGATCTGGAATGAACGATCCAATTTCTTGGCCGGAGGTGGCATGTTGACCCACAGCCTACAAAACAGAGACGAGCCCGGCCCGTCGCAGCACCTGAACGCCGTTGTGTCCTGTGATCTTTGCTGCCGAATTGACCACCTCCACGCGTGCCCCGCGTTTCTCGGCAAAAGCCAAGACCTCTTTGCTGGTCATCAAATTGGCTTCTGCAAACTCTGCAAATGCTTCAAATTCAGCCTGTCCATCTTCTTCGCCTTCTGTATCAGCTTGGTTTTCTCTGAAGTCTTGCAAAGATCCCTCATCAAACGGAATACAGGTCTTGATCTCTTCATCATGTTCCATCTCTTCCAAACAGATTTTCACATTTCCAAAGGCGATGTTTTCCGCATCCGTTTCCTCCAGAACATCTAGTTGTGTCCTCAAGGCAGAGCGCAGCACGTCTTCTTTGATGTTTTGGCCCATGTTTGTCTTGCACCACCAAGTGCCATATGCCACCACATCCTCCAGGGAAAAGCTGTCCTCCCCCTTCGAAGAGGACCATCGTAGATACCCCGGATACCCCTGATGTGGTCTGCAGATTTGACCGCCTCAGAGGAACCCAACATTCTGCGCACAGCAAGCAATGAGGCAATGTCAGCGAAGCATGGGGTATGCCAACATGATTAGTCTTGCCAGAGGGGAGTACGATATATATATATATAGCAAATGTTATATCTATATTCAATCTGTGCATGTAGATTATTTTGAACTACATAATGCACAACAAAAAACTGCATCAACGACGACTTTTGCCTGGCAAAGGAGTTTTCTTCTTCATCCAGCGAATTATTTATTACGCACGGCGCAAGTTATCTTTCAAGCTGAACTTGTCAGCAAGTTCCGAAAAAAAAGTACCCTCTGAAATCTTTATATAACATGTCCTTCTAGGGGTTTTAGGGTAATACACCATTACATCCCAGATCCCAGTTACACACAATCTCCCAATTTTGGAGACGCAGCCATGTCAAGTCACCCTCTGCGCAACGTGGCCCTGGTACCAGGGCAGGCACACGAGCACAGAAGAGGGATCTCACGGTACCGAAACGCGACGCCGATCCTAACATGGCAGTGGACAGCCCGGCGCACCCTGGCAGCTTGCTTCTGAGCCAGACAACCTCTGAATCTCGAAGGTGATTTACAAGTTCAGCCCCACGAACCAAGAGTGGGACTAGACCAAAGGACAATGTTCACATTGATCTATTCTCAAATACCCTTAAGCGATGTGAAATCTTAATTGACATCCTCGTGACATTCAGGGGTGAAATACTGCCAATGTTCAAATCCTTCCAGCCTCTTGCCTTGGAAGAAAAAGTTTTCAACTTCAAAATTTGCAATAACTGACTACAAGCTCTAAACACACTCAAGAAGCTTACAGGGGTCCTCAAAAAGATTGTTAAGTCCCTACTGTTTCATCCATGATTACGATTTCTATTTGGCGGGTGGTGCCTATCTTCCGAAAAAACCTGATCCGCAAATCTCTGCCTGCGGTGCCAGTAGCCAACATGCCATGGGAAACGAGTGATCTGCGTGAACCTTGGTGCATGGCTGATCTTGGATCATGTCAACCTCAGATGTTTGCTAAACGCCTGGGCCATGGACTTCTGTTTTGACAGGGATCATTTTAATGGAAGATGACATCACTATTTGGGGCCCGATTTCAACCAGGCTTGACATCAGCCTGCAAGAGACCTTGCTGGGCATCAAATATTCAGCACTTGTCGCTAAGTTTAAACTATGTACCTTGTCTTCAAACGGGTCTACCCAGCAATCGTAAGAAACCATTCAAGCATAAGACCACAAGCATGCTGGTCCCTGAATCAGCCAAACCAAAGCTTGCAGTGGACCATCATACCTTACCCACAAGGCAAATAACTTGAAAAAAAATCATCTCGTCCTATCCCTTCGTGAAAATCATGCCAAAAATTGGGACACAAAGCCCGGTTTGATAAAAAACCACTGTGACTTGCCTCAGCCAAGCCACAGGAAAATGCGTTTGTTGCATTTGCCCAATTTGGCCGATGGCACCCCGAAATCTGCAATGCGAAGCTTTCCAAGGTCGACCACCAGAGCCAGTGGATGTTGGCTCGCAGACTTTCATGGAAAGTCACCGGACAAAAACGCTACAGGAAGAGTCCACAAAGCTTGAAGCTTGATTCTGCAAAGCTGCAAGATGCAAACCCTTGAAAGCTCGACACTTGGCTTTCCCAGATGGATCATGACATATCATGACCAAGTCCAACCATTCACCAACCTGAACCGTTCAGCCTATTTCGGGAAGAATTTCAAATCAATCACTATGGGTATGTCTGAAAATGGGGTATACCCCCAATGAAATAGCCATAAAAAGTAGGGATAATGATCAGCAAAACCATTGGGTGTAGGGGTACACTATTTTCAGACAAACCACTATTTGACCATCGTCCCTGCGTCGGCCCGGCCCCCATGGAGAAACTGTGCTCTCCCAACACTCTTCAAATCCGCTGGGACCTCGCCCCCCGCAGCCATCCTGGCCAGAGATGCCCACATCATTGTCATAACTGGCCCACTTAAAATAGCCATAACTGGCATAACTGGTATATACTCCATTTTCAGACCCATGTGGATGCTGTTTTAGTCCGAAGATCATGGGAAAACCCAAAATCTAGTGACTTACAAAAATGGTCCTTGTAAAATTTGGTATTCTGCTCTTTGAGACGAACGGATTCGAAGATATTTCGCTAGACTATTATTTTTTAATGATGAGAACATTCTACCAGGTTTGTGAAAGTCGGCACCAAATTTAAATTTAAAAATCACCAGCCTTGTGCTGTGTTTGCTGGGTATTGCAACATCTTAATGTCGCCATCTCAAAATAGTAGCATCGATGCACCCACAAAGTGATCAGGCACTCTCAAGAAGTGAAACTATGAGCACCAATTTTTGACTTGGAGAATTTCCATGATTTTTTTCCTGGAAAAAATACTTTATTACAGGTGAATTTACTGGAAACTCAATGAAATCGATGGTTTCACCTAATATTGTGTGTCATCAAATAAATATGTCGTTTCATTGATATTTCATAAATATTTTCACTCAGTAGAATCTATGATTTCATTCACCAGAATCTATGATGTCCCATCATTTTCCCTTCAGCCCACTCCCCAACCGCTCCCTAAATGGTGCCTTTTTGCATCGCTGTGGATCAGAGCCATCACCTCGCGTGACTCTTGGGGTTGCGATGCTCATTATCCCCGTATAACTCACTTGAGTCATCCATCAAGTTCTGTTTTCTTTGAAACGGATCATATAGGGTTTCTCGGTATTGTCCATGTTTTCGGATTCAAAAATTATCCTGTCTGTGGAAAACAAAAGAGGTATAGAGAATCTAATCTGCCAATGCAAAATCACCCATCTGTGGATGAGTTACGTGTCCAAGGCGACGATATTCCATTGCCATGTTTGAGTTCCAGATAGTACTAGCCTGTCCAAAACCATTCTCCAGCCAGTTTTCCTGAAACACGACAACGACGACGACGACCACGACGACCACGACGACCACGACGACCACCACCACCACAACAACAACAACAACAACCAACACCAACAACCACAACAACAACAACAACAACATTAACAACAACAACAACAACAACAACAACAACAACAACAACAACAACCACAACAAGAACAACAACAAGAACAACAACAACAACAACAAACAACAAACAACCAACAACCAACAACCAACAACCAACAACCAACAACCAACAACCAACCACCAACTACCAACCACCAACCAACAACCAACAACCAACAACCAACAACCAACAACAAACAACAAACAACAAACAAGCAACAACAAACAAGCAGCAACAACAACAACATCAACAACATCAACAACATCAACAAAAACAACAACAAAAAAACAACAACAACAACAACAACCACAACCACAACCACAACCACCACCACAACCACAACCACCACAACCACCACAACAACCACAACAACAACAACAACAACAACTACTACTACTACTACTACTACTACTACTACTACTACTACTACTACTACTACTACTACTTAAGTTTAGTTGGAAAGCTGAAAATTCTCCGAGATCATCTCTAAACTCCTGGATCACCTAGGAGAAAAATCCCCTTCGTTCTTGCTGAAGACCAGCACAGGTCAATCCCAAGGTCGATCCTTCTCACTCTGCAGTCCCAGGGCAGCTTGGGCAGACAGGGGAAGCTCCTTCAGGTGATCCTCGCGGCCAGTAGCAACTGGAAGATGTAGGATTTTGTGTAAGGTCTTAACATGTTTTAGATATTGTTTTTGGGGGAATCTGAGGCCTTACCAGCAAAAATTGATTGTTTAGGGGGGCTCTCTGAGGCTGCCCTTAAATCAGAAACATTGAAATATTTCGCCGACTCGCCGAATTGTCCAAGCCGCGGCCAACATACCCCGAGTTTACCAGCGTTGGCGTTCAACCATCCCCACGGGGTTGGGCCTACCAGTCTACCACATTCACTTCAGCCCTGGATTGAGATCAACCCCTGGTTTTGTGACAATTTCAGCTAGCCACACATTGCAAATCCAAAAATAAGTTATTTTTTCAATTTTGTTGTCATGTTCATCATCACCCAAAACATCACAAAATCATCACCTATTTTCTCGAAAACGTATGAGGTTAGTTTTCCATCGTCACGGAATGTTCCCAAAACATGACTTTTAGCTTGTTGCAACAAATCTTAGGGTCGCGAAGATCACTGTGGCAATCGCACTGGTAATGGCGAAAACGAAATCAAAAGGTGCTTCAGGTTCGAAAATAATTCAAAGAGTCTTTCTTAAGTCGAAAATAATTCGAAAATAAATTGAAAATTGTTTTTGGGACTCGAAAATAATTGGGGAAAAAAACGAAAAAAATCGGAAAAAAATGGTCAAGTTGCCGGCGGGTTCGGCTCGGCGGTATCATTGCACCTTGCGGCTCAGCCTGCACAGGGAGTGAAAACTTGAGGCAATGCGAATTTGGCAACAACGGCTGCCGCTTGATGCTGATGACTGATCCTGCCTCAGTTCGTCTCTGAGCGTGAAGCGGGCGGCCTGCAACGCGCGACTGTCCGTCACGGTTGCCTGGGCACGTAAATTGTCCTTCTGCTTGTCTTTCAAGACCTGGCAGCAGCAGCTTTAAGAGGTATTGCAAATCTGCTGACTGCTGTCGCGTCCGTACACAGTCTAAATTAAATGAACTCACCGGCTGCCTTGCCTTGCGAAGAGACTCTGTACGCGACAGGCCCGTCTGCCGCTGGAGGTCGTACGCTTCCCTGTCGACCTTGGCCCGTGAGGACACGAGGACATCTGAGTCGACCTTGGCGCAGTGCAAGATTGGACCCGGCCTTCTGTTTCATGCGGCCGAGCTTTTCTTTGCTGATGTTCTTGTCCATGGCCGCCTGCTCAGTTGATTTCCAGACAGTGTGTATCAAGCAGTTGTGTTATGAGCGTTTTTCGATGGGGCTGTGAAGCACTGTGCAGCAACGAAGTCGCTTGAGTGCCCCTGCCTGCTCCCGACGCAGGACCTGACTACCAAACTGGAACAGGTCCCCGCTCATCGCCTGACACTGGAAGGGTGTGTTTGGCATGAGACCCAATTTCTTGGAACAGTAACTGAGGCACGGCCTTCGCTCAGCAGGGGCTAGAGTGAGAAGCTACTCGCTACAAGGCAAAGCAGGTGCTTGATACTGAAACGCTCCGAATAATTCAAGTTGGTTGCGACGTACCTCATGACATTCGGCACTTATGTACAGTTGTCGCCTGCGCTTGATGCTCTACGGTGACTCATCCTAGGTGGGCGAGGTTAATCTTCCCTTCGCCGTCTTGTTTCGAACAGGTTCCGTGGTGGCCCTTTCCACTAGCCTGACCGTCTTGAGGCCCAATGATGTCTTTGCATCCGGCTCTTTTGGGTCCCTGTCAACTTGCTCAATCCCTACGACGGCGTCGATATGAATGAATGAATGTATGTATGTATGTATGTATGTGTGTGTGTGTATGGTATGTATGTATGTATGTATGTAGGTAGGTAGGTATGTATGCATGTATGTACGTATGTCTGTCTGTATGTATGTATGTATGTATGTTCGTATGTATCTATGTATGTATGTATGTATGTATGTGTGTGTATGTGTGTGTGTATGTGTGTATGTGTGTATGTGTGTATGTGTGTATGTGTGTATGTGTGTATGTATGTATGTATGTATGTATGTATGTATGTATGTATGTATGTATGTATGTATGTATGTATGTATGTATGTATGTATGTATGTATATATGTTATGTATGCATGTTCGTATGTATGTATTTATGTCTGTATGTATGTATGTATGGATGTATCTATGTATGTATGTATGCATGCATGTATGTATGTATGTATATGTGTAGCGTATGTATGTATGCATGTATGTATGTACGTACGTATGTCTGTATACATGTATGTATGTATGTATGCATGCATGTATGTTCGTATGTATGTATATATGTATGTATGTATGTATGTATGTATGTATGTGTGTATGTATGTATGTATGTATGTATGTATGTATGTATGTATGTATGTATGTATGTATGTATGTATGTATATAAGTATGTATGTATGTATATAAGTATGTATGTTTGTTTGTTTGTTTGTATGTATGCATGTTCGTATGTATGTATTTATGTCTGTATGTATGTATGTATGTATATAAGTATGTATGTTTGTTTGTATGTATGTATGCATGTTCGTATGTATGTATTTATGTCTGTATGTATGTATGTATAAATGCAAGTATGTGTGTATGTATGCATGTATGTATGCATGTATGTATGTATGTACGTATGTATGTATGTACGAATGTATGTATGTATGCATGTTCGTATGTATGTATGTATGTATGTATGTATGTATGTATGTATGTGCGGATGTATTACTTTCATGTGGTGTCAGATATCTGTTTGACTCTCTATAGTTTGCGGCTCTGTTCTCTCTTCCACGGCGATTCACAATCGGCCTGTTTGAACGGCGCCAACGACCTAGCGGTGTCTGTGGATAAGTCCTGCTAGGCCGTTGCAAGCAATTATCAATTAAAAAACCAGCAACAAAGATATTACTTGTATACGTGAACCATTCTATGAATGTATACACAGGTTTTCCGACAAGGAATGTTAATTGCTTGGCCGAAAGTGAAACAATGCGGGGGCACTCGGCGATTGAGCCTGCGGATGGCACGCAGGACACAGGCAACATGAGTGGTCTGAGCTGCGGTTTGGTTGTTTGCTGGCCGTCTCCAAAGAAAGCATTTCAGGGACCATACTTCTTATTTGTCTTTTATGATGTGGGCTACGACTGCAATCGTTCACAAAGCTGTTTCATGGCAGCGCCTTCGCTACACGAACAAGTTCCAATAGACGTTGGCATCTTTCGCGTTCGCACTTGGTGTGAAGGCCTCCAAGAGAAAGAGTTGTCTTCGTGAAGTCTGCAAACATAGCATTGATTTTTCCGCGCCTCTTCTCGCGTCAATTGGGCATGCAGCGGGTAACGCCGTTTGGTGTTACCCGTGCGCCGAACCGCCGTGGCCTCAGGCGCCAGGGTCAGCGCGCACGGCACCTGGGACAATTTTCGCATGCGTACCAAGTATCTCGCATTTTCGACGACCCTGCCTGGCGGTAGCGGATGAGGGGCCGTTTTTTGCAATTTTTGGATTTTGTCAAATTTGATTCAAAAACGAGAAAAACCGACAAGAACCGAAAACAAAAACGAAAAAAACAATCGGAAAAAAAAAAGAAAAAACGAAAACAAATCGAAAATAAATGGGAAAAAGAAAGCAAATCGATTTTTTTTGCAACAATTTCTGGATTTTGCCTAATTTGACACAATTTGACCATTTTTCCAGCCGCAGCAGCTCTGGAAGCTCTTCTCCATGTCCGAGGATCCGGGCGACTGTGATCTTTTGGTGAAAATTTCAATGATGATCCACATGAATATACAAAAACGGCCTTCCAAGCAGCCGAAGATTTTGAGATGATTTTGATGATAGCCAACATGATATTTTTTTGAAAAAATAAATGTTTTTGTGGGCTCCAGCCTGTGGCTCTCAAATTGTTATAACCCTGGTTTTCGTGAACTCGGACGACTCCTCACTGGTCACTCTGTACATCCGGGCCTACAGATTACCTGCAGTACTGAACCTAACTTGCGCATGGAGTTGCAAAACCTTTTTGGTATTGACGGTTTCTTGGAAGACCTAATTCCGAAAAAGGTGGTACCTAACTCCGAAAAGGTGCTGTCACAAAACGGCTTGGGACATGGCAGTCAAAAAACCTTTGAGAAGGTGCCCGGATGGGAAGTGGGACAGCAGGTGTCAAATCAGGGGCCCACGCGCAAACACATAAACCAGAGCACGGACATTGGAATACCATAGAGCCATCTGCTACCAAACTTGTTGTGAAACTACGACCTATAATATATATATATATACAATGTAAAATATCATACGTTAAAAAATAATGTATACTATAGATATATTAAAAAAATGGAATATATATATTATATATAAAGATAATACATGTGATATATATATCATATTTTTATACCACATACATATTATATACCATTTTTATACTAAATTCAATTATATATATATACACACACTATTTATATTATTTATATATGTTAAATCTATTTTTGTATTTTATATTATATAATTATGATTATATACATATACTATGATAGACTATAAAATATATATTATTTAATATGTATTATGTTATTTCATATGTATATATATTAACTTAAACATTAGATATTCTAAATATATATATTGTATATTACATATCAAATAGATACATGTATATTAGATACAAATATTATATATCACATATTCTTTAAATTATTTGGCATTCATTATATATATATATATTATCTTATGTTATATCATGTTGTATGTATATATACAAATATTAAATATCATATGTTGAAAATAATCTTATATACAACTCATATATGTTTTATCATTTTATATCAAAGTATCGTCTGTTATATTTTGTTAAATTATATTGTATTGTATTTTAATTTATCTGTGTATGTATATATATATATATTATGTATGTATATATATATATTATGTATATGTATATATATATTATGTATATGTATATATATATTATGTATGTATATATATATTTATATACATCACATATATTATATGTATGCTACCGTTTACCTCAAATGCAAAGCCGTCTGCGATGACTATGAACCAATTATTTGGGCAGTGCAAGTGCGCGACTTAGCACGCTGCCATGAATGAAGTCACATGGTCTGAAACGGCTCGATACGACACAACTTTGGCCAGGGGCAAAGTGAAAGCTGCCATGAGAGCAATGGATGTTGCTTGATCGGTTGATGTGAACAAACAGATTGACTTGGTTTTGCACTTCCGCAGTGATGTTTCGAACATGTACAGTATCTGCTTTGCGCAAGCGCAAGCTTTGAGAAGGCATGTGGGTACATCACCTTTTACTGGGTTTGGGTGGGCCTGACGTAGGTCACAGTTGGGCGTGCGCATCTGCTTTGCACAAGCGTAAGCTTTGAGAAAGCATGCGGGCACATCACATTTTACTGGGTTTGGGCGGGCCTGACGTAGGTCACAGTTGGGCATGCGCATCTGCTTTGCACAAGCAAAAACTTTGAGAAAGCATGTCAACACATCACCTTCTACTGGCTTTGGGTGGGCATCTGTACACCTCACAGATTTTCTCTGTGGGCATAGAGTAAAAAGGGGCTTCCAACTCTAAGCCGATGATCACTTTACTGTCTCAACCTTTTCCCGCGTGGCTGCAGCCGATCAACGCTCCTGTGGCTGACCACAGATCTTGGTTCTTGTGCCAGTACTGATATCGTGCCGACCGGAGCTTAGCGCTCAAGGCATTTGATGGCGATGCGGTCCTTCAAGTACCGCCAACACCTGTCAACCACCTGTGTACCTGCTTTCACTTTAATTTTCGGCTTCGTTCCAGGAATCTTGTGTCATCTTGGATCTTGGATCTTGGATCCACTAAGATGGACTTGCCAGACTTCAGCAAGACAAGTCCAGACTTCAGAAAGACAAGTCCAGACTTGAGAAAGACAAGTCCAGACTTGAGCGGGAAGGGTGCAGATACCGCAAAATCCATTGAAAACATAGGTCTTAGGGGGGTACCATACATATACATATACATATATATATATTATGTGTACATGTATATATATATTTAAATATATATATATTATAGAAAATATACATCAAAAAAATTAAACATAAATCACATATTTTATATATTGTGTATGTATTATAGCAAGATATTTTATATATTCAATATTATGGATATTATATCTATATATTATATATATTAAATATATTATATTATATATATTGTATACACTATATATATATCATATATCTTAAATATTGTAGAAATTAAATAAATTTAATTATATATTATATATATTATATATATTCTATATATTATGCTCTATATATATATATACATGATCAATATTATTAAATATATTATTGAATATTTAGTATTATATATTATATATTATATATATACCATTCACTAACAGGGATTCTTCCAGCACCAGCCCCCACCCAGCGGCGCAAACACCGCCTGCAACAAGCGGTTCGTTTCCATCACCGAACACCAGCTACCACTTGCCATCAACTGATTCATGACCTGATCTGGGGGTACCCCATTTTGACCCATCTGGGAGGGCAAAAATTTTAACTGCAACAACGGAAACACGGAGATTTCGCCAGTCAAACCGGAGATATCACTGAGAAATCGGAACAGAAAACAAACATTGGAGACTTTCACAGTGCCAGAGGCATCCATTTTGTCCGGTGTGCAAATATATTGATCCTCAATTCTCCTGATGACAATTGATCCAGTCATCCACCTCTTTCAAATTGCTATGGGTTCAAACCCTGAAACCTCAAAGAAGTGAACAGGGAAAAAAAACGTACGTTTCATGGGATAATATAGGTTAAGGGTTAATAGGTATAGGGTTGTTTGACCCCTAGTAGATGGTTGAACCAAACACATGAAGCACTCACTATCATGACCCATCCACCCTACCAATTCCACCCATGCCACCTCAGCCACGCCCTGAATCGTTTCAGGTTTTTGCTTCGCTAAGCTGAACAGGAAGTTGAAGACCTAAACGGACGACAACTTCTGAGAGTTTGGGGATGGGTTTTGGGGATGGGTCACGCCATACCACAAAAAAAAAGAACATGTAAGCCTTAGGCCAAAAAGAACGGAGGGGATAGAAGCCAACAAAGATATAAACATAGCGCAAACACATGGAAGATTCGATATAAACAGACCGATTCGCATTGGTTCGCAGCCTCCAAATTGAAAGAATCATTGTGGACTATGCCCCACCAATAGTCCGAATATGTCCAGATGTATTTGGGTGAGAATGAAGTTTCCAAACCAAGTGGGTTCTCTGATGTGGCGGTTTGCCTGACAATAAGGCACGTATACCACAAATCCCATGGAAGAACACAATTTGCCCAATTAAAAAAAAAAACATGGCTACATTACATGTGTATATTTCTGTCATCAAGTCTTGGAGTGGCTACCCATTATCTACACAGCAGCTGCGCAGCTTTTTCGTCAACGTGGACCAGCGGGTCTGAAGCTTGAGCGTGGTGGCCGCAATCTGGGCTATGTGGTTGACTTAGATTGACTTAGGTTGTAGGGAAGGAGCTGTGCATCAATGGATCGAGTTGCTGTGCGATCTATATATGTAAGTGGCGTGGTTTCAATGGGTTGACCAGCTTTTCATACCCATGTATCCAACGATGTAGCACTGTAGCTGTTGATGTATCTATCTATTCCAGCTAGCTATCAAGTAAACAATAGATATATTAATCATTGACACATCTATCCATTTATTTTCTATCTAGCTATCTATCTGTCTAGCGATCTATCTATCTATCTGTCTGTCTGTCTGTCTGTCTGTCTGTCTGTCTGTCTGTCTGTCTGTCTGTCTGTCTGTCTTCAAATAGATCAATCCACCGAAACTACTTTCTGACAAAGGTCTTGGGAAAGTACATCGTTATCATGGTTTTGGATACTTAGGGTATATAACTATTGACATACATATAATACATTCATCTGTATATATCTATATATACCTCAGAATTCGATCCAGAAGTCACGGTCCCACGCCCAGGTGGTCCCGCGGTGCCACGTCGAGACTCATCGGTGTAGCCTTGTTGCCGGGGCCGGTTCCGGAAGCGTGCGCGACAAGCCCAGTACGGCAATCCATCTGAGGCCCAGACGGGTCCACCCCTCTGTAGGAAGGCGACGGAGGTCTCCGTTGTAGATGTGTCAGAGAAGCTTGGGTCAACTTCTCTGCCTGTGCGAATGCATCGGTTCTTCTGCCTGATTCGCCCCCCCCTTGCAAAGCTCCGCGGGGTATAGATCCTGCCCGTCGGCGATGTTGGGCCAGGCCTGCAATGTAGTGATGTGTGTCATTGCCCAACTACAAACATCTACTGCATGTTTTGCCCCGGACCTCCTCGTCCTCCATGTCACTGGGAATGCAGGTTCCCGGGACCTCACGCGACAGAAGTTTTCAAGGGGCAAATGCCACGAACGCATGCTTGCTTAGGCGGTCGGAATGGAGGTCGGAATCCGTTTCGAAGCGACGCTTTCCTCAATTTGTCGATGCTGTCGGCATCGAAATATGCTTTGGCCTGCTCAGGAAACCGGCCGAGCGCCTTGAGCGCAACCGCTTCGGTGAACTTGCTGTAGTGTTGACGCAGCTTGCTCCGACCACAGGCCGTGCCGACCACTTGCTGCAGGAGCTGCGGGCAGCACCAGGAGCAGCGATCGTTGCCTGGCTTGGGCGATGCATTCTTGCCGCCCGGATCAAAGACGCACTTCTCTCCTTCCACAGTCCCTTTACACTTTCGGCCCATGGCGACAGGAACAAGGAAGCTGAAGCTGAAGCTATCTGTCCCTTTTTCTATATCCTTCCTTCTGAAAGGGTTCTGTTTGAGGTCCTTGCGGTCCAACCTCAGACGACGTCCAACCTATAAGCCAGGCAGCACCAAACGCAGCAAACCCCCTGCCTGCTCGCACTTCGGCAGTGGCACGAGCCGAAACAGAGATGAAGATGCCGCAATGAAACTACCCTGATGGAATTGCCACGTGTTACAACCCCTGCTGGCCTAAATTCGATAGCGGCCGCATGCCTCTGATCCTGAATGCCAGCCATATGCCAGAAACCGATTCAACAGCACCATTGCAACAAATAAAACAGAAGTAACTTCACTGCCAGCTTCTCGCCCCATTGTACTCGGCGGCTTGCGTCGCACGGCCATTGTGAGAACTGACTGGAAACTACATGTGAAGGTTCAAAATGAAAATGAAGCTATGTTTTGGGGCGCGCGATTGACGACGCCAATGCAGAGGATGCGGATGCTGCCGATTTTGCTGCCAGTGGCGACATGCCGACGGAGTCCCCGACAAGGATTGAGCCACGGCCAAACTGCTAAGCAGCTAGGGAGAAGGGGGAGTAGTTAAGTATGAAGTTTCATGTGATGGGAGATTCCAGCCCCCCCAATACCTTAGCAAAAGCTAGCTTTCGTGAAGATGGCGTGAATTTCATCCATAAACTCCCTATTTTGGAGGGTTTCAGCCCAGTTTCAGCCCATCTTCGTTCCTTTTGGCAGTTCCACCACAACCCAAAGCCCCCAACCAGGGCACATTGGGCGCATGCTCCACCTCTTGCACGAAAACCTCCTCCTCTCCGGCGCAGCGAATGCAGCCTGACCAAGGTGGTTTATAGCATGTTAATGTTGATAAAGCCATGGTAAACTAACCCCATTTTACCTTAGCATAAATGGGCACACGATACACCATCAAAATATGGGTGCTTTATGACATTTGCCAGCATGTTATATGATTTTTGAACAGACTATTAGATGGGTTTATGACAGATATGATCTGAATATGATATACCTGGAGAAAAATTCTGAATTTAGAAACCGAGTTGGATCCAGTCATGCGGCAAAAATGGTCTGGCTTCACCTGCCCAAAAAAAAACTCCAAACTCCGCAGGTGTAAGTGGACTTACGCATTGAACCATATCCGACACAAGGGCAAATAAGATGGGTTGAACCCCTAGTCACAGTGGCAACCAACGACCTGTTCCAAAAAAAAAACGGCTGGCTTATCAGCAACAGAACCTGTGCCCAAATTTCTTGTGCTGTTTTGTGTAGGATCAAACTAGTCGAAAACTCCAAACCTGCCACTAGATTACAAGCCCCCCAAAAAAATGATTGCCTACCCGACTATCATGGTGATTTTCACCCAGTTTTACTTGGGTCCCACGGCTTACTGGGCAAGACATTTCCAAGTCCTGGGTTGAACCGACCACCAGGGCCGCCCCCAACCCATCCACCGAGGCACCGATGCGCAATTTGTTCAAGGCGTTGCTTCCCCCCGAGTCCATCTTCTGCGGCTCATCAATGGCTGTCACAGCATCGATGCCTTCCTGGCCAAGATGGGGATGACTGAGATGACTGGGTTCCCCATGAAAACTGGTTCATAAATGGTCCAAGATACCAAAAATTGGATCAACTCAAGTGGGGACTTGATGGGACATAATGGAATAACTCGATAATGTTTGGCTTCGTTAAGCGGTTCATTAAGCGCAAACCTTAACCACCAACAACCACTATATAAGTCACCAATGAGGGCGAATCTTACAGTAATCATCTATTATTGGGGGTTCCTTTTGGCAGGGTTGGTTGAATCCCCAAGATACTTAGCTCCCAACACATCCTACTAAGAGACGTCAAAAAATGGCTGTGGGGCATCACACAGATTCCACTTGACTAGTCTCACAGAGACTCTATGTTGTATATACTGCAGAAACTATCAAAAATCCTAAATCGTTCACAACCCGTCACGACCCATTCCTGTGTTACGAAATTGGTGGTTTCTCCATCTTAAGGATTTGTTGATCAACTGATTCTGAAACACTGAAATCATGCAACAGCAACCACGGACAATGAAGATGTGCAACCCATTTCACTGCCCATGATCTCGTTCCAAAAAGTCACAATGAATCCAAAAAAGAAGGTTGAGGCTAGGCCATGACTGCCATCAAAATTTTATCCAGAGAACCTCAAAAATCAAACATCCTGGTTTCTGCCATGCAAATCATCCCGGAATTGGATGATGGGAAGATTTACAGGAAAACCCTGCCGTTGCAAATAAAATTCATCGTTTCCTATAGATTTTCCCAACAACACCAATCCAGTCACATTAAAATCCATATAATCCAAGAAAAAGCGCATTCATAGCATCATGGTTTTGTGGGTGAAATCCCAAGTTTCTTCGGCCGAAATCGGCCATTGCTGGTTTCCCGTATCACAAGGACCACAGCCTGCAGGGCAGACTGCCGGCTTTGCCGCAGATCTGCTTCGGGCTCCTCCTGAAAGATCTGTGTAGCGAAGGGGGAGACTGCACCAACAACCATGGCAAGTTAGGTAGCAGAGATGGTGATGTAACCAGCATGTGGTGATTTAACCAGCAAAAATGATGAGTCACCAGCAAGAATGGTGATTTAAGCAGCTAAAAATGTTTTTTAACCAGCAAACGTTGCGATTCAACCCGCAAAAACTTGGATTTATGCAACAAAGAATGGGGATATCATGAAGATATATTGTAGTTAAGCAACAAGGTCAAAGGAACCACTTAAGCCTAGGTATATAACTAGAGATTTGTGTATAGCGACCCCAGAATAGGTAGAGAAGTTTGAACCCTGGAAATTCATCGAAATATTCATATCATCCAAAACATCCTGGAAAAACTGTTCGGTCTTTTTGGGGACCCTATATTGGCCAAATAGATGGTGATGCATTTTTGGTGCCCATGCATTTTCAGGGCTTCACCGGCTTCACCATTCAGATTCCTGGGGTGTTTTCCCTGGATCAAAAGCCAATGGACAGTTGCAGGATTGAACACGAGGCAATTTTAGAAGGCACGAAACATTGTGAGACATAGCCCAAAGTGGGATCAACTTGTATCATCCGGGTGTAAGTTGGGCCCTCCGACATCATTTCCCTGCAACATCAAGTGCTCTGATGGAAAACTTCCATCCCCTTTCGAAACCACCTCAGCAGCCGTAGAAGCATCCTCTTCCTCCTCAGCCGGTGATCGACAAGGCCGACCCCGTTTTTCCCCAAATCCGGGATGGTTTCCTTTCCTGAAAATCAGAAAAGATCGAACCTGCTGAGTCCTTTTTGGCCACATTGACACAAAAACATGACACCTCCAAACAAACCTCTCTGGTTCCCGTTTTCACCTTCATCTGGGAACGTAAAGGGCCAATTTGGGGAGCGCGACCCAGAACGGATTCTTTCAGATCTCTTTTTCTTGGTCCGCAGGTTGGCCAGAAAGAATCGAAGAATCATTTTCAGAATCCTCAAGCGCCATTGTAAACATGACCTATCATCCACTGAAAAAATGGGTACGAACCCCAGATTGATAAAACATGACTAAAAAAATCATTGGAAATTCCATGGATCAACCCCAATGTCTTCACCTTGATGGCGTCAATGAGACGTTCGCGCTCCATGGCCAGGCGCACCTGGTGTTCCCAATGTCTTTCACCAGCTATGGGGGGTCCCTGTGGGGTGTTGAATCCCCCAGAAGTTGAAATATGGGGATGGGTCAAAACCCTGGCACCTAGTGAACCCCAAAATAGCTGGTAAATGGATGTTCATCCCACTAAAAATGTATCTATAGGTATTGACCCATACCCATATGTGAATTATATCCCCCAAAGTATGGGCTCCTCAAAATGTATACATTCAAAAACCAGGAGTTCGTTTGGGTCTTCTTTTACTCTTAGCAGTCTTGGGGATGATTTGGCTGATTTCGAGCTTGGGTCAGTCCCGTGGACGGATGAAGAACATCTGTTTCAAATCACACCGTCTCATTGTCATCTACCTTGGTGACTTAGTGGAAAGGAATAAGCACAACTATAATTGACTATACCCTCTGGTAAACTAACATAGCTATGGAAAATCACCATTTTTAATGGGAAAACTCACAATAAATGGCCATGACCAATAGCTATGTTAGTTTACCAGATGGCAATTATTGTAATGTTGGTTTTCTCCGTAGAGAAACCCTCCGCGATGGGTCGTCCCTCTTTTTGGGAGAGGCCCAGAGTGGTTTGTTGAAATATATGCCGAGAGATTGTTCAGAATCTCCAATGAGTAGATATCCCTTCCCTTGGCTGCTTGATGAAATTTCCTTCTTTGGCATCCCGGTGCTATGCTACTTCCTGTTGGTGAAAAATGCACACACTTTGATTGGTGCAAGTTCATGCACTGGTTCAACAAGCATAGTCGTTGTTCAGTGTTTATCATCATACCCCAGTCTTAATTGCTCAACATTTTGTCCATGATATCCCCATACTATACTGAAACCCTTGAATCCTCATTGTTGTGTCAATCGCTTTGTGCTATGCTAACCCATTTTGGGGTTGAAGAACCCCTCTCCTTGTTCACATTCCTCATTGTTTCAGAGCTAAATCCTTACTGCATATTACTGATCAAATACAGACTTGACTGCTTGCATAAATCATACGTCTTTTTCGAGAATCCCAGTCTTTACTGTACCTCAAATCCCCATCCAGTCGTTGATCCAATAACATGTTTTCTCCTCAAAACTGACCCGGATCCCAAAAATGATCGTGAAAAAAAATACCAACCCCCGGTCAGTCCGCAACATCTGGCTGTAACATCTGAACAAAAAAAGAAAACTTCACAAAAAAAAAAACTCATATCCTGAATTTTAACCAAGAAATCCCAAAAAAAATCCTCCAGTTCTGGCCAAATCCCCGATTTTTCCATCGTTTCTTGCCCCCTTCCCTTCCCATCACCTCCTCAGGTTTCTCCTCGTGTTTCACCTTGGTCACAGACTGCATCAAGGCGGGGGCGATGGATTTCTGTAGCACCTCGGCCGGAGGTTTTCCCATGGGAAAACCCATGGGAAAAACATGGTTTTCCGGCCTGGTAAACATACAAAAAGCTATGGAAAATCACCATGATTAATCGGATTTAATGGGTAAATCCACTATTTCTATGGCAATTTTTAATAGCTATTGATAAATGTACCGGAGGGTACTATCAGTGGAGGGTCTAGAGCTGGGAATTCTCCACTGCTCTTTTTTGAGTACCAGAGGGTGGCCGCAGCAAGAAAGGAAATGATGGAAATGATGGAAATGTGGATGTGGCCAAAATCCGGCAAGACACCAGAATTGGGATCCGAATCAGGTCCGCAGAAATCAAATTGCAGAGCAACAGTTTGTGGAATTTGACCCAGAGGAACGGGGATAGATTTCACCGACATTGGAACATGTCATCAGTATTTGGGTACGGCGCGGCTCACCCTTGTTGTGATTCCTGAAACTTAACTTGGTTGGTTAAAGATCTGACTTTGGAGCCATACCGAATCCTGGCTTTCAAAGTGCCCAAGCTTTGCTGATAGCCACAAGGCTGTTTCTAAAGTATCTAAACTATGTGGCCTTGTCTGAAAATATGCTGAACCATCATATTTTCATGGTGAATCATCATTTTCTCAAACCCAAATGGCTGTTTTTCATGGCGATGCTCCATTTTTGACAAGGCCACAGTCCTAAGGTCCACGGTCACCATCCCCCGGCACTCGCCTCGTGCTGCGCTCCGATGGCCGACTGCAGGTCCTGGAAAGCCCAACCGATTTTTTTTCGAAAACACACTTGACATTACAAAATCGAAGTTCAAATCTTAAAATCCCATAAAATCCCATAAAATCCCATAAAATCCCGAGTCTTCCAACCTCATTCCCAACCCAACCCCGGCCAACCCTGCCCTTTCCAGTGGTCGAAAAACCCCGGCCCCGCAGCTCCGCACCTCGTGCAAGGTCTGCACCTTCTGATGCAGCGCCTTATCTGCTTCCCAGGCAGAAGCCCAGCTGGGCACCGAGATCAATTTGTTGAAGACCTGGGATGATGACCATCTAAGATATCCCAAGATATCCCATATCCGTGTTGGTGATAAAAAATAGTTGGTTCTCACCACTTAAGTAGATGCTTATATAGAAATGGATGAACTAGCTATATACATATATATATATATATATGGATTATATCAAGTTATGGTGATAACCATCTATATACTTTGTTCATCCATTTATAGATGGTGACAAAAAGAACCACTGTAAGCCAAACCAGCTGGGAACTATGAAACACTGTAAATAATGGGATTATCATGGGATTACTATGGGATAAACAAGCTACCAATCCACAGTAGTAAGTGCTTCATAACCCTGGTGATCGTTCAAGTCCTGTTTCTTCCGTGGCTTTTCCCATCTAAATGGATGAACTGACTATGGGACACCAACTGATCCTCCCCAAATTGGAGATGTGAGGATACTTGGAGATTAAATCCCACAGATCGTAAGTGGTGAGACTAACCATTTAAGTGTGGCTGAAAGGTAACCCCGATTCGTAGGTTATCCCATCTATAAATGGATTACAACCATGGCCATGGGATCCCAACTTATATAATATAATATAATATAATATAATATAATATAATATTATATTATATGATATAATATAATATAATACAATACAATATAATATAATATAATATAATATATATATATATATATCATCCTAAAATCTATCAGTTTTATGGATGGTATAAACCATCAAAATATGGATGGTTTATGACATTGTTTGTACTATATAACATATATATCATAGTGGTTTCAGTACTATATAACATTGTTGTATGTCGGGCAACCAATGGTTTTAACATTGGCCTCAATTTTAAGAAACACGGTCGAGTCAATGGAATAACTATCTGTTTGGGCAGCCAAAATTCATCGAAATACCTTTAAAAATTGGTTTCTTGAAAAAATCAAGCAGCTAAAATGTGGATGGCAAGGAATCATGCACCATGGGGGATACCTAATTTTATGGCCGCAAACAAGAACGGGAAAAATGGGTTTCAAACATCTCAACGCCACAGGGATGGTGCCCAGAATGGCTTCAGGGCCTGATGCTGGAAAAGTCACGTGACTCACATGGCACCTTGTTCGGCGCTGAAGGAAATTACCAAGTGTAATATTTCTTCTCTAGATTTCAAGGACTTCTACTTTGATGCCTTCAATCCCCGAGACATTTTTCATTAGCAATGCCTCAACTCCCCAAATGGCCTCCCGCCTACTCACATCACCATCTCACTACACGAACCATGTTGAAAATACCTTTTTTTTGTTCCATGCTATTGTATGTACTGCGTGTTGAATAGCTATCCCTGTCAATCCTGACTTATAGTTCAATAATCACCAACAAACCAGTTATAGATTACTGACCCCCTATATTTTTCCAAGCCATCAACAGGGCCCCGGTTGCCGTCACCTGAATGATCAAGGACCGGTAGAAAGGTTTCTTCTCGGCGAAGGCGATCAAGAAGCTCCACATGATCGGCGCATGCTTCGCCTGCTGAGAGGTTTTCAGGTTACACCGTGGTTCAGGTGGAATGTGACATCGCATAGAAATATGTATATAAGTTATATAAGGGTATGTAGCATAATTAAATATATATAATTATATATGTGTGTGTGTTATGGTTTAGTACTTTAAATCGCCGAATTCAGTGGGTTTGGGGTTCTAAAAAAATTGAGCAGCCAAAGGCCAACCCCGACCCCTGTTTTTTTTGATCTTCATGGAGTTGTTTTGATAAAACGGTCCGAAGTTTGTGGAAAATCCCTACTTTTTACCAGGGTTTCTAAGGGTGTGTTTGATATCAGCGGGATGGGATATAATCTCATGACTCAAAAATTTGGTACCAACCAACTCACTTTCTTAAACCATCCATTTTGGGGGAAAATAAATTCAAACCATCAGGTCGCCCATCGGCGTAGAACTGGGGCTGGTTCACCACCGTGAACTAAGCGTTCCTAACATCATTTTCCAGGGCCAAACATTGGGGAGACCTCACTCCATGGTTTTTTTCAATTTTGCTCCTGACACTCCAAATGCAGAGAAAATAGGTAGATAAAGAATGATTGACGCGTAAGTTCCCAATTTTCCCTCCTTGTGGCCTTTTTGATGGGTTGGAAGAACCCGAGTTTTTAATGACATGGAATGGGATGAGGCCCGCCTGAGCATCAATCTCTTCGGTGGAGGCTTTCAACACCTCCGCTTGGGTCATTTTGCCAAGCAAAGTTGCGATTATAAGCGACAAAAACTGGAAAAAAAATAAGAATCATGGGTGATGGATGATAACTACCAGAAATTCTTCATGGGGTTACAACAATACTACCGAGTGCACCGTTGCAACTATGGTTTTCCAAATAAATAACCCTTTTTCGGCTGCTGCAATCCTGGGTCTCCCCTATCGAGAAACTGGTCCAAATGGTCGACCTGGGTTTGCCTGAAAATGGTGTACCTTTAAAATCCATTGGATGATCCATGGATTTTCCTGATTTCACTGGCCATTTGGAAAAAAATTCCCCATTTTCAAACGGACCCATATAAAATGTGTGTGTTTGACTCGCCAATTTGACGGTCGCAGCTGTTCCCGTTGCACAGACTTTCAGGATGATTTCGCCCACGAATTCCAAGCATCGCCTTCTTTTTGAAGTCTTGAAAGTCCCCATTGGCAGACATCACGCGATCTTTTGCAAGGCATTCCTCCACAAGTCACATAGACATTGCACAAAATAATGTTACAATTTTGTGACCAAGCACAGTACGACAGTGCCCATGCGCCACATTTTCCATAGGATTAGCAGAATTTGATGCCGAAAACGGTCCCCATCGGTGGGTCCAAGTCCTCGTAAATTTCCCATTTCGGCCAACTTGCCATCAGCCACCCAAATCTGATATGCGTTTGTCCGGACACGTTGCACATCTACATTGCATGGGAACCATATCGTTGGTAAATGCCATCGAGTTTAGAAACATTCAATGCAATACAGAAATGATTTTCAAAATGATTGTATGTTGTATGACTGCTGGATGTAATGTATTATTGTGGTCATTCTTATTCCACAATGACACATCGCACGAAAATGTCGCAGATGCACCACAAAACGGTTCATTGTTCTTTGAGTCATATTTTCATGTTTATTTGTTCACTAAAGAACTGTTTGCAGGTTAACACTAATTTTTGCTATTGACATTCAATTTGTGGGTGAGTCATTCCTGTTCAAACATGTTTTGTTTTCCCATGAATCACAAGTTCGAGTGTGGGGGGGCGCATTGTTTCACTTCACAATCGGAAGTGGGTGGAAGTCCGTTGGGACATTGGCTCGGGAGCTTGATGGGTTTGTCTGGCAAGGGAGTACCGAAAAATTTTCCGTTTTATCGGCACATGCTGCAATTAGAATTGCCATGTCCCGGGCCACCCCGCATTAATGGACAAACCCGAAATTGTGTCCGCCAAATTGTAGACATGTGAGTGGAGCAGCAACAAAAGCGTTCGCCATGGGCTGTCATTTTGATCATTTTTTCATTGCGTGGCGGAAGGTTAAAACTGCAGAAAAGGTGCAAAGCGCAAACGGTAAATATATATATATATATATTCGGCTGCGACGAAACCAGAATGATGGTGTATTCAAGTGACATCAGATCTCGTTTAATTTGTAACCACAATTAATTCCAAGCATTGATATGAACAGTGATTCCAAGAAGAACAACGCTTCAATTGCTCCGTGATTTTCAAATTTTTAGGCCCCGCGAACCCAAACCCTAAATAAACAGAAACATTAAGTATATAACCAAATGCACCGCAACATGTGCCACAGTTTCCGACAACAATAGGTTTTCAAATGAAACCGGATCAAATGCAATTCGACCATCATCCACTAAAAAAGGCTGGAGAAATTCATGGATAGAACCAATTCCCAAGAGTTGCCTACTCCATTTTTGGCGAACCGAAACCACAACACCAACACCAACAACAACACCAACACCAACACCAACAACAACAACAACAACGACAACAACAACAACAACCACAACCACAACCACAACCACAACCACAACCACAACAACCACAACCACAACCACAACAACCACAACCACAACCACAACCACAACAACAACAACAACAACACCAACACCAACACCAACACCAACACCAAACAAACAAACAAACAAACAAACAAACGACAACGACCACCACCACCACCACCACAACAACAACAACAACAGCAGCAGCAGCAGCAGCAGCCCTTGCCATTGAACGCATCGCACCCCCCACCCGCTCCATGAATAGCCTTTCCCCTTGCTGCCCTCTTGACCAAAGGAACAAACAAGCACAGCAACCACCACGACGACCAAAACGACCACAACACCACCACAACAACACCGACCAACCAACCAACCAACCAACCAAGCAACCAAGCAACCAAGGAACCAAGCAACCAAGCAACCAAGCTACCAACCTACCAACCTACCAACCTACCAACCTACCAACCAAGCAACCAAGCAAGCAACCAAACAACACAACACAACAACCAACAACCAGCAACCAACAACCAGTAACCAGCAACCAACAGTAAGAAACAAACAAATTCAATCAAAAACCTTAAAAAACATCAAAAACAAACAAAAGCAGCAGCAGCAGCAACAACAACAACAACAACAGCAGCACCAACAGCAACAACAACCACCACAGCCACAACCACAACAACAACAACAACAACAACGACAACGACAACGACAACCACAACGATGACGACGACAACGACCACGACCACGACCACTACCACAACCACAACCACAACAACCGCCACCAACGACCACCAACAACCGACAACCAACAACCAATAACCAACAGCCTACAGCCTATAACCACCACCACCACCACAACCACAATGTCACAACCACCACAACCACAACCACCACAACCACAACCACCACCACCACCACCACAACCACCACAAGGACCACAACCACAACGACCACAACGACCACAACGACCACAACGACAACGACCACAACGACCACGACCACAACGACCACGACCACAACCACGACCACAACCACGACCACAACGACCAAGACCACAACGACCAAGACCACAACCACAACCACAACCACAACGACCACAACCAACCACAACCACAACGACCACAACCACAACGACCACAACGACCACAACGACCACAACCGCCACAACCGCCACAACCGCCACAACCACAGCCACTTTACGAGCCACAACGACCACGATCACAACGACCACAACGACCACGACGACCACAACGACCACAACGACCACAACGACCACAGCGACCCCCACCACAAACACGACCACAACCAGAACGACAACACCCACAACCAGAATGACCACAACGACCAAGACCACAACCACAACCAGAACCACAACCACAATGACCACAACAACGACCACAATCTCAACGACCACAACCACTGCGACCACAAACACATTTTTTTTACGCCTTGCAGTATTAAATTGCCCGCTGTATTGCCCGCTGCAGTTCCGAATTAAAGAATTGAAACTCATCCAACTTCAGAGAAGTGGGTTGCAAAAGACAGCAATGACAACACTGCACAGCCACAACAGGCCATCAATGCCACCACCAAGAGAAAAAACCAACCACACAAACAAAAAAGCAAGCAAAAACAACCACACACCAACACAAAAACAAAACGGGGAACATGACCGGCGAAAGTCAGTGCTGCTGTGTGAAGGGTGACGGCATTGCATCATCCCCGGTATTGGTATGGCAAAAAGCAACAAGACAACACGAAAAGCATTACACGATAGCCATACCTTTGAAGCCTTCAGACCTTCAGCCCTTTTCCTTTCCGATTGCTCCCTTTTGAACGACCTGGCGGAAGCCAAGAGGCGTGGAACGGAAAAAATTCTCCCCGATTACCTCCTTTTTTTTGTGCCCGAGCCCGTTGCCTTTCGGCGGGTCTACGGTACTTGAGACTTATTCATCTACCACGTCACGATCGCGGCCCGTACCCCGGGGGAATCGATCCGCGGCTAGCTGTCTATGCACGGTCCTGAGACGGGCATTATACCACTACGTTGTCGTTGTTGGAGGTTGTGGTCTTTGGTCGTTTTTTGTCGTTCTGGTCGTGGTCGTTGTGGTCGTTGTGTTTGTGGTCGCAGTCATCTCAGCTAGCTATGAGACCAGTAAAGCACAAAGCGCTTTTGCCGCTGCACCGCACGGAGAAAGGCTCCAGGGCGCTAGGGGTCGCGCAAGCTCCGCCACAAACAGCGAGAACAAAGCTTTCGCAATCCTCCATAAAACACAGGAAGGCAAACCGGCACTCATCAAACAGGACGGTGGCGAAATGCTGGTCGCCCTTATCCTTGACAAACCTTCAGCAGATGTCAACATTAGTCGACAATCCTCAGGCATTTGTGACTACAATTATGCAAATTCTGAAAGAGAAACAGCATCACGCCGTCATAGCCCAGATGGATGTGCGCGACGATCTACCTGTTTCACAATTTACGGATGCTGCGTTGCACCACTCCACTGCACAAACTGCCCAAACTCAAGATCCGGGTCGTGTTTCTGGTGTTCTATTGTCTGATCCAAGTCTTTGTAGTCGTACGTTGTCAGCAGCCTGTGGCTCAAATTTGTGTGGTGGATACCTGCACCTGCAAAGTCAGTGTTGCATAGGGTTCACCTTTTTTTGCCTGATCTGTTTTGCGCTAGTGCCGACGCGGGGTTCCCGTCGTTTGGCTACTGAAACTCAATTACGACTGACGGCCATCCCCGTGCACTGCGCAAGCACCGCAATTGCCAGAGTTAGTGCAACCACTGCAGGGTACCTGTTGCTGGTATGCCGAAACAGACACCGTATCCATCTGGCCCAATCGCAGTCGAAGATGCACGATTAAAAGACATATCGACCGGGATGAACTGGAACATGCAAGATGCCAGTGATGTCCGCTTCCTTGCAGTTAGTGGCACGCTCTGGGTTGGAGATTGCCGAACAACGTATGACTTCACGCTGGTGGAATACCATTTGCACATTGACGAAGTATCATGGACAATTTTTTCTACCCTCAATAATGCCCTTGAGCAAGAGTTTACGCCAGAGTTCTGGGATATTGTCAACTATAGCCGGAAAGAGCGGTGGGGATTCCTGGAGATACCCTGGGATGGGAAAGCTTACGAAGTCGCTCCACCGTATACTCAAATTCGTTTATCCATTTTCAATGACTTCGCCCACACCATGAGGGTTGTGAGACCTTTCGTGTGGAAGGACACCTACCTCAAGGTTCATCCGAATGGGGCAGCGGTTTTCACTGAGCAGAAGAAATTGGCCTTCCTGCTTCCTTTGATTATAGAGGCCCATGCCTTACTCCCGCCTACCCCACTCTTTTGGGTAAATGATGACCAAACCATCCCGTTGCGGAGGACAACCTTGTGGTTGCATGAGCATACAATACAGTGGCTATCTGAGACAGGAGAGGCGTACCCACCTGAACTGCGAGATGAGATTCAGCCGCGCCTTGACAAGCTTAAACCTTCCCAGCCCGCCAAGAGGTTGCAGCCGCCGACGCTGCCGAAACCAAGCAGATGGCAGGAACGACCCCAAGAAAAACAGACCATGCAAGCACCTCAAGAACCTACTCCGCAAGACCCGAAGGGAACCCAGACAACTCCGCAGCAGGTCGCTGATCATGAAAGGCAATATATGGAATTGCAAGCAGCTTTTGCCCAAATGAGACAACGAACGATTGCAGAAAGCCGACCAACACATTCCACACAGTCCCAAACATCAGCTAGTTTGCCGGCCGCAAGCCCGCCTACTACAGGGGAAGCCAACACTACCTTGCCATCTAAATCTAGTACGAATGCAGCGACAGAGGCTCCAGCTCAACAAGATAGCC